CAGCTGAAAAGGCTGCTCGGGCCTTTCCAGTGTAGGCCGATGTCGTCTCGTTCTTCTCCACCTTCAAGTCAAAGATGCCGTCAAGAACTTCACCTAATCTGTCATGGATGGCCTCCTCCGGAAATCTCTCATCCAGCACCTGGTAGATCACGTCCTGACCTCCAGCTTGCTCAAGGTCATCCATATTCGTTGCATCGAAAGCTCTGAGTGCAGTTCCATCTAACAGAGTGAACAGCATGGCACCTAAGGCCTTTTCATCCACACCTTTTGCCTTCTGCACTACAAGGTATGCTCTGCTCCAACGTTTCCATCTCTTGTACTCCTTTTGGGGTTCAGGTCCTTCGCCGCTAAAGCGCTTGACCATGGACTCATTTTTGTTGCTTTCCGCCATCTTCACGCGGGCCCTAATCAGGCTCACCGCTACCAGTTAAAACTGATGAAGCCAGATGTGATCGCTCCTGCAATCACTTCCCAACCAATGCCCACGGCTGCGGCCTCGCAGCCAAAGCGCAGTAGCTCGTTTTGCTCTAAGCCAAGTCTTCGCCCCTGCAGCGATCCATCAGTCGCTGAACATGCGAGATACTAGCCTGAAAGCCAAATGTTACATAACAGCTGAAGGATCTTCTATGTGCAATCAATGATACCACATGTCAGGCCAGTTCCGGTCAGAACTTCAATAAATCAAATAAATAATTGAATATTTAGGTAAATATATAATGATGATGATAATAATAATAATAATGATGATAATAACGATAATATTAAATTATTCAGATAATTATGGAAGGAAAGAGGGTTCCTTTCTCCTAGTTATTCAGGGATAAGAAGTCCAATCCTCCCACTTTGGTTCGTAAAATAATATTCAAAATAGCCCGTTAGGAGGCTACCTTTCGTAATATATTTTATAATATCTAAAAAATAATATTTTATTAATAAATTAAATATAATTCCAAATTTTATCTAATTCCCTATATTAATGAATAAGAATTTCCTTTTTTGTATTATATCCGTTCCTTCCTCCTTCCTTCCTCCCGGTTGTCCTCCCATATCCTCCCATTCACAATATCATCAAAAATCAAAAATATCCCATCCAATACACCACTCACATACCCATCACTCACACACATCCCACACACAACACACACACACATCACTCACACACACATCCCACATCACACACACATCACTCACACACACATCCCACATCACACACTCATCACTCACACACACATCCCACATCACACACACATCACTCACACACACATCCCACACCTCACACACATTTCCCACACACATCACTCACACACACATCCCACACACAATATCATCAAGCATCACACACACATCATCACATCCAATACATCACTCACATTGTCACATACACATCACTCACACACATATCCCACATCACTCACACACACATCCCACACCTCACACACATATCCCACACACATCACTCACACACACATCCCACACACAATATCATCAAGCATCACACACACATCATCACATCCAATACATCACTCACATTGTCACATACACATCACTCACACACATATCCCACACACAACACACACTCACACACACATCACTCACACACACATATCCCACACACAACACACACACACTCTCACACACACATAATTCACACACACACATCCCACACACACCCCGCCGCTCCGCCGCAGAGGGGTCGGATGTACGCCCTGGGACTTGGTGCACTGCAAAGGGGTCGGATGTACGCCCTGGCGTCCCTCCGGCGTCCCTCCGGCGTCCCTTGGTCTCCGCCGCTCTGCCGGTGGCTTTTGCGTGGCAGGCGTGGGGCTTGGTGTGCAAAGGGGTCGGATGTACGCCCTGGCGTGCCCCTCCGGCGTCCCTCCGGTGTCCCTTGGTCTCCGCCGCTCTGCCGGTGGCTTTTGCATGGCAGGCGTGGGACTTGGTACACTGCAAAGGGGTCGGATGTACGCCCTGGCGTCCCTCCGGTGTCCCTCTGGCGTTCCTTGGTCTCCGCCGCTCTGCCGGTGGCTTTTGCGTGGCAGGCGTGGGACTTGGTGCACTGCAAAGGGGTCGGATGTACGCCCTGGCGTCCCTCCGGCGTCCCTCCGGTGTCCCTTGGTCTCCGCCGCTCTGCCGGTGGCTTTTGCGTGGCAGGCGTGGGACTTGGTGCACTGCAAAGGGGTCGGATGTACGCCCTGGCGTCCCTCCGGTGTCCCTCTGGCGTTCCTTGGTCTCCGCCGCTCTGCCGGTGGCTTTTGCGTGGCAGGCGTGGGCCTTGGCGCTAGAAAGATAGAAGGATGGATGGATGGATGGATGGATGGATAGATAGATCGATCGATCGATCGATAGATAGATAGATAGATAAGATAGATTAGATAGATTAGATAGATTAGATAGATTAGATAGATTAGATAGATTAGATAGATTAGATAGATTAGATAGATTAGATAGATTAGATAGATTAGATAGATTAGATAGATTAGATAGATTAGATAGATTAGATAGATTAGATAGATTAGATAGATTAGATTAGATAGATTAGATAGATTAGATAGATTAGATAGATTAGATAGATTAGATAGATTAGATAGATTAGATAGATTAGATAGGTTAGATAGGTTAGATAGGTTAGATAGGTTAGATAGGTCAGATAGGTCAGATAGGTCAGATAGGTTAGATAGGTTAGATAGGTTAGATAGGTTAGATAGATAGATAGATAGATAGATTAGATTAGATTAGATTAGATTAGATTTAGATTAGATTAGATTAGATTAGATTAGATAGATAGATAGTTAGATAGATAGATAGACATACGTATAACATCCGCGTGTACATTACATATATTACACACTGCCTCTTACACCCTGTACACATATCGTTAACACACTACCAAAGTAACACACCTGTACATGCACATGCATACACACACACACAAACTCACCCACCATCACCCCTCCATCACTCTCATACTTCCTCTTCCCTTGTTGCTTTTCTATGCTCAGTCTAAGTCTGGTGAAGTTGTTAACATGTGGGGTTATCCGGTCCTATAATTTTAAGTTTATTTGTTTCTCAACAGTAATAGATCCCAGTAGTAACAGGCAAAACCCAGCACATCCCAGCACAAACAGGCAGAATCCAGCAGCAGCAAGCGCAAACTGGCACAGAAGCTGGACATGACATGCTGGCAAGGAAGCTGGCGAAAGTGACCCGAGATATCTTGAAGTAATTTAGTGATCCCTCATCTGGTAGGTGGGGAAAAAATAGTAATGACCAATCTGCAGCGGAAAATGGAATCCGAATAGATTAATTTAGTATTAATTTAGTCTTAAAATATGTATACATGTTAATTGGATTCCTTTAGACACCTTTTTCAAGTTGATCTTCGGCTCAGTGTCTCAAGGTATCCGTGGTCGCCCCAGGCACCCCCAAGTGGCAACCTTAGCGAGAAAATGAGCCCCGAGCAGCGACTTGGTCGCGCCAGAGGCACCGGTGGGAGCGATTCAGCCAAATCCAATTTTGGATGCTGAGAGATGTCATCTGGACGCAAGATTTATGCAAATGTTTTGCCATTTTCAGGAGTTTTAAACAATTTAACCATTTACAAAGATAATCTCTAACCATCATCAATATCTGCCCGAATCTTCCGTCCAGAATTGACCGAAAATGTGCGCGCAAGCCTCCGCGAGAATCAGTGCAGACCTTCTCCACACAAACGAAACGCCACTACGTCGATTGTTTGAATAAAGGGCCAAAGCTTAGTAGGAATCAGGGGCTTGGATGGGCTGGGCCCCCAGCCAAGGAACAAACCCTCATGGCCAAAAAGTGACCAACCAAAATCTTATGGGAGATGAAGGAGACTTGGAACTTCGGTGCATGTGGGAAACAAACTTCGATGAAATAGAGTCAGAGTGGATGGGGTTGTGCCATATTACCTACACAAGAAGCCCAAAATGAGAAGCGTAAGAAACATCAGGATTGCTGACTAAGCTAGCACCAGTGGGAGATTGTTGTTCTGCTAAGCCCAAGTGACTCGCGAGCCAAAAAGCACAAAAATTGAGTACTGCACAAGGTCAGATGGGTGTCAAGCGAACCAACCACTTTGAGTTGAGCTCGAGGTGGTCTTCCAGGGTTTCATGAAGATTCATGGAGAGATGGTCCAATAGCTATTTGATTTTGGAACTACAATCTCATTTCGGCAGGGCTGGCCTAAGTCCTAAGTGGCAACCGTTCATCTCCCCACATGACAAGCAACGCTTTTTTCCGACCTGGGAACCAGAAACCTTGAACCTGGATGGACTGGATTGAGGAGATGGAAAAGCCAAGATATTATGCCAAGATAAAACATATATATATATATATCGCTTAAGGGTCTTTTGTGTCAAGTCATGTCAAGTCGCTCCCCTTGCTGTGCGACAACAAATCACATGGTCGGCCTGGATTCGCAACCACCTTCAAAGCCCGCCACTTCCCAATGCTGACGCTCAGCACGGCCAACACAAGCTTCAATCCGAAACTGTGTGACAGACGCCTACCTATGGCAGCTGTTCCAACTCTAATGATCTAATTCCAACCATCTCTAATTGCCAAGAAATGATGTCGTTCTCAAGCACAGTAACTGCTCTTCGCTATTGGGGACAGTTGAGAAAGCCTACTTCTGTCTTGGTAGGTTGATGTAGGTTTGGATCTCCCAAGTACATTGTGGTGCAAATTTCGCTCATGCCAGGATTCACTGACACACTATCCATTATTCTGCATTTTTGAATTATGAAGCACCTGAATACCCAGGTGCCTTAATCTGCATCAGACTGTGTAGCTGGTACTTGTGGATGTTCTTCCCTCTGTTTCATGTGGAATTATCAAAAGTTCCCACCCACTCCAAACATATTAAGTCATATTAGTTCTCTGGGATCATCGCTGCAAATCTAGAACCATTGCTATCCCCAAGGTGCTATCCCATGTGCATCCCATTTTAATGTTGGTTAACAGCTGTATCAAAGTGATCAAGCCGACCAGTTCTTCGTTCCGAACAGCTGCATTTCCTGAGTTTTGAAAACATCCTTGGCCACCTACGCGTCCTCCGCAGCGATGCGAGAGGCCTGCGCTGAAGCGGAACTGAAGACAGCTGAAATCAGGCATGAGGTGGTCGAGATTTGGGGACAACTTGACAAGAATGTATTGGATGCATATATATATATATATACGTAATATAATATTTATATATTAAGTATTTAAAAGCCAAGAGTTGGAACATATAAATACATGTCGTACATATAACATGTATCACTGAATTTGTAACACCTGCGGATTGAATTATTATATCTAATATTGTCTAATCACTAAACACCCAGAGAATGCCCAATGTTTTTAGAAATTGGGGACCCCCAACGTCCACCTTCATGGATCAGCATCAAAATATGCAAATTTGAGGGGAAAACCATAGCTTTGGGGTGTCATCCATCCCCTTTTTGGATAGCCATCTAAAACTCATGACGCTCTAGATGGCACCGTATAACACATCCCAAACCCTTCAACATGGAAACAATTCAATAAAATCCGGTGGAACAATGATTGCATTGGAATGCTCAGTGGAAGATGAAGGGTACCCACAAGCCTAGTGCCATTGAGAATCAATGGTTCCAAAATCCCAACGGAAAGGAACTCCCACTCTCTGCGGACCACATCGGGCCACAGTTTCAAGTGCCTTGTCGGCGGCCGGCGCTTCACCAGCGCTATAACTCCTAGGAGGAACAATGCGCTGCAGAGTCAACAATGCTCTATGGATAAAAGGTGGACTTACACATAGACTCGCACAATATGTCGCATGTAGTTATTTCTTCCGCATCAACAAGACAATGTTCGTTTTGAGTAATTACCAATCATCATTACCCATACCCCGTCCCATGTCATCACATTCATCACATACTCATCACATATTCATCACATACTCATCACATATTCATCACATATTCATCGTATATTTATCATAATTCATCATATTCATCATATATTCATCATATATTCATGATCTATTCATCATATATTCATCATATATTCATCATATATTCATCATATATTCATCATATATTCATCATATCCATCATGTCAATGTTTCACAAAGTCAAATGAGTAGTCCGTTTTGGTGTCTTGCAAGCTTTATTGAAAACCCAACGTCGTGATTCTGCAAGAGCTGCCTCTGAACAGCTCCTTCGATTCCAAGATGTCCAAGTGGACCAATCTCAGGCCAACTTTATTCAGATATGTTAATATAATATAATATAATATAATGCCAATATAATTCATCATGTTTTTCACAGAGTTCCACATGATTCCATAATATAGTTCCATATAGTTCCATATAATGGCATCTAATTCTCTAGCTAATTGAAGACCCTTTTCATGTAGATTCCCCAGAATCACTGAGGCAGCGGACTCCAAGGATTGTTTGGATCCACCCACCAGGGACAGGATGGCCGGCAGCAACCACAAGCCGTGCGCGCCAGCAATGACCACCACTAGGAAAAGCACCTGCCCACATTTCAGAAACTTTACAGTAGGGATGATCCATTCTACATAGCTAATTCAGATTCATCTTTTTTTCCGATTTCATGATTTCCTCTAGCTGCTTGTACTGTACCAAGATGTCCTCGGCGACTCGCCAAACAGCGACCTTGAAGAAGATGCGGAAGACGTAGCTCTCAGACAAGCCAACCACAACCACCTCAGTGTGTAGCGAGGAACGAAAGGTTTCGGTGAAGATTTGACCAATACCTTGTCAGGGGCAGCAACTATTGGTAGTGATTGGCGAATCACAGATGCAGAACCAGGAATCACCAACCCTTTGAAATGTTTGGCAAGCCAATGCAATCCCGTACATTTTGTTGTATGGTTACCTTCACCCAACTTTGTCTTTCCTACTTCTTCTGACCCAGAAGCCAATATTTCAATATTCTTGTTAAAACCTCCCATTGACATTCCTCATACTTCATGTCTTTCAACTGTGTCAGCCAATATTTCAATATGTTTGTCCACATTCTCAACGGTCTATCATGGTTTGTCTTTTGCGGGATATCCCGATTTTCTTGTATATACTTTATTAAAAACAAAATGGCTCAGTGCTGGTGCAGGGTCTATGTTAAGGGGAGTTCAGAGGTATGACAATTGGTCATTGAGTCATAACGGAAGGGGCTACAAATAGCACCAGATGCCTAAATCTGGAGTTTCTCAGTTTCGAGGTCTCAGTTTCGTTAAATTTATTAAATTGGAGTTTTGAACCTTTATCATGGTTTATCATGGTTTATCATGATTTATCATGATTTATCATGGTTTATCATCGTCATCGTCGTCGTCGTCGTCATCATCATCATCATCATCATCATCATCATCATCATCATCATCATTTTCCCATATGTTCCTATATTTCCCTATGAACATGACATAACATGACCATAAAATTTGATAAAATTTGGGGGTACACACCATTTTTATCCATTTTTCCCATCTTCCATCAGCTCCAAAGGGCCGCCAGCAAGGTGGACAGGACGGCATTGAAGGTGCACACCCCGATGCGGTCTACCGCGTTGATGGCCCGTTCCCGGGCCGTGCCCGTGGACTCCTTGTGGCACAAATGGCCTTTACGGCCATGGGTGACATTGGAACCTCAGTGAGATACAAGTTACAATAGGTGAGTTTGACCTTTTGGCATCTGGAAAGGTTAGATCTATAGGCTATGAGCAATCCTGAGGTGACACTCCGTCCTTGAACATGTGAGCGATGTGCGCCGCGTAGTCAACGGCAAGACCAACACAAATCAGCACATAGATCCTGAGCCCACCCAAAAATGGAGGGCAAATAGGGATGGAATGAAATGGAAACCAACAAACACATTCGATATTGGCTAAGAAGCATTCAGCAAACAAATTCTAGTTGAGCTTAATGAGGCCTAATGATCGAGTTCGCACCGGAAGAAAGTAGACAGATGTAGACAAAATGAAACCAACAACCAGTATCTGGGTATTCCTAAAACTGTGGGAACAATCGAGAACGGGATAGTCAAAGATTCAACATCTTGAAGGTGTGCGGGTCTCAATCTCGTTCGGCCAGTGGTGCAACATGCAGTTTCAGAACTACTGTTCTTTCGATCCTAGCTGATACAGTACTGTGCACCTTCCAACCAAGCATTCCAGTCCCAAGACCAATCCCTGTCTCGCATGGAGAGTCACGTGGACACACCACTGATCGTCACGTCCCAGAAATACATATAGCCCAGTGTGTTCACGATGGACAACACCACACAGAGCACCACCTCAACGCATCGTTGCCCATGGCATAGGATGGCATAGGGAGCTGGTGATCTGGTATCTGAAGCTTACTGTTAAAGGGAGAAATATCAACAGCTATCCAAGGTTCTGATTGAAATCTCCAACATGGCACATGGACCAAACCAGGGTCAAGGCACTATGTCTATATGATTCTATATGTCTCTGTGAGTATTTAGCACTTGCACTGTGTAATGATGTGAAGGCAATGTGAAGCCAAGTTGCAGTACACCATCAACATTGGAATAAAAACACATGGTTCCCAGGTTGGGATTCCTTTTCATCATCATCCCCAGCCCCAACCCCCGCCCGCATCCCCATGCACCAAGTGGACCTCCCTCCGCCAAGGCGCCCAAATGGCAATGCGCGGGTTGGGCACCAGCGCAAAGATCACCACTAAGATCACCGCGCCGCAGATGGCCAGGTTCCTCACAGATCGCGGGGAGGTTTTCCATCGCAAGGCTTTTCGGAAAAATCTGGGGGGTGAGGAATGACTCTGAATTCGGGAGAATACTACAATATCAAACAAATATATATATATATACATATAGTATACTGCAAATATATGTAAATATGTCATGCAGATTGGGATGTTCAACTGTCAACCCTTTATTTGTTTGGACGTGCTTCGAAGAACTCCTCCGTCGCTGCACAGTGTCAGATGTGAGATGTCAGGGAGGTAAAATGAAGACATCTTCCATCAAAGGCATTCATAAAATCATGTAAAGCCATATAAAACCCACATAGGCCTTGACAACATCGAATTGGTATCCAAACATGTGTCTTTGTGGCATCCTCAACTGCCTATCAAACTGGCAGAAGTACGGAGACCCTGCAAGGTAACCAGCTATTGGATTCTTTCTGTTTCTGGAGGCAAGAATTTTTATTTCATGAAGTTGTTGACCGCAACCCTCAAAAAATGGGTTTCCTACTGAAACAGACTGTGGTGCCAAATCCATATGGGTCTATTCTTACAGATTGTTGTTCCTTTCAAGAAACAACTGAAACTCAGCCACCCAAAATCCAGAGATATCATCGTCAGAAGTCAAATCCAAGCAGCTTGATCAGTTCTTCGTCAATGATGCCCACCTGGTTGGTGGTTAAACAGGGGCTGAATAAATAGATGCAAAAGGTACCCTGGATGAAGAACCACCAGCAAGAGCAGGACTGCTGAAAATCTTGGCAAAGTTGGTACTTGTGCATTTGTGTTGGATGCTCTGATTCACACTTCCATGAGAGTGATGCAACCTGTTCTTCATTACAGTATGTAACATAGTAAGAGATAGTAAGAGTATAAATATAGTATTGTAGCCGGTGCAGGGTACGACTCTTCTACAAGCCAGTGTCTCAGGCCAATTCGACATATTCATACATATTCCAAGTAATTACAAATCACAAGATGTCGCAACCACAGTGAAACAGATGCCCCTGCAATCTTCAGCCCCTACTGGGAGTCGTTGATCCATTCTCGCATTCTACTCGCATTGAATCGCCTGTTCTTCTGATTTCTTCTGTGGTTGCATCAGGTCACCCGCACATTGTCTTCCTAAAGTTTGCTGTTTAAACCCATGATGTAAAAAATAATCATCTTGAATGTGATCGCTTCTTCCATCCAAATTCCTGTTCTTCAAACTATCCCCATATTCCGACCTATTCGCCACCCGAAGCAACTCCGACCTCTTCCCAGTAGAGGAAGTCGAAGCTGTACGGGAAAGCTCCAGCATAGAGTTCCGAAACCTGGAGCCCATGCGCTTTCAAGGCGAGGGGGGTCAGCACTGGAGGTGCAGAGTTGAATGGTTGGCCAAAGATTTCTTTAGGATGTTTAGGTATAAGGAAACCATGCTACGTTTGTGCTTGGGCATTCCAAATCGACCATACATTGTGATACATTGTGACGCATTGTGAGAGTCCACTTCCGAATTTTCGCCTCTCAAAATGCAAGCTGCAGGTCAGATGGTTTGGGCAAGGTGGGCCACCACTTACAGGTACCACGTGCTGCCTTCAACACCGTCCACAACTTTTTCACAAAAATACGGACACCATATCAGAGAACCTGCCTTGCTCCTCATGCTTGTCATCGTGTCATAGCGGTCGGTGCCTCCAGGGTGAATCAAGCCGCAGGAAAGGAGCATTGTCAATTGACAGTACATCCGTTGATTTTCTAATGGGGCTCAGATTCCCAAGTCATTCACCATGCATCTGTTCCCGTAACAATATCTTTTAGTGAGGTCATCCCCTACATATGCCCCAACCTTCTATTAGATTCTATTATGGATATGATATGCCTATATATATAATATTATATATAATACTATATAGATATGCTTATTGTATAGCTAGTATATGCCAGTATAGCATGTGATTGAGAAACTCGTAGCTCCAACTGCCTCCCCATATTCTCCGGGAAGCGCCTCGATTGGTTACCTCCAGAGCCAGCTCCGCGTTGAAGCGGGAGGCCTTCAGACCGTCGGTCCTTGGCACCCCCCAATGGCCCATTGAAATGGAGAAACTGGCTGAATTTCAGATTGATTCATGATGATTCATGAATGTATATATACATTATATATATATAATTATAAATTATATATAATTATATGTATTATTTTGGATAGCCTGTTTTGAAAAGACACAAGAATATGCTTCACTGGGCTGTTTGAAGGGACATGTTCCAGGAAACCATAGTTTTTTTACCAGTGAAATATAGAGACTTCCTGCAGATGTTCACTTCATCCAAGTCTAGGAATGCTGGAGAGATTCCAAGCGTGTCTGATCAGCAACTCTGGAGATGTTTTGCCAGCACAAGTGGTGATATATGGTGATATTGTAGGAAACAAATGCTGGCATTTACCGGAAAACATGGATTGCGGGTGGGTTCGGTTCACGAGATGATTGGGGCAGAACCAAGCAACCTGCAGACATGTAGATGAATGTTATAATGTTATTGTATCAGTACAGTTTTACAGCATCAAGTAGAGCAATAATATGCATAAATACACGAGACACTGGTTTTTGCTTCTACTGATTGATTCCTGGAGGTTGCAAATCGAACTCAATAAGCTCTTCCACCAGAAACACCAGCAGCTGCGGACGGATTCTAAGAGCCCCCACACTGTGCAGCCGGTTGGGAGGGCATCCACAGTGGCGTTCACGTTGCAGTCCTGCAACAGAGCATTAAGGTCACATGATGGCAGGTCGAATATGCAGGCCTCAGCGGGTCGAAACAACCTAAACTATTGGGATAGCATGAGATACTCAATCCCAGGATGTTTTCTCAGTTTCCCTACTCCCAAACCTTACGCCATGACAATGATATGATCGATCTCTGTGTTTCCGTCCATTATATAAGAGTTGATCCATGAACTGTACCAGATCCTAGGCATCGCGGGTCAGCTGGGTCTGGGGCATTTCTCCCTACCATTGCTGATCATAATCCCAAACATTGGACAAACATCCCAGGAATGTAACTTGTAAAGTCATTCAAATCAGAGGTCCCTTACATTTCTTACATGACATTTCGTCCCAGGCTTGTGATCCTCAATTCGGCACATCCCCGGTCAGTCCCATCCCGGTCCCAACATCTCCCGACCAGGTCACCCTATTCACCCTGGATCTTCCACCGAACTTCCTCGTCTTTCCAGCTCAAAGAGTTGCGGAAGCGCGACCCCACATTGGTGCGGTACCTCACCGCTGAACGCAAGCTGGGAGTGAAGGGGTGGGCGACCCCAGCAGTTACAAACAATGTACTGTTCTGATTCATGATCTTTCATGTACGTAATGTTACCCACAGACGCCGCGTGTTGCCCAGACATTAACATTGAGGATGTCAAGTTGTTGAATAAGATAGGAGAGATTGCAGAAAATACTGCATATACACAGAACTTTCTGGCTTAGGATTCAAAGTTTTCAGGGTTTAGGTTTTAGGGTTTTTGGTTTGAGGTTTTAGGGTTTTAGGTTTTTGGGTTTTGGGTTTAGGATTTAGGGTTTAAGGCTCGTCGTCTGGGAAATCTCAAAACAATGGCCCTGCGCAGGTGTTTGAGCATGTTGAAGGATATTGCTTAAACGCCATGTGAACTTTCCGGGCAACACGCAGCGCCTGGCCGTAATGTTATATATGTCTATGTTATGTAAGCAATGTACTACCTGATCTGGTTGGCTCATATCATATCAATTCATATCATATCTTTTCATCCCACAACGCCCTTCCGCCACATCGCCAAGGCGCCACAAGTGCAGAGCCGTGTAGAACTCTGTTTCGACGCCAAACACAGCGTCAGTGGCCGTGCGAGAAGGAGTGAAGGTGTCATCCGCCGTGGCAGCCTCCCCACAACTATAATTAGACCCTGCCAAATGGGGGCTTGGAACATGGCGTATCCTCAGGGTCTATCATTGTTCGGAGATGGTAAGATCAATATTCAGCTCAAGTGCCTTAAGACATGTACAAGTATGTCTGATTTATGCGAGTTCCAATATTGGCGTGCCTGTCAATCTCTTGTGATCAATCTACAATGGTATCCAATCAGCGGCATTGCTAGACCATGACAGTACCTCACATAAGCAGCATAGCCTAGACTCGCCTAGACAATTTGTCGCCATCTTGAGAATCCCAATTCCATCATCTGCGTAGCAAAGTATCGAGTCAAAAGGCGCTTCAGTGTTGAGCAAACCCAAATGAGGCCCTTGGAAGGGAAACCTATCCACATAACTCAGCGGAGGTTACCCATGGGTGACAGTAAATGACAGTAAGCCCAGGATGGATTTCTGGCGACATAAAACGACACGTTTTAATCAAAACGCACCATGTCGGTGGATCCCAACATGTCCGATGTGCTGTTTTGGTGATGCCCAACAAAGGGCTGGTATGAGAATCAACATCCGATGTCTGCAGGTCATGGCAAGTGGAAGTAGTATGAATTGTATAAACATATATATGTATATATATATTATATATATATAATTATATATTATATACATATAATATGTATTATGATGTATTATGTTTATATTATATATGTGGGTGGGGTAGAGCAAGAAGGTGGCCAAAATGATATAGACACGCGAAAACACCAATCAGCTGACTACTCAGCTCCGCCTGAGTTGGCTCGGTGGCCCACTCCATGAACTCTTCATACCAGCTATCCACCGCTACATCCTGCGCCGGCGGTAGCCCAGATGTCAAGATGATGCCACCATCGATGGGCGCAGGATGATAAATGGGGTTTTCCACAAATCTGGAGTGCCCCAAAATCAATGGTTTATGATGAAAAAAACCATTGAAATGCATGATTTGGGGGTCCCCCCATTTGCGGAACCCTCAAATGGTGCCAAGCAAAGGATCCAAAGCTGTGTAGTGATATGTAGTGATTATTTCCCAGCAATAGAATCGTCTGCAAAGGCATTAACAATGCTAAACAGCTTGATCAAATTCCGGCTCCACATGCCATCCTTGTGCACAAAAAGAACATTGGCAACCCAGGTTGCGAGCCCTGCAATGCCCTGCGTCACATCCGCCAGGACCATTTGGGGTTGGGATAACTTTGGGGGCATCCCCCGTTTCTGGTGGATTTGCCCCAGCTCGACCACGCCTTGTTCACCAAATGAGTGCTGTTCAAGTAGTCATAGACCTCATGGAGGTTGCTCTGCATGCTGAAGGCGTTGGATTCTGGGAAGTTCACCGTGATGGGCGTGCCTCGAGCCACCGGTAGCCACCAGGGCTTTGGAAACCCACGGTGGTACCTGAAAAAGGGGAACTGTGATACCTGACAACCAGCTGTAGTGGGCACCATGGAAACTTGCTGAATTCAACGCTTTGACCCAGCTTGTCCAACAGTTGAGGCTCTTGGCAAGTGGCATCTCAATCTGCAAATGTGAATGGATCAACATTTCTACCCCAAAGATTTGATGGACTAAGAATGTCAAACATGTGTGTTTTCGACAAAATCTTAGGGATACAGAGCCAAGATCCACATGGTGTTATCATAGATTGGACTGTTCGATCTGTATTCGCAGAGGGAATCAAATCAGATCAATCCAGTCAAACACAACTAACCACCCTGCAAACATGCCACATGCATCCTACAACTCGAGTATGAATCCGAACCTGTTTCATAGTATGTTCAAACTGCTCCAGATTTGGAATCCAGCAATTTGCATGCGAAAACTCAACTACCAAAGATATTCAAAAATCATGGCCCCTTGGCCTGTGAACACATCGATCTGGGCCCTCAGCTTCTAAAATTGGTTTCAACAGAACCATGTTAACCAAAACTCAGATTTTGTGGGCCACTGCATCACCGTATCCTCTTCATCTTGCTACTTGGAACCTCAGTTTCAGTACCAGCTATAAATCCATCCAGGCCGTCACAGCCCTCATTTTGATCCAGGCGCCTGTGGCAAAGTTCTCACTGTTGATCGTGAAGAAGGTGTTCCTTGGGGTCACCCGTTGTGTCGGTGGTATGGGATGGCAGAATACATGGCAGAATATGGATAAATATGGCAGATAATAGTTTCCTATATTTCTTGCCAGCGCGCTTTGGATGTTGCACAAAATGTTTTTGCACATTTTAGCACCACTTATATAGGTGCTCTATGAAAGCATTCCTGAAGGAGATCCGTGCCGGAGATTCCATGTCAATGTGAGGGGATCCAATGCCAAGAGACACATAGGAAGAATCTGGAATGAACCACTCGAGCTTGAAGTCCTGCAAGGGCATGTCGGAGCATTTCCCTCTCAACATGTGTAGATGGGTCATGATGAGTCTGGATGATTCATAACCACTCCTCCAATATTTATTCAGGCGTTTCTGATGCAACTCCCCCAATATCGCCAATATCGATTAGATCTAACCAGCATTTATGGTCAGGTCGCATTCAATGGTCCATGTAAGTGTTTGCTTCCACGAAAATCATGTGGGTTCCCAACATCCTCAACTCTATCAACAGACTCTTTGAAAAAAGATGAAAAAAGTACAGAGTTGAATTTCTGGAGCTCCAAACCATTGGTGCCCACATCCATGGACACAGACTTTGGAGGCAAAGGAAGAAACTGAAGGACAAGAAGACAGGAAAGCAAGGACATGGAAGAAGTGAAGCATGGAAATCAGCTAACGAAATTGGGAATAATAAAGACAACGCAAAAAAACTCTTGGACAAAAATTCAAAGAGTATCAATCTTTCGTCCACTCCATTGGCGTTCCTTGTAGATCTTAGTCGTGCCAAAGATTCCAACGCCGGTGATGATGGCGAAAAGGATAAAGGTCACCACCTGCGCTTGGGTGAAAGGGCCAGGGTCAATATACACATTGTGATCCTAGTGATCAGTCAGAAATGCTTGCCCTCCCGTCATCAAACGTGGCTAGCTAGGTTTTGTGGGAAAATATGGGAACATCATCTATAGATATTAATTATAGATGATGGATTCTCAATCACCATGCTTGATTGTTGGAGGCTACTTCATGTAACTTCGATCTTCCACAGATCTTGCGACACGGTGACAGTTTCTTGAGATGTACGAGGTCACCCATCCCGCTGGCGCCTGCCCAATGGGCTTCGTGGTTTGCTCAGTGAACTTCCTCAAACCTCCGCTGATGTCCGGGGGCATCGGCATTAGAGCCTGACTATCTGGTGGAATTACATGGAATTACCCCACAAATTGCGAAACAATACTAGTAAGATCTAGTAAGATAATGTGTACCCGCCTTGTTACAATAAGCTGGGGTGATGTCCCGCCTTGTTATAATAAGCTGGGGTGATGTTAATCCTGGGTTAACATTATAAGAACTGGTGGAATCAGATTCGTTGAGTAAATCTGCAAATGAGGAGAAGGAATCTATTCCATTCTATTCCTTCATGCCTTGGCGTCAAGTTCAATTCTATGATTCTATGCCCTTCTTGACCCGAGTACCGACGAATCATCTCCACGTTGAAAAGTTCAACTACAATAAGAGCACACAAGGTTCATCTATTTTGCCATAGCCAGGAGCAAGCATCTTGTGTGCGGCATCTGGCATGAGGTGGCTCAGGTCACCTCATCTATCTCCATGAGACTTGGGAAAAGGACTCATCCACGTACTGCTTCACTTGCTTGAGATCTGCAGCGCGCAGATTCAAGTTGCCTAGACCAGCGACGAAGCGATGTCAGGGTGATCCTCGTCTCCATGCAAGGAGCGCTTCATTCACAAGCCCTCAGCCAAGTGCTGCTTCATAGGCTGCTGACTCACGAGGGCGGTGTTGCAGGAACCTTAAGGGTGATTGCCGTTCCCATGCAAGGATCGTTTCATTCTTAAGGACTTCTGGAAGTGCTGCTGTGCTTCCCCGGGATCTCCAGCCTGCTTACTCAAGATTCCTAGCTCCTGCAGTGTCGCTGCAATGTCTGGGTGATCTTTGTCCCCGTGCAAGGAGAGCTGCATTCGCAAGGACTCATCCAAGTGTTGCTTAGCTTGCTTGAGATCCCCAACCTCACGAGTCAGTCTACCCAGCTCGCGCAGGGTCGTGGCAACGTCTGGGTGATCCGTGTCCCCATGCAAGCAACGCTTCATTCTCAAGGACTCATCCAAATACTCCCTGGCTTTCTTGAGATCTCCAGCCTGCAGACTCAGGTTACCCAGCGCATGCAGTGTTGCAGCAATGTTGGGATGATGTCTCTCCACATGCAAGGAGCACTGCATTCTCAAGGACTCATCCAAGTGCTGCTTCGCTTGTTTGAGATACCCAGACTGCCGGCTCAAGTTGCCTAGCTCGCGCAGTGTGGAAGCAATGTCAGGGTGATCACTGTCCCCGTGCAAGGCGCGCTTCATTCTCAAAGACTCATCCAAGTACTTCTTCGCTCCATTGAGATCTCCAGTCTGCTGGACTACAACGCCAAGTGCGTGCAGAGTCTTAGCAACATTGGGGTGATCCCTGTCCCCATGCAAGCAACGTTTCATTCTCAAGGACTCATCCAAATACTCCTTCGCTTTCTTGAGATCTCCAGTTTGTCGACTGAAGCGGCCTAGCTCATGCAGTGCTGCAGCAATACTAGGGTGATCCCTGTCACCGTGCAATGAGCGCTTCATTCTGAAAGACGCATCCAAGTACTTCTTGGCTCCATTGAGATCTCCAGACTGCTGACCAACAAGGCCGAGCGCATGCAGTGTCTTGGCAATGCTAGGGTGATCCATCTCCCCATACAAGGAGCGCTTCATTCTCAAGGACTCTGTCAGGTGCTGTTTTGCTTGCTCGAGATCTCCAGCCTGCCTACTTCCAAGGCCTAGAGCATGTAGCGTTGTAGCAACTTCAAGGTGATCGCCGTTCCCATGCAAGGATCGTTTCATTCTTAAGGACTTCTGGAAGTGCTGCTGTGCTTCCCCGGGATCTCCAGCCTGCTTACTCAAGATTCCTAGCTCCTGCAGTGTCGCTGCAATGTCTGGGTGATCTTTGTCCCCGTGCAAGAAGAGCTGCATTCGCAAGGACTCATCCAAGTGCTGCTTGGCTTGTTTGAGATCTCCAACCTCTCGACTCAGTCTGCCTAGCTCCTGCAGTTTCGCAGCTATGTTGTGGTCTTCTTTACTCTTTTGTCCAGTCTGCAACTCCCGCAATTCATGCTCCAAGGCCTGCATTTTTGTTTCTGTTTCACCCCCTGAAATGGCCTCAGGAAGGTTGAAAGTCTCTGCGCCCTCTTGTGCAGATGATTCGGCCACACTCCACGTAACTCCTGTGACAGTCCCTGCCAGGGGGGCATGTGGGTGTGATCGGGCAGTGTGGTCTGTAAACACATCAGAACGCTCGCCCAAAATTTCCACCAGCACGAATGGCCGCAGCAGCTCCTCAGCTTGCCGAGCAGCAGAAATGATCAGTTGACACACTGATCTCACGGCACTCGTGCTCCGATCTGCATCGGGCTTCGTCATGTCAGCTGCACATTGGCGGACTGCTTTGAGCACACCAAAAACGTTGCCAGGGCTGCCAGGAGTCTCAATGGCCAAGTCCGGGTCCTGGAAAAGGCCAAACAATGGATACAGGGAAAGCCTGAGGATTGGAAAGTGCTTCACACATGTTTCACACATGTACACCCCCCATCACCCCTCTAAGACCACAAAAAAAACGGTGCTTGGCTTAAAAATTAACTCAGCACTGCCCTGGCCGTCCTGCAATTGAGAGTCTTTGCCGTCAGCCCCAAGCAACAACAGGATCTGATTCGCGTGGGCTCGAGTCGCGCGCACACTCTCCCACATATTGGCCGCCTCCTCTAGCATCGCCGCTTGCAGGTCGACCACTCTGTCAGGATGCTCATAGATGACGGCCTCCCGGATCGCCTTGAAATTGTGAACGATCCTGGGTTGAACACCAAAACCAACTGCTTTCAGCCTGACCTGGACCCTGATGCATGTCTAGAATGCCTGTTTTAGGATTGTTTAGGTACGCCTTGGTTCATTTTGTATCATTCTGTCACGAATGATGAATGATGGATGCGACTTGTACTGTTTTGGACGGTGCCTCTTCGAACAAAAAATGAATACAGTATAAAATTTAAGACAAATGGTCCAATCTTTTTTAAGAACAATATGTCAAAAGTCAAAACCCCAAAAACAAACAGGATTGACATCTTTCTCCAGGATCTTTTGGTCCACGTCGAGCTGTTCCATCTCAGTATGACTGCACTGGTGCAAACATGGCCATGGAGACTAGTTGGCCTGTCAATTTCAACAGACTTTACCTGGAAGACTGATGAAGACTGGAAGTTGCTGAAAGCTTTATGAACCTGGATTTGTTCAGTATCAGGGGGTGTAGTCACTATAGTCCATCCAATCCCGCTTGGGGTCAAAGATTTGGTCGAATGTGTATGCGATTCGGGCAGCTGAGGGGAACTCCAATAATGTTGGGCTGCAAGCTGCCCGAGCAACGTCTCTGCAACGCGGTCTGCTGAGGCTTCGAAACAATTATTCTGGAGCTTCTGGGATGTACGGAATCCCACATATTACACGGATGCGTTCATATCATGTGAAGAAAATTCAAGCACGAACAGGACCAACAGGTGCAAGACTTCCATTGAAGTCACTGTTATGCTTCAATATATCAAAACATGTTTGACATTTGTCAGCTAAATATATACATCGGTCGGTCCAGAACCCATTTCGCTACTGGCATCCGTGTGCATGCCATGCACTATACTGATTCTCCAGGTCAAATTCAAGAGGCTCTCGCCAGAGCAGGAAATGAGCCACAGGTCTCGATCACCGAAACAGATTTTACCATCTCTTGGCAAACAAAAGCACTCCACAAGATGATTCATGCAGGGGCTACCTCAGAAACAGGATCATCACGGATTCTACAAACTAATTTTACCCAGTTGTAGATCATTTCCGACCGGGACACCTCCGACTCCCCCATAATCCGAGCCTTTCTTGATCACTCCACCCTTGAAGACCTGGGGAGGCAAGCCAATGGGGGATACAATCTGTTGCCATGGCAATCTATTTTTCAATAGGGAAAATGATGATAAGCCATGATAAGCCATGGGGTCTATCGGGGTAGCATATTTTGAGACAAAGCCATATCACCCAAATGCCTGTCCGCCACCACCATCATCCCATTGGGTAGTTGAAATTCATTGACGATATTGACGTCTTGATGAATCACAGCATGACCGAGTCATATCCCGAGTCTTTGAGTGGCCATTTAAGGCCACACCTTGCTTCATCCACCATTTTAGTTTTGTAATTGTTGATTCTTGAACTCTCATTATCCCAATACGTTGAATGCTTTTATGAAAGATGTTGGTGGCTCAGAATATTTTATATCCACACTTCATCTCTCCAACTTGATCAATAACATGAATTATTCGCATATAAATCCATATTATCATTTGGTGAATATCCATGAAGATCCCCATTCTTAGCTTCCTAACCTGCGTGAGTCCTTGAGTTCCTTGGCCAAGATACCTTCTGTGGCAGGCAGCAGCAACAGCAGCCCTGCGGATCATCCAAGCTACGCTCCGCCACCTTGAAGCAGCAGCAGCAATCCACCCGGCTGGCGGCTGTACCTGTAGAGGTGGCAGTTGTTCCCACTTGATGCAACATCATGTGGAACTCATGGGTTTTTTGGGGTAAACTCACGGAAAATCGATGTTCAACTCACTGGGGCAAGTTTCTCAACCTGAAACAGTTTGTATATCAAATGGATTCGGATGCCTTCTGCTTCAATGGGAGCAAATCCAACATTTGTGAATCCGGTGGTTTTTCTGCGGTGCCAATTCAAAAAGAACAAAGTAGCTTGGAAAATGGGGGTGGCCTATCAAAAATATTCAAAAATGACGATGTGAAACATCCCTACATGTTTTTCTCCAAGTTTGAAGCTTCCCTACCTAAACCCCAACCCCCCACCTACCCCGAATGCGCACGGCGGGCATTCAGGGCCAAGCAAGGCAGGAACACGGTGAGCTGAAAGGTGTAGCAAAGGCAAATCGACACGCCTCACTGAGAATGGAGATATGGTTTCCCACTTTGGAATTCTCATAACATATTTGTTATATATATATATTTATTGCAATCACTGGTAATCAGTAGCAAGCAATGGATGACTGCAAAAGATAGGTGAGTGCGAGTAACGACCTGATTTTTGGGTGGCTGATGTCGGGGTTACAAAGAGATACTAAGAGGCCAATGATTAGATCTATGGTGATTTTTTGCACACCTTTGAATGTCATTTTGAATCCCATTTTTTCGGGGTAAGCCCAATTTCATAAACCACAAAAATTGGAGACCGGTCTTGATTGGGTTCACCTCATCAAATACCAACAGTACCGATATCCCACCGTTGTTTTTTCCCCACCTGCATAGGTGCAGAACCAGCTGAGCGCCGGCAGCACTGTGGTGGCACCCACCAAGAAGGCCAAGGCATCGGTGGCGGAGGTGATCAGCACCTGATCCGACGCTTCGAAGATTGGCCGAAACTGCCCTGGCTGGGCTGGTTGGTGATTTGAATTTGATTCCAAGTGAAAAAAAAACCTGGAAAAAAACTGGGTTTTGGTTGGGTGGAATTTGCTAGCAGTACAGGGAAAAGTGAGATACAGAGGTTTGATTAGGTTTGAGACCGTGAAAAAACTCTAGAACCTGCTAAAACATTGGCAGCAAAGACTAGGAGTGCCCTAAGAAAAACTTTGCAACCCTTCTGGATGATAAATGTGTTCAGCTTCCCGGCAGCTTCCCACACCATTCGTTTTGGAGGAACGTCGATGGTGTTGGAACTTTCCGGGGAGATATTTTGGGGACTACTGATGGTTTACTTTTAGGAGAACCACTGTTTTACATTGTTTTACTTCTTAGGGAACTACCCGCAACATGTTTGATTTCTGGGAACTTTTCAAGGGAAGCTTTGTTTTTAGGGCGCTCTCCAGGAATTCCCCATGGAACTTGGCAGTTCTCCAACGGTATCTGGGCTGCCCAGTTACAGAAATGCCACCAGTGCGTGCCGTCTTGGCAATGAGCTCAGGCACGTCCAAAGAACCACCCTGACCATGCAAGAGATCCAAGGTGTTGGATCACAAAATGGTCATAAGATGTCATTGGTAAGACTTTCAAACGGCAAGTTGGGATTGCACAGAACCAAACCTACCCAAGGTGTGCAACAACCGTTTCTGGTGTTGACAGGTGACAACAGGTGACAACTAGATTAGTAAACGAAAGGCCTTCACCTAGTAGGGAGTGACCGTGCCTGATCACTGATGGAGTTAGAACACTAAAACGACTTTGCGTGACTCAGGGTTATTTAGGGCACCCCCGCCCCAGCAGCAGCCCAAACTTCCATCCTTGCCTTGGTTTTGGCTTCTCTGGAGTGCGTCAAGTATTCAGAGGTTAGTACAAAGGCGTCATCCACGCCCAGACCCAGCAGGAGGAAGTACAGGTTGTTGTTCAAGTTACCTCAGCCGCAAAAATGCGCAGAAATCATTTGTCCCAGGATGCGTAGGGAAGTGTAAACCTTCCAACAAGAATTGAATATTAGTTTGAATCGGTTCGTTCCTTTCTTAAACATTGGCACCAAGTTCGCAACATCATATTCCCCAATAACAGAAATAACAATGCATATATATTATATATATGGAGGGTATAAATTGCAGCTAATGCACAGTTTTCAAGAACGCCCATTCATGACATTGTTGTGTATATCCTCATTATACAATCATTGTATATATTCAAATGATTTCAAATGTATCCATTGTATAAATGTGACATCACACTCCCACCCTATGTTTGTTGGTAAATCCCACATGGCTGGTGCTATCCCCAGCTATACCCCATTGAAATTTGCGGTGAATCGCAATATATTCAGTGAAATAAACGTCGCCATATACGCAAACCCGCAGTAACCCCCATGTTTGATGCTTCAAAAATGGTTCATCCAACATGTTCAGACTTCCAAAATTCATCGCCCAGGGGCCATTGGGCACCTGGAAGTAACCCATCAAACCCAACGTGGAGACGATCGTCAATCCGACGATGGCCACTGCCACGAAGGCCATCGCTGCTCCGCTGTGCACCGCGTCGCACTTGCCAAGCATGATCTCAGGGGCTGGCCAGATGGGAAGCTCACAAGTTTGGATAGTTTATACGTAAAACAGGTCTATACAATATATATATATGTATATATATATATATATGTATACATAAATACTATCGTAGTAAATGTTTAACGAATTACATTATAGGATATAAATATAATGTTATGCAGTATAAAATTGCAATATATTAAATTATGCAATGTCACATGAACTTGTTTTTTTTTGATATGATGATATATCATATTTTGTTAAATTTACAATATTTCATTAAATTGTAGCACTAAATTGTGTATTATCTTAAATTACTTCGAACATATAAATTAAACATTGTATTTCAGTATATTCATTTGTCAAAATATATACGTCAGTTATTGCACATAAAATCAAACAGTAAATTGAATTTGACCTTCAAAATTGCAAATCAGATATTAAGTATTAAAACTAAAATAAGAAATTTAAAACCACAAGCGATGTACCATAGATTGTTTATGACTGGCTAAATATCTAAATCATATTTTTTGAAAAAAAACAAAATCATTATTGCCGATATTAAACATTATTGAAAATTAATTGTCATAGTTTAAATACAAAAAATATATACATATATACTAAATATACTATGTATACACACTAAAAATACGTTATATGTATGTATATATATACCGAAAATACTATGTTTGTACTATATATTTGTTAAATTAAATATTTGTCAGGTAGTTGTTCTATTTTATTATATATTATGTCTGTTGTATACAATATGGATATATTGTGTTACATTATATTATGATACATATTGACTTGATGGTACGCTGTTCAACATGCATCCATAATATACGTACAAAAATGTACTTCCATACAACCCCGCTCGCAATATTGATTCTAACATGGGTGTTGTCATTGTAAAGGGTGGGCCTAATGAAAGGACAAGCCTCCCCAGCTTGGGTTTGCACAATTAAAAAACGGCGTGCAAAATGACAATCTCAAAGGTTTTATGGAATAGATGTAAGCACCGTTATTTTTTTGTCGCAAACACGCTTTCAAAAAAACGATCTGACCTTTTGCATCGACCTGCCCCCCATCTCACACTTTATGACACAAAAGGGGTTCAATGTTGAAGTTGGTGAGCTGTTGTTGTTGCGGTCGGGCTTAATATGGGGGGGTAACAGTTGGGTTTAGGTTCTCCCACATCATTGTGCTGTTGTCGGTTCAACTTTGCTTCAGTTACCAGTTATGACATATTTGCTGTTCAAAATCATTGGAGGCGCTTAGTCCCGAAAGATGCACCCAAGGATCCCGTTGCTGGCGAGTCACAGCGCAGTAGACCTTAAATGCACGACTCGTTTTAATGGTTCCCATGGTTCCAACATGTTCCAATCACCCAGAAATACTAGCAACCCAAATTGCTGTATCTAAAAGTTCATAAATTTGGATAGATTTGGGATCATCTTCTCAAAGGACGGATGTCCATAAAGTAACATAAAGTAACCAACACCTTGAGAAGAACGAGAAAATAAGATGCGCTTGTGGGTGTATGATGCACCATCAACAATTTGTTGACCCTCTTGAAATGTAAAGTTTCGTGGAACTTGTGTAGTTACAGCTGTGTATGGCTACTCCCGGATTAAAAACAAGATCGAATTTACAGGACGCGCTGGATTCAAAGGGATGAACCTTCCTCGCTGCCGTTTGAATGAAGGAATCAAGTACTCCTAGGGCAGCGAGGAGGTCCTTCGCAGCAAACCACTGAGACAAACCTGTTGGAGAGTACTTGCATTGACTGCCAATCACAACATCTTTCAACATCGTTTGAACCGTCAGGATTGCTAAGCTCACCTGGAACTCAAAAGTCCTTTAGAAAGATCATGTTCAAAAGCGAGCTTCCTACTTCTCTCGTCGCTTTCCCGGAAAGCGCCTGCACTTCCAAACAAATGATGCAACATGATGCAACACGCGTCAGCCACCCCATCCCTGACCCACTCCACAACTTCGGCTGCGATTGGGCCACGATGATGACGCCGTAGGAGGCCGTCAACTTGGAGATATCTCCGCGGATGGCGTTTCCGAACTCATCGCCCAAAGAACGCTGGAAAAGGCCTCAGGGACTGCTGAGAAATTTGCGGTCCTAGCTGCAAGATCAGGTATAAGACTATTGTCACAGTCACACTGAATTTATATTTTTGTGTTTCACATTGAATAATGGGGATATGGATGGCTAAAACTCAGAGGGGGTCCAAACTCTTGGTCTTCTACCGGCTCCCCATTCTGCGGAACAGATCCAAACATGAGGATGTCGAAGTCAAAGGAAACTCTGAAACTGAAACACGAAGCACGGCCAGTGACAAACCAAACCAAAATCACCTCTATTCAGTCCACTAATGTCCACTATATAACGCCTGGTCATCCTGAGCATCAAGGTCTTCGGGTTCTTTCAAACAAAATGAGACGTTCCAATTCCTTGCACCAAATGAGCAGTTGAAAGTGGGTGCGGTTGGGAAGAATCCCCCATTACCATCCATTACCAAAGTCCGGAAATATCACTAATGCTTGAAAGAATTCTTACTTCACAACCAACATCATGAAAGCGAAGCTGACTCTCAGCTGCGGCACCGGAGAACTTCAGCAGGTCATCCTCCTTGCAATCCAATTTTGGCTCTGCGCGGGGGTCCGCGTCGATGCCCATCCTTCGGGAAGGTGTCGAATCGGTGTCGAATCGGTGTCGAATAAATTTAGGGCAGGAGTTCACCCTGCAATGTGGTGCCCAAGTTCGTTAGCGAAGTTGGTAAACATCATCAGGCAAATGACATGTAGGGTTTAGGGATTAGATATATCTATAGTTTTATCGATGTTGGTGGGGGTTATGAACCAACTTATAACTGGGGAGCACCACATTGTGGAAGTGGAAAATCCAGTGAAGCTGAGGAAATAGATCGAACATGATCGAACCATGTAGTGGGGTGTGAATAGCTCCCCAATCTTCATGAGGCTTTTAGTTTTAGTTTTGACATGTTTTGACATTGACTCATTATTCAGGTCCTATGACACAGCGGAGTTGATGCTTCTTGCACTTCACAGGTATGTCATGTCTGGTTGAATCACAAATGCAGGCTGCTAAAAATAGACATACATTCGAGGGATTTGAAGCTTCCCCCAAATCTGGGGAACACTTTTGTGGCCAAGCAAAGTCTGTGTGCTAGTAGCGTTGCGTAGCCTCACGTCACCTCCATTTCTCTGGCAACAACAAGGTCTAGCTTCGGCTCAAGACTGTCGTTTGACATCTGACACCACCTGTGGCCATTAGAAATATCTAAACTGGACTGGACCGAGCGATGTTTGGGCATGAAGTGGTGTACAAGCCATGGTGTGCTGGGGAAATAAAGAGTACCGAGTACCTCATCCAGTTTTGACCCAAACACCATCAGGCACGACCCAGCTGAACAAACGAGGTTCAAGCACAGCACTTGGCGTTCCCATTCGTCCGCCACGGGATCAACGACGCCTTCCTTGGGACAGTAAAGCTCCTGCGATCCCAAGGCGGGAGATCCGGAAGCGATGGATTTTGAATGATCTTGATAGATGTTTGCTCTCTTTGGCATGAACCAACCATAACCAACCGTTTTGATCCATTCTGGGGTTCCTCAGTTTGACCCACTTCATCCATCCAACTGGGGTGGGTATGGGGCCAAAATTGGTGACCTCAATACATGGGCAAGTCTTGCGCAGCTTGACCATCTGTACTCAAGAGGGTCAGGGTGTTTAGGGGTCCAGGAATGGGGTTTCCTTTGAAAATAAGGTCTGTATATCCCAAGTCCACTGCTTTATAGTGTAGTATGTTGCATCATTTTGGGGATTAATCTCCTATTTTCATGCACAAAAAGACACAACCATTTTTGCGGACACACAAAGGCTGTACCATCCGCTATGCTCTACCGGGCCTTCTTGCTCAGGGCCCAAAAGCCTGCGATGTGCTTTCCACTGGCATACTCCCAGGTGGCGTCAGACGCCTTGGGTTCGGTCACTCGAGCTGAGCTTCTGTGGTGACTTGGGTTCCCCAAAACTCGGGGTTGATTAAATGATCCAAACAGAATACGGCGGTTTAATTTGCAATCAAACAGCATCAAACAGCATCAAACAGCATCAAACAGCATCAAACAGCATCAAACAGCTAACATCGGGATGTGACATGATGTGACAAAGTTAGATGCTCTACTCTGAAGGACCAGTAAGAAGCTAATGTGACCCATGATTAATCACATCGCTTTGAGGCTGCCAACCATGTGTAAATCGTGCAACTGTCTCACTCTTTCAATGCTTTCTCCGCTCTCACGGTGTGCAAGGAAGCAAACATTTTATCCTGGCGCTTGGAAGCTTTGAAAACAAAAGCAGGCAACTGGCTGATTTTTTTGTACAGGGGGCAACTTGCCTCGTCACCTGCTGCCCAACAAATGACTTCTAACTTCCAAACAATGCTGACCTCCCTGACCATCTTGGATTTCTCCAGCAGCCCGTCAAGTCCATTGCCAAGACCGGAGGCGCATCAAAATTTCCCTCTCAAACTCAGTCATCCTCATCATCCCAAGTGTTTTGCTGGTTCCTCCATGCTTTGATGAGCTCAAAGGCGATCGTCTTCTTGGAAAACTCCTCATTCGACAAGCCACTGCCCTTGTCTGGGTGAAAAGCTGCATAGGCTCTCTTGATCTGCTTGCGGTGAGAATCTTTCGAGATGCCCAGTTCTTCACAGGCCCGGAGGTAACCGTCTTCAGGTCGTTCTTGGAACAAGCTCTCCAACCATGAAATGAACTTGCTCGCAAGGTAGCTTCCCACGGCATTGCCCGCAATCTGGCAAATGAAGCCCGCAACAGGATGGAAAGATTGCCCAGCACGTGCACGATGGCAATGCCTCCAATGGTCCCACAGGTGGAGGTTGCCAAGCGTCGTGCACACTCTTTTCCATCAATTCGATTGCCGACGTATTGCCAAATGGTGTGAAGATGTTGAGCCGTAAGGCCAATCACATGGCCAGCATATCCGCTGGAATCTTTCTGGTTTCCAATTGGACCAAAAGAACGCGGCGTTTCCAGCATTTGGGATACTTTTTGAGATGTTCACTCCTCCGATTGGGTTGAACTTGAGAAGGTGAGGCTGCGGCAAAAGGCTGACCAAATCTTCAACCTCCAGAAGAGGTTTGCGCCAAACCTAAATAATTGTTCTTAAATTACCAAGCTGAGATAACATGTATGTCTCTCTTTCAGACAAACCAAGGCTCGAAATATAAGTAATATGCGTGGGAAAGCAAAACCACGGTGTGTTCAAGCTAGCACGGCATCAATCTCAAAACGGGCAACCCCGTTCTACACCGGACAACGTGGGCTGAGGCACCAATCCACCCACCATGGTCTTGATCTTGGTGGGTTGGAATTCGAAGGCACTCTCAGGTGCATCCCCAGGATCCTGAAGGAAGCTGCGCAAATGGGAGATACTCTGGGCACCTCACCCCTTTATCACCCAAAATGGGTCAAGCTCTTGATACTTATGGAAGAGAATGGAAGAACTTCATGGTGAAACAAAGCCACACGAAAGGCCTAAACAGTGCCAAAGAATGCTGGCCTTCCGAAGGATTTAAGAGACCTTCCGCCAGCTGGTGCTAAAAAACTATCAACTACGCAAGACGATATTTCACCTACTTTGGAATTTTTTCCAGACCTGGGTTAAAGCCACTTTCCAAGCATCTCCTGATGTATGAACCTGAAACCAGACCATGCAGCAGGGTTGCTGCCAACACCCCGGACACAAGGGGGGCAAATTGGTAGATAGAGCGATAAACTGACCGACCCTGCCCCCTTGTTACCATCATTTACCTGTAATGGGTTGGAGCAACCCTGTCCAGGGGAAGTTATTTCATATCTTTCAACTTTAGCATCTGCCCAGTTTCCGTGTTCAGCATGCCCGATGGTGTGGTGGTCGTGCTGCTGCCAGTGTTGCCAAGGGCACCCAGCTGGATACATCCACGGTCCTGCTCCCATCAGTCACAGTTCGTTGAAACCTTCTGGAACCACACTTTAGGGGCAAAACCAACAATGCCAAAAGGGTCCTTGAAGGGCAAAATATATGACCCTGATTATCCTATCAATGGATGTAATCTCAAGTTGAAAACCTGCGGAAGCAGGAGAATTTGACCTGAAATTTTGGACTGCTTTAACCAAAATCACTTGTCGAGTATAGGCAGCACTCCCACAGCATAAATGTTACATCACTCGTGATTTGGAAACACATCATTTGAATGAGAAACGCTACGAAAACAGCGGAAACATAACTCATACTGAAAACGGCCTACACATGTTGTACCAGTATTTTGGCATTTGAAGCCAGTAGCAGCATCCACTCCCTAAAACTAACACGTCTATATAAACGGGTTAGGGTCGAAGTTAGACTACCAACAGACCCACAAAATGGTTCATTTTTGTTCTCAAACCATCCATCTCGTTTAACGATTTTTGCCACCTACTGGTACCCATGTTTTTACGATAAGTAAACGTAATTTCCCAATCAAACGCCAACTGTAAAAAAAAAAACAATCCAAACTGTTAAAACCGTTATATCCAGAATTCTTCCAAAATTGGTGTTTTAGCAAAACTGGGGGTTAACATAACCACCAAACCCATAAATATCCCATGAATGTCTGAATTATCCATTGTATATTTCCATCACATGTTCAATTTCTATGTTATCTATTTTTAGCATACCACATACTAATATATATATACATATTTATTTATTTAGTAATTAATTTAATTTTGTTCACCAGCACAAAATGGACAAACCCATCCTTCCCCCATCAGACTCTCCTGGCAGGTGGCCATGTCCAGTGGTCTCGTGACCTCCCGGCCGCCGATGATCTCGGTGGTGGTGGGGCACCTGGCAGCGATCACTGCCATGAGATCCTGCCAGAAATCATAGGAACATCAAATAAGAAGGGATTGTGATCATAGGATAATGATGGATAATGATAATGATTCAGGATGGTAATCTAGGAGATTAGATTGCTATCATTTGCTTACGATCACTATCATCTAGGAGAGTAGATTACTATTAGTACCATATATCATAGGACAACGAAATGAGAAGGGATTATGATCATAGGCATAGGATAAAACAGGATTTATAATTAGTTATCGAAATACGATTTATGATAAGTTATCCAATTTCAAATAATAATGATAGCAATCTAATTCTAATGATTTTGATTAAAACTGGTGATTCTTATTTTGATTATCATTGTAACCGCTACTGTCTATCTTTACCTTTCGATTTAATTACTATTTCCGTATTATCATTGGTGTTAATTGTTGGAATAATGATTGTCTGGGATTGTAAATATATGATTATGATGACAGGTCGGATTAAATCATGCTCCGTGATCGCATACCATTGTTGGTTTTGCTATTGTTGTTACTATTATTGTTTCAACATTCTGATGGTCTATGATAACTATCAAATTGTATCAAGCATAAGATTAGCATGAGCATAAGCAATTTGGTTTGGTTGGGATTATGATTGGTGATTCTTTGAATACACATATAACTAATGTTGCCATTTGAGGGGTATTCATCACTTCACACATTTTACAATTGTATGTTGGGTAGGCCTGCGGATTATATGAATCATATGAAATTAATATTGTATATATATATATATTATATTTGATATTATGTGCAATCATTGACGTTTTCCAAACCATAATGCGGATGTGCTTAGCACAATAACAAGAATCCCCTCCCTCAAAAGTAATATTCTTTCAGGCTGTCTAAGGGGTGTTTCTTATTAGGAAGTGGTATCACTATTTTTTTGCTCCTAATGCTAGGTAAAGGAAACAACATCAAAAACATATCGTGAGAGCACCAACAAAATGAACCTTTCGCCCATCCAAATTTGCATCAGCAATGGGGCCACTTGGAAGGAACATGAGAGAACAAAAATCAACGATGAAATACGACGAGGCACTTAGAGGCGCAGTAGGTGGTAGCCAGGTCGCGGCACGCCTGTCGTTCACTCTGTGTGGTGTAACTTTGGCAGTTGCCTCACAGCTGGAGCTGGGTTGGACGAGCATCCCATAGGGAACTGCGGTCTTGGAAGATCATCATGCTATATTGAAGTTACCAAAAAACGAGTGGTTCAATCTTTTCGACCAGTTCAATAGATACAGTAAATAGATAAACATCATGATTTTGGAATTCAAGCAAATGAGGGGATCCAAACAACCAAACTGGTTACATAATGTTACATAATACTCGGGGGTAGAACCAGCTAGTGTTACATGTTTGGCAATGCCCATTAGCCGAACCGTCGGGTGGTGTGGTTGCTGCTGAAGATCTTTCCCATTGGTGGACATTTACCACGTATCTGGTGCTTTCAACACATCCCGTAAGTGAATTTCGATCATCATCCATCATCATCCCATATACCCTCTGGTAAACTAATGAGCTATGGAAAATTGACCATCTAGTTCAATAAATCGACTATAAACGGTCCGTTTTCAATAGCTATGTTATGCTGTGTTAGTTGGTGGCTAAAAAAAACACCGAAAATCATCCAGAAATCCCAAGTGAAGCTACCGATCAAAGTCATAGCCAAGCTGCTGTTGAAGCAAGGGGAATCGCTAGCAGCCAAAGTCAAAGGACACATTGTCTCTTGTTTCTGCGCCGGAGTTGGTATGTAGCATTGGGTTGCATCAGATTTGAGAAATCATTGGCTACTGATGGCTACTGTACACAAACTAATCATTGGCGTCAGCCTTGTTCCCGTGGCTGGTGATCTTGAGTCTTCACTCAGCGAAAAATGGTTGTCGCAACTAAGATCAACGAAGTCTATAGTCTTGAACTTCAAGAGCATCTCAAATTCTGCATAAGTCTCACATGTTTCACTGGAATGCCACCATTCAGGATCATTCGGACCTGTTCCCTTGATGATTCTGATTGAAGGCCCTATTTTTCCCAGGCTCCTCCCAGTTGTTGATGGCCAACTTCACAGAACTAGCGTCCAAGTTGGTCAGGATATAGTCATCCTCCCTAAACCTAGGCTGTATGATGAGTTTGTACATCAAAATGATAGCAAATGGCATCAAACCTCATCAAACCATATCAAACCGATGTAACGTAGGATTCGCCCAATGCCATAAACCATCCCCATTTCATCACCATTTCTATGGATTGGATTGAAACCATTGATAGGTGTATTTGACATTGGTTTTATCACATTACTACTCAATACAATCATGGGCAAATATGACACTGAGTCATGATCCGCTGAGAGTATCCCCAAAATCTCATGTGCACGTCTCCCCACTTTTGGACAAACCCAGATGTACTCTGAAAGCATCTAATGCAACCCCAAACATGATGTCTGGAAGATGATGTTCCGGCAATTGCAACTTAGTTGGTTCCATGTCAATTTCGACTGGTATATCCCATTGATTTCTTTCTCTGCAGTAATCCACCATTTCTTGAGCAAACCACCTATCCATTTAAGGCCAATCAGTGTGGTCAATACCTATAGCCAATCTTGGATACCCTAGCCCCCCGAAAGAAATAGTTGGTTAGTATAATATGGGTTGTTGTCTGAAACAGGGTACCTCAAAATCAAATTCCCGGGTGTATCCTTATTTCAAAAACATGCTCCAATTAACAAAAGTGACCGTTTTGTAGATACATCCCATTTTCAGACACACAAAAGTGTCATTTATCATAATGCCGGCTATTCCCATCTCATCCCATGTTGGTCAGTAAATCCCGCCTTGTTGGTTGTATCCCCATCAATAGCCCCATGAAATCCCCAGTATATCAATATATATATAATATATATATATCAGTATATATAATATATATATATATATATTTTTTTCACTGAAGTATCACCAACAAAATCCGATCTTGCTCAAAATCTTCCATTCTATCCCCATCTCCCCGTTTTTTTTCATAGATTTCCCATGGATTTGACCATCTTTTTACATATTTCAACCACTTTCCACTCCCGTCCCCTGGGTTTCACCAGGCCACACATCCAGGACGCTAGACTTGGCACAGAAGGGACCAAAGGTGAAGCACAAGCGACCCTCAAACTCCACTGCGCCATTGACCTCGGGTAAAACATGTTGAAAAAAATGGGAGATTGGATGGTATTCGATATTTCATGTCACTACTATCACTTCTATATTGATTGTACATTACTATTTTAATATGGTTATGGGTCAAAACCTTGGTACCCAAATGGTACGCTATTTTGTTGGTTAATGAATGGAGTTATTCCCCAAATATGACAATAGTTTAGGTGTTGACCCATTCCCATATAAAAAGTGGAACCCACCAAAACATGGGATAAACTTGGGTTTGAGAATCCGTTAAAAAAAACATGTTTACATGATTACACGGGAGAAACCAATAAGAATGTGATAGACAATCCCCGGACTGAATCCGCTCAAAAATTGTCTACTTCCAAACGAACAGTGCTTCCTTTGGAGGGATCCATTTGAATCTGCAAGCCCTGGTTACTGTAGATGTGTGTTTTTTGGATGATTTTTGTGGCAACTCAAGGACTGAAATCTGATGAGCCCAATCTGGGTGCTCCAAGGAGCACTCTGGGGTGTGCCGCTAAAGCCTCAGTGCATCATCGAAAACTCCACCCACGTCCATGTATCATGCGGGGAAACGACACCGGCATCGAAGGGGGAATTGGCATGAAACGAGCATCTATCCGGAAAAGCGTTTCGAAATAGCATGGGTTCCCATGCTAGAGCTTGGTGGAATCTATGTTACCATATTTTACCATATCTCCATCGTCATCCCAATCATCCCAAGTTCTTAATATGTCTTTCCAAGCGGCTCCAGTTGCCCTCATAGATGCTCCAGGGTCGGTTGTCTCCTTCGGATCTCTTGTGGTCCTTGTCCAGGTCAGCCACAATCTTCGTACCTGAATCCACCGGCAGTGATTTGGGTGTCTGAAAATGGGGTATACCGGGTATACCAAATGGATCCATATTCGGCAATTTAGATAAGGAAATGATGATCCACCCGTGGAAATTTTGGGGGGTGCACTCTTTTCAAATAAACTAAAATTTGGGCCACGATCAACTGTACTCAAGTCACAGTGAGAGGATTGATGTACTTCAATTTTCAACTTACCATGAAATAAATAATGACATGAATTCAAGGTTATATGAACTATATAATTTCTATATACTGATATAATCTTATATATACTGGATCTATATTTCATATCCAGTAAGATCCAGTATATAGATATTGATAGTGCATACTGCAAGGGAGTTGAATCAGCTGGCCGGTGGCCACCGTAGAAAAGATAAACCATTTAGGAAAGCACACATGCGCCACAGATGAGTTCTACATGGCTCAAATGACCTTCTTAGCTGAAACAAGGAACCCTCGTTCTCAACCTCTTCACACTGCATTGTGATAGGTCTCCACCAATGTGCAGAAAGTTTGCCAACCGCATCAAATCCATGTTGACATGTTGGCTTCGGTCGGCTTGAATCGTCCTTATATTTGTTCAAACTTCACCCCAAACCAACCCGGTCTTGGCCCCCCCGTTATGCACTTGCAACCAAGCTGCCATCAATGGTGATGGCTTTCACTTTCCTGAACCGCTGAATCAGATACCAGGCGATAGATTTGATTCTGGTTTCAAAAGTTGAAGCATGTCATAGTATGTCTTGATTTCTGTTGGGCTGGTAATGATGGTAATGGTTGGATATGTCTGGCAAACTTCCGTGAAGTATCTGTTAGAGCTCACAAAACTGAAAGATCTATCATTAACTGCACCAAAGAAAGAACACAAGTACACAAGTAAACGTGAATCTGTTTTCCAAGCTGGATTCCAAACGGGTGGGTTTCGCGAGAAGTGAATCCTCCACAATGATCCACTTACGTTTGGAGGATTTTATTGATATCCGTCTCTTTTCTCCCACACAGCCCACTGGGCAACCAGGCTCATTGATCTCATGAAAGCGCTGGATGTACTTTGGATCCATGATGTCGCCTCATCCATTACATCCAATGTACAATGACAGCACCTAATCAAGCAGATGATCCGATGTTCCACTAGATTCATTAGACATCCATGATATTAGGCAATACACAACAGAAGTCGCGTCATCAAGTTTATGGATCATTTTGGAAGCGACTTAACTTGTCTGGCAGGAGAGGGAAACCCAGCGGAAGAATGTAATAGGATGTCGTCCAGCAAGAAATCGAAAGAACGTTCACAAGGTGGTTTTCTGTCGCACAGGTGTCCTATCTAATTGCTGCACCTGGATGCATTTGGTATCTGCAAAAAAAGACAACCTTATCGCTTGAATTTAGCATTTCCACCTATAGTTGTCATGTTTTTTAATCATGCCCCACCCAGTAACATGTCTGCAAAGGTCTCCAATCCGCAGCTCTCGTCCACGTTTCGATTGACTTTCACTACTCATCCCCATGTTTACACTGCTTCAACCTACAAGTACTCCAACCTTGGGGAGTAGTGCAGCCATCCTACATCCCTCCAATTTGCTTCTGATCCATGAAATGAGACCATACAACATACAACGATTTTTAATCCCATGTTCCACACACAAAAATAGAACATAGCCGGTATATGACCCACAAAATATATGAGCCCCGTAAAACCAATGTCCATTAGAAAAAAACACATACACATTATTTCAAAAATCAACCAACAGGGTTTTTTCGCATCCGCCCCCTTAACATCCCAGGCACAACTTCCCACGTCCACATCTGCGCAGGTGGCTGAGAAAAAGTTGAAGCGCGCGTTGCCGGGCCATGTGGCCTTCACCTCGCTAGTCAAACTGGCCGCTGGCCCATGGGCTGAAGGGATGAAGGGCGCTCGAAAAAACGTATGTACAACACGATATAGCATTTATGGATATAATAAATATGAAGTAAATACAATACAAAGTACAATATATGCATGTCATGCAATACATGATATAAATTATATATGTGGTACATGTATATGTAGAACTTCTGAGTTGCAATTCTGATTGTGCATTATGTTTGTTGATAAACGACCAAGATAGCACAAAAATAAGTACCAACATCAGGATCCAATACCCAACAAATATGGGGTGCATGTGGGTATCTTAGCGTGCCATAATGGATAATTTTGTACAACCAACCACCAGGTGGCATCAGAGACATCTGTTGCAACCATGCACATCATGATGAACGTGCCGATAGTGCTGATACTGCTGATGATGATCAACCAAGGTAAGGTAAACGACCAAGAAATACCGTTGATTGGTTTATCGAACATCAATATGACAACTGGATGCAACATGATTCAACAAGCAAAACATGGATAAAAATGGGGTGTTTGCGCAAGACCACGTGGTCCGTCTCGGACAATCATGTCTCTGACCTCTCAGAAATGATATATATCGAGATAGACCACAACTGTGGGATTTTGAAAGCACCCTTGGACATACTGTGCCTGTCATTGTGAAACTCCAAGACAAGCCTGCTCCAAAAACCGAGCGACATATGCATCATGGTCCAGTGCCAGAGAGCCTGAACGACATCTGAGGCTTGACCCAAAGAGGTTTGTGGTGCCTCCGGATGCCTCCCCAATCCCCAGAGGTTTCACCCTGCCTGCTGGCACCCACTGCTTCTCCGGCCGCGTCTCAGTGCTCAGAAAGGCAAAACCACCACCGCAAACGATGGTGAAAAGCACGCTGCCGATCAGCGTTTTGATCTCAGCACAGCCACGGCATGGGAAGTTTCAGCTGGATGTGATCAGTCAAGAGTGCTGCGCATTGGGGCTGCGGATCCTTTCGATGATTCTCAACTAGCTTTGAGTCTGGTAACAAGGGAATTGGGAAAACATGTCACAACGTTTACACAGTTTTTTTTCTTATTCAAGAATCAGGCTTTCAATCTCGTTCCAGCCCTTCAGTGCGGCCTAGTCACTGGGTGCGTTCCCACCACTTTGCCAATCTTTTCGAAGAAGTTCTCTAAACAGCGCTCCACTGCGCCTCATCCATCAGGCAGGTCCCAGTATCACCAAATGACCAAATGGCTTGATCATATAATTTTTGTTTGAAATAGTAAATATTGTAGTTTCAGAACCTTCCTGCATGCTCCTTACCGCAAGTGCTCGTTCCTCTACGCCGAGATGCCGATTCCCATGGCTGAAGGCGAATCTCGCTGATTCACAGGTACCCCAGCTGGCCGGAGCCAAGAAAAACCTGCAACCACCCATGGATGTGAGGCCATGACACCATGCAGGCCCTGCAGCCTCAAGTTCAGTTTCGATCACCCCGACCCCCAATCTAATCAAGGTAGATTCGGAGCAATATTTGTTGCATGAGATTGTGATATTGTGCAAATGAAGGACCAACAAAACGGCTCCTTAGAGACCTGTTTGTCGGATCTTGCACAGTTGATGCTCTGCTCAATAGATCATACTCAAAAAGAGCCCAGGGATTCAACATGGAAATCAGAAGACTCAGGCTGTGAGTCCTTGCAAGATGGTGAGCCCATGGAGTCTTGAAAAGAGTCAGTCCAAATGGCTATGGCGGCTATGGGTGTACCCCAATCTTCACACCAAAATTTGGTCAAGTGATCCCTTCATTCCATCCCCCAACTCAGCTCAAGTCTCTAATCTTTTAATCTGTAGCAGTGAGTTACAGGGAAGGCAATCCTTCTCCCCCGTTGAGTGCTTGGCGCCTAAGGAGCTACAGCTCCTCGCTGCGCGCGACTGCGAATCGCAGCAGAGAGGCTGAGAGCCCAGCGGAAATGGCTATAATTTTGTCACCAGCTGGTGATCCCTGAACAGCTTGAACAAATCCTTGGAGGATGTTGGTTTTTGAACCCTGTGTCCATCGATTTAATGAGAAAGAGCTTGAGACATCAACAGAAACCAGAATCCAAATTGATATATAAATATATTTATTTTAAAGAACATGTGAAAAATTCTGCATGTTGTACCATGGAAAGGATTACACCAGCAGGCAACGCTGCGAAAACAGCTCAACTTCGTTGAGGCTCCACAGCGCTTGGCAACTGACCACGAAAGCGGCGGCGGCAGCATCCAGTCCGGACGCCGCACCACCCGTGGGCATAACGTTGGAAGAATTGTCGTCAGACCGAGCTTTTCAGACACCAGTAGAATCCAACAGATGAGAAAAACCATGAGAAAAATCATGATGAGAAAAAGTAAGACCTGCAAAACCACCCATGGCGACATTTTATTTCAGACTTTTGAATTCTTTTGACCTACTAGAGACTAGAGGATGAAGGAGTACAGGAATCGCAGTCGCCGGGGTCCCTGGCCCCCTATAGAACCCAATCGAATGGAATACCAACCCCAATGAAAACATATCCGATGGATTGTTTTAAGGGAAAATCTACAGGAAACTCTAGATTTTCTCATTAAATATGGGGCTTTCCTGTAAATTGTCCCTTAAACCAATCCATTGACATATGAAAACTACACTCTTCTTTAGGGTCTGCTAGCTGAATGGCAGGGTGCTAGTCAATTTTGGAGGGTGGACCAGGGTGATTGGTCCAGACGCAGGGTGCCAATGGTCCTACACTCAACAGAGAACCCATGAATACCCATGATATCTCACACCATGTTGAGATATATGGTCGGTGGTTCCAAACAATTCCCAGAAAATATTCATCAGTTACTTGGGCTCCTCGTCCCAGGTAAGGATCGAACATCAGAAATATATCTGAAGCCACAAAGAAGACGTGTTTTAAAAAAATGCAATTTCTCGGCACATCTTTGCCGCTGATCGGTCTAAGACGACGGTCGCAACGGTCAAAAAACCATCAGGCTGGTCTTCTAGCAACTCTGAAGGATGCAACTCCAAAACAAATGAAACCACCAGTGGAGTTACTATAGTGTGTTACTATAGTTTACTATAGTTATTCATTTTCTAAACAGGGATGGCCCTGTTTTTTGGGCAATGCATCAAGGTTCCATTCAATCTACCACTCTATCATGCTGAAGTCAACGGAGAGACCAATGCGAGAAAAGCTGGAGGGGCCAAGCAGAATATCAGGCCACAGATTGATGGTCGCTGAACAACCCAATAAATCATCGGATCAACAAGTTTGATGGTCCCAAACCTAAAGATCCGATGATATCAATGATATCCGGTGCTTACCTGCCAAACGTCAGCATCCCCAGGTGTTTGATGGTCGCCACGTCGCAGATCAGCGATCTGCCAGGGTGAGAGACCCCGAATAGTAACGCTGCGAGAAGCTTCGATGTTTTTGAGTGTCGGTCTTCTTTCATTGACGACAGAGATGAAGCATACAAACAAAATAAACAAATACATATATGATCATATATGATTTCAAGGAAAATTCAGTGATATATATATATATATATATAATGTAATGGCGTTGCGGCTTCTCACTTTCATGTAGTGAAATCCTTCTCATCCCTTCTCTGATTGCAGCCACTCAATTCCCAAAATCGTATATCAGATCCACATAGATCCACGACACCAAAGCTCCTTGCAGCCTTTGGGCCAAAAAAAAACACACCTGAACTCAGCCCAAGTGTTAGTAGTGCTTAGTGCAGAGATGGGCAGCTTCAATCCGAAGCTAACACTATCTACGTCAGCAATACATACTGTGCCAAGGCAGTTGTGGGCCATCTGGCCACAGAGTCTGAGCCAATCTATCATGGACGGTTGATAATTATTTGGGTCAGTCGAGGGTGGTACCACTGGACCTACAAAATTGATCATGTTTACCAATTTTGGCAATTCTCCAATTTGTAGATCCAATTCTCCAATTTGTAGATGATAGTAAATGGGAACTCCCTGGTTTATCCAGTGGATATCTACTATCATTCCCTATGTAACTCCTGTAGTAAGGGATGGTCCTTCCGCATGTCTAGGGACGTGGCTTGGACCTAGGTTCATCTACCGTATCTGAAAGTTCAAGGACCTCCTGCCATAGTAGTGATAATTCAAGGGCAAAATTCGCCAGAATATGAGTTTGTCCGCAAAAAAGTATAATTACTTTACTTCGTGTGATCCCCACCATGACATGTCAGGACATGTCAGGACGTATATTTGGACAAATCTTGAATATATTCTGACATTCTATCTGACATATATTCTGGCATTCTATCTGGCAATCTATCTGACATATATTCTGACATTCCACCTGGCATTCTATCTGGCATTCTATCTGGCATTCTATCGGGTATTCTATCTGGCATTCTATCTAGCATTCTATCTGACATTCTATCTGGCATTCTATCTGACATATGTTCTGACATTCTATCTGGCATTCTATCTGGCATTCTATCTGGCATTCTATTTGTCATTCTATCTGGCATTCTATTTTTCATTCTATCTGGCATTCTATCTGGCATTCTTTCTGGCATTCTATCTGGCATTCTTTCTGACATATATTCTGACATTCTATCTGGCATTCTATCTGGCATTCTATCTGGCATTCTTTCTGGCATTCTATCTGGCATTCTTTCTGACATATATTCTGACATTCTATCTGGCATTCTATCTGCCATTCTATCTGGCATTCTTTCTGGCATTCTTTCTGGCATTCTATCTGGCATTCTATCTGACATTCTATCTGGCATTCTTTCTGGCATTCTATCTGGCATTCTATCTGGCATTCTATCTGGCATTCTATCTGGCATTCTATCTGGCATTTTATCTGGCATTCTTTCTGGCATTCTATCTGGCGTTCTTTCTGACATTCTTTCTGACATTCTATGGTCGTGGTTGAGGTCCGGCAGGGAACACTGGGCGTGGATGGTCGTGGTTGAGGTCCGGCAGGGAACACTGGGCGTGGATGGTCGCGGTTGAGGTCCGGCAGGGAACACTGGGCGCGGATGGTCGCGGTTGAGGTCCGGCAGGGAACACTGGGCGCGGATGGCCGTGGTTGAGGTCCGGCAGGGAACACTGGGCGCGGATGGTCGTGGTTGAGGTCCGGCAGGGAACACTGGGCGTGGATGGTCGTGGTTGAGGTCCGGCAGAGAACACTGTGGATCGCGGGTCGCAGTTGAGCAAGGACGACGAGGACGACGAGGAGGACGAGGAGGAGGAGGAGAGGAGGACGAGGCAGGAGGAGGCGGAGGACGAGGAGGAGAAGGAGGAGGAGGACGAGGAGGCAACTGACATAAAATCTAACAACCCTCACCTGGCAGGTGGGGAATAATCCAAAATCTCATGAATCAAAAGTGCGTTCTCCCTCTTTTCTTCGTAGCCAATACATGCCAATACAGCAATATATTCGGGCCTTCCCCATTCAATCATTCTGAGACATACCCAAACGGAGGTTCAACTGACCAAAATGACCAAAATGCCATCTTCTAATTGACAAAAATAAATCATACATCATGATACTTGAACGAACATAAGATTATTATCATTCTTATTCTGGTTCTGAAGCTGCAAAATCTGAATTCCCATCAGATACATCTCATGTTCAATTGCTCGTCTCTGTGGCCCTCTTTGGAGACCCAACGACCCAACCAGCTTCAATGCCTGGCCAGCAGCAAAGGGATGGGACACTATGGATGTGGAGATGGACCACGTATCAGGGTGGATAATTGACTAGATAGATATATATATATATTATATATGTATATATTTGTAGATACACAGGATATGGAATGGATATGGATAGATAGATAGATATCGGTAAACTGCATGGCTTCACAAGTCAGAGGTATGTGTGTTTCGTTGTCAAGGTGATGTTTTAGATTCAAATTTCCCCCTTCTGCGGTCCTATATGTTCTGCCCGCAGCAATTCACTCTGCCCAGGTTTGTAGATGGTGCCTCCCAAATGCTTGGAAGTCTAAGAAGAGTATATACAAATGTGTGCTGACAGGTAAATACAGTTTATGTGTCCCAAAAATGTCATGTAAAATCATGGAACACACGTCACATAATGTTGGTGCAGAATTTTGTTTGAACAAAATTGGAGGTCTCCTAAGTCATAGTGGTACCCCCAAATCATCCCAGTCGTTAGACCATGACTTAGTATTGAAACCCATGGTGACTTGGGGATCTCCCATGACTTAAGAACCCCTCATGTTTATAGGAAAATCCATCTCCTAGAAGATTTCCCAGTGACATGCCCCCCTTTGCCTACTCCTTCGTCGTCTCTCCTTCGGCATACACCCTTGGAACAGCGTGGCAGCTTGGAACAGCTGGACACATGGAGGTCGAGCCCAAGAAGCTGCTATGGGGACTGACCATGTTTGTGCTTTGGTGCTTCGCACCTGTCAAGACGTGGCCAGTTTGTCATGAAGGAACTGAAACTGAGAAACCTCCATCAGTCTCAGAAACAAGTCTTCGCAAAGGCCACTGCAGGATACTACAGGATCATGAAATCACCTTTGCTCTCATCAGAGCTTAGAAATCTTTGGATTATCAACTCTTGGTCCGGTCCGCCAAAGACCTTCCAACACCCACCAAATAGTTTGCGAGTTTGTATATGTTCCCGGAAGACGAACCCATTGGAAAAAGAATGGAATCCACCCTCCACTTCTCAAGACGTTTTGGATGTGGCTTTGTCTGAAACTTGGCTACCCCGAACTGAACTTGTAGCAAGGGTTGTTCATCACATGTTCCAAATTGCAAAAAATCTTGGGGTCAATCCCCAATTTTCGGACACCCAAATATCATCTTGCTGCCAATGTAATGTATCCCACTAATGTCCCATAAAATGGGACATAAAATGTCCCCATTTATACTGGTTGCTTTGATACCCTGCCATTGACCATGTAATTTTTTAGGAATCTCTGAGGGATATCCCATGTCATCTCATCCCATGCTATCTCTCATCCAATGGGACTCTGGGTCAAAACCTTTGGCGACTTTCGTTTCAGACTAAAAAAAAGCTGTTAATGCTGGATGTTCGTCCCCAACAATTCATGGAAATTATATACAGGTGGTGATCCATACCCATATTCATATATATCCCCGCGATATCCCCATTATACCAACATTGTTTGTTGGTCAAAGCCCCATGGTATCAGATTCAAAATGGATAGAGTTAGCTTTATAAATACCATAATATCATCCCATATATTATAGAATCATGTATCAAAATGGACAAAGTTACTTAATTGTTCCAACATGTTCCAACATACCCCCCATTTTTCCCCAGTTATCATGACAAAATTTCCTACTGAAAATTGCCATCTGCCATCTGCAGCGTGTCTCTAGGTTTCCCTGCTCGGATGAAGGCTTGCAGCCACCCACCAAGGACAGGATGGAGGGCAGCAACCACAGACCATGGGCACCAGCGATGGTGACCACCAAAAAGAGCACCTGGACCCCCGAAACTTCGAGGAAAAATGGGGGGTTGAAATTTTATTTGGTGAATAGGGATTTAGTTTGATCTAGATAGATGGTTTTGGAATGTTTTGGAGTGTTTTGGATGGTGTTTAAAGGTTTTAGACGGTTTTAGATGCTATTAGATGATTTCAAACAACTCTAGAATCATGAAAGCATGGAGGAAATAACCCAAAGTCATGTAACGCACAACTCTTTTTGGGGCATGCGATTCTCACCACCCCACTGACACAAAACTTGCTGGACACCTTGAAGAAGATACGGAAGACGTAGCTGTCCGAGAAGCCAACCACCACGACCTCAGAAGATCCCAAGATATCCCAAGATATCAATCTGTTGAGCTGTTTCAAATTCATGTTGATAATAGGATAATAGTCATAGTTCTCAACCTCAGAGTTCAACTGATTTAGCATCAATTTGTAGGTTGTAATGATGTTGAACCGAACCTAGTTCATATCTAATCATGATTTGAAGTCATATGTCATATTTCATCAGAATTCTATGTTTTGACTTGTCGCTCTTTTGGGGAATGTGTCCCCCCATCATGGCCACACCGTTTTTGACCGAGTGGCCGCCAAGAGGGTCGAGAGCACCGCGTTGAAGGTGCACACACCGATACCTGGCTGCTGTGACGCAGTTTCTGTCATGAAGCCATGAAGATGTTGAAAGCTGGCAGTCTTGCAGTTGTTCAATGTTGTTCAGGTACTTTGCGCCAACAAACAACCTGCATGTGGCAACTTTGGATTCCGGTTTCTTCTCCATGTAATTAAAGTGTTCTACTGTAGTTCAAGTATATTCAATTGACAGTCCCTGGTAGGTCACGGGGTGGTTAAAGCATTGTATATCTCACTTGCATTCACTTGGAGAGTCTATGTAACAGCTCCCCAGCCAGTGTTGGGTGCCACTTCGAAGCACTTAACGAAGCACTTAACGAAGCACTTAACGTTAACGAACTTCGAACTCACCAAAATCTTGACAAAACAATACTAGAACAAGATATCGAACTTCGTTAGATATCCTTGGATGACTAAACAATACTCAACAGGAAATGAAATGAATCCAAGTATAACGAACTCTCCAGCCCGCCAGCATGACTCGGGTCACGGTCCACAGCGTTGATGGCACGCTCCCGGGGAGTTCCAGTGGACTCCTGCCGATTTCGGATCCGATTTCGGTGGGATCTTCAGGTATGTCATAAGTATCTCATAAGTATCTCATAAGTATCTCACTTGGATTCTCCTCCAATCTATGATATCATATGATATCATATGATATCTATGCAGCCTCCAACAAAAATCCACTCAAAAAAACACGTTCCTTGAACATGTGGGCAATGTGTGCCGCATAGTCGACGGCTAAACCCACACAAATTAGCACGTAGATCCTCGGTGCCAGCAATGGAGCCGGAAGAAACATCGAAACATCAGCGGCACCATCGAATTTCAGCTGTCTCAATATTCAATGGTGAAATTGACAGGGCTGCCTCTGCACAAATTGAGGAAGTAGCTATGTGTCATTCTGTGCCACTGCATTTTCCTGACAAACCATTTCCAGGTCGTCTTGTTCCGACCTGCAAAGGTCTGCATCCATGCTGAAATCCTGCGAAATGCACATGAAGCCGCTAGGAATGTTTAACGCCATTAAGTATCATACAGTAACATATATCATATATATATACTGTATATAAGTAATTATAAGACATTATAAGTATATATTGCCAACAAACTGTCAGGGCCAAGGGGTTGCTCATCTTGTCTTCAACTGATTCAAACAGATTCTTGGGCAGGGCACGTGGAGACACCGCTAATGGTAACCTCCCAGAAATACATGTAGCCCAAGGTGTTCACAATTGACAAGGCCACGCACAGCACCACCTTGGCTCATCAATGGCACTCCAGACATGGGTGGTAGGATGGTCATCCAATGGATGTCTCAAGACTTGGGAACATGGCCATTTTGGGGACAAAATAGATCACTCTCGATTGTTTTTGGGAATACCCATCTCCAAACCTCACATCATTGCATGTAAGTATGTAAGTATGTAAGTATGTATGTATGTATGTATGTATGTATGTACGTATGTATGTACGTATGTACGTATGTACGTATGTACGTATGTACGTATGTATGTAATGTATGTATGTATGTATGTATGTATGTATGTATGTATGTATGTATGTATGTATGTATGTATGTACGTATTAGTATGTACGTATGTACGTATGTATGTATGTGTATGTATGTATGTACGTATGTACGTATGTACGTATGTATGTATGTATTATGTAATGTATGTATGTAATGTATGTAATGTATGTAATGTATGTAATGTATGTAATGTATGTAATGTATGTAATGTATGTAATGTATGTAATGTATGTAATGTATGTATGTCTGCATGTCTGCATGTCTGCATGTCTGCATGTCTGCATGTCTGCATGGATGCATGGATGCATGGATGCATGGATGCATGGATGCATGCATGCATGCATGCATGCATGTATGTATGTATGTATGTATGTATACGTACATATTTATAATCATTTATATATACACGAAGGTTTCCTGAAATGGGGGTACCCACAAATCATCCATTTAAAGTCATTTTAGGATTTTCCATGAATTTATGAAGCATCCATTTTGGGGTACCCATTGGTTTTCCCAGCATCTTCCCTGCATCCCAGCGGCCCAGATGGCGATGCGCGGGTTGGGCACCAGCGCAAAGATCACCACCAGGATGACGGCGCCGCAGATGGCCAGGTTCTTAATCAGCTCCTCGTCGATGATACCCACCTGCTTGCCCCGGCCGGAGCCGGATGGTGGGTCCGCCATCCAGAGATCTCAGGGAATGCGGTGTGCAGTCACAAATGTTCGCTACATCCTTGAGGAAATGTCTATAGTATTCTATAGTCTAAAGAACAATTTAAGATATTTTAAGATATTTTAAGTTCGAAGTGTTCCAAACCCAAAGGTTTGTCATGGTTTGTCATGGTTTGTCACTCCATTTCCGTCCAGGTAGATGTCAGTGGCACCACAGCCCCTTCACAAAAGAACCAACGGCTCCGAGCCTCCTCCCAGTAGAGGAAGTCGAAGCTGTACGGGAAGGCACCCGAATATAGCGCGGTGATCTGCGTTCACCAAACAGCACCGGTGTGATGTGTTGCCATGTGCATGGGCGCTCTGGTAATGTGGGAAGCCCAATGCCACAAACCTACTATCTACCCATTTAATCCCATTTATGGTTATTGTGGGGAAGGTTTATTATTGGGTTTACCACATTCATCAAAGTTTTTCTTCAAAACGTGTTGAATTACCATGTTCATCTTTCAATAGTCAATAGGGGTACCCTCCGGTAATCAAACATAGCAATGGAAAATCCCAATTTACATATATGTCTTCCCCATCAACACGTCCGTTTGGTTAATAATTAGAGGGGATGAACCTGTTGCCATGTTTGATTACCAGAGGGTAGTACATATCATCTACGATTGGGTGATTTTCCATGTTCACACGTTTGATCACCGGAAAGATAGATTGTTCAATTGCAGGGGACGATATCTGACTGCACAGCATGATCAGGCGTTCTTCGCTTCAGTGTCAGGACGTCACTGACTGCGGTTGCAGAGATCTGACATATAAACGCCCCCTGCGAAGCCAGCCTGGTTCCTCATGGAAGTCATGGTGTCGTAGCGATCAGTGCCTGCTTGGCACAGCAAAAGAAGAGGTGTTCCCAAGATAAAATCCAGAGTTTAGAATATCGCATGCAAAATCAGGACAGGAGAAAAACTCTTCTCAAAGAAAGCTTCTCTTGAATAGTTTCTGTCCACAATGTTTGGGGTCTAGCCATTCCTGACACAACTGTGGCAAGGGAAAAAATGACCTGGGTCAGGGCCAACATCATCATTTTTCCAGCTGAACTCACCTAAAATCTGCTTGATATCCTGATCCTCAGATCTTCAATGGGCCAAACTTACTTCATGTTGATATGGAGGTTTCCTCAAATGGGGGGTACCCCTAAATCATCCATTTTAAACGGATTTTCCCTTATAAACATTTATAAACCATCCATTTTTGGGTATTCCCATTCCCCGTATGTTTCTTCATATCTGCACCATGGCGAGATCATCTGATCCACTTTGCATCAAGATACCACGGTTGGTTGCTGCCAAGGAAAGCTCCGCGTTGAAACGCGACGCCTTCAATCCCTCGGACCTTGGCGACCATGTCAACCCCAAATTGTGTGGGTCTCTGGATCTGACTTTTTTGGACCCATACCCATATTTCTTTAGTGGATCCGTTGAAATAAAATGTCCTCCCTGGGTTTCAATTGGGTTTGGCTATGTTTGGCTCTTCTATCTATTCGGGACCACCAAAAGAAGACTCACAATCGGGAAACTTAAGCAGTTTTCAGAGTCCAGCTTCAAGGGGGTATCCAGAGTTGCTGCCCTTTGGTTCTTGCCCATTTGACAGAAGATGTTAGTTGACCCCAAAAAGTTCAAAGTTTAAATTCAAGTTCTAGCCCAGACCATAAAAAGGAGCCTGGAGGCCTTCTCTGCAGCATCATAAGGCATCACAACCAACTAGTTAGTAAGTGGCCTATATAACCCCCATGCAACTGGGGTAGACCCTACAGCTGGCTACCCCCCAGCACGGATGATCTCTATGCTGGTTCAACCACTGGATGTCCAGCTGCTACTATGGTCAACACCAATACTATATGTGGGACTAAGGCTAAGGAAGGCCTTTGGTTTTGACCAATACTGAACCTTTCTTGGCTATGGACATGAACGCGCCCAAAGTGGCTATGGATTGGGACCTTTGGGGAACCTGGTGTTCACATCGAAACAGCTTGTGCATCCCAGTTACTAGGTGGGTGGATCGTCCGAACCATGGTTAGTTCACCCAGTCATGTGTGTATAAATATATGTATCCCGAATCTGTCAGAATTATATACAATGTTATCATCCAGTTCCTAAGTGGAATGCACATCCACAGATGCGCCATTGACATTCATTGACCAGCTAGTTGGAAAACCAAGAAACTTATACAAAATACAAACCCATTAGATATCATTAGATCAGTTTCAAACGTTCATAGAACGTTTCTTGGTTTAACCGTTTAACCCTAGAAGAATCAGCATCAACCGCCGGGTTTTCATCGGATCCCAGTGGCAAAGTGCATCCTGCAGGGACCGCATCTGCGTTGCCATCCAGGTTACAGGCCTGTGGAAAACAGTTTTGGCCCTCTGATGATTAGGGTGTTATGTCTTACTCACAAAGAGGAATCAAAGATGAATAACCCCAATCTTTGGCCAATTATTCATAATCTGTTACTTGTTTGGCCAAGATAAATGCTCAAGTAACTATCAAAGTGGACAATTTAACCAACGAAAAGCATGAAGCTTAGCCGGCAAATGTGGATGCAAGATGATGTAAACCAACAATGCATGCAGTGCAAATAAATACCATGATGGCCGTGGCGAAAAATTCAGGAAGCCCCAACCGTAACCGAGTTCGGCCATGACCCCGCCTCGCTGGCCCACAAAATGGAGCCACGGTAACGGGCTCCCACGTTGGTACGATACCTCGGTACAGTGAAACTGCTTTGTGTCCGTCCATACCTGACAGATTGATACATATTGCACGTCACAGCATGTATGCGAATATATGACAAAAGTGACACTCAGTCACGGATGATTCTACTTTGGATGGAACTGGATGGAACATAAAAGTTCTGTGAAGCATGTGAAGCCACCACACAGCAATTCACCGACACGAATGGAGGACTTTACATGTCCATGTTGGTTTTGAAGCTAGCTTACCTACCCCTTCTACCTTCCGTTTCCTGAAACTTAACTTCTCTTTATTAGAGAATGTACATGTTGCATGTTCATCGCTTGTTTATTGCTGGCAAGTCAGGTTGCAGCCTGCCCTTCCATGGCAGTCGACATCAACTTTCAAACCTTCACCCAGCACCGTTTCTTGGTACAAGACGGTACAAGTATATAATGACCATGAGACTGATAGTTCAAAGATGTTCAAAGAAATGCCAATTCAAACATCTCACATCTCACACTGCCTCAGTGGCTGCTGATTTTTTCCATGCAACCGGTTTTGTTTGCCGGTTTTTTCACTGAACCCTTCCAACATCGTCCAACTATGCAAAACAACTACACCAAAATCGAAGGATGCGGAAAGAATCAATCCAACTGCCCATCATCTGTCTAACCGGAAACTCTTTGGGTATACAATGGTATACACTCATTGTACACCCCCATATGTTTGTTGCTGAAACCCTCCTCCCCAAGGAGACCCTGTCACGCCCTGCTGACGAAGATGCCAAGTGTACAACGCTGTGTAAAACTCGGTCTCCTGGCTGAAGACAGCGTTGCTGTCCGTGCGCGAAGGCGTAAAGGTGTCGTCCGCAGTGGCAGCCTTGCTGGGGGCTGAAGGGGGTTGCACTTTCTGGTTTAAGCAAACAAACATTGTCGGGAGTTCATATGATTTAACATGATTTAACTATATCTTTAAAACTTGTGCATTGACATTCATATTAGCTCTGATTTAAACATGATTTAACTAACCACCAAAGTTGTTGCAATCCAATCAACCCAAAAAATGGCTGGGATGGGTCCATCGTCCACATCGTCCGTGGCATTCCATGGCCTGGTTGGGCTCGGTGGCCCACTCCATAAACTCCATGTACCAACTGTCCACGGCCACATCCTTGGAGGATGTGAAGGCCTTTGCACCCTGGTGGAAATGGATAATTTTGCACAGGTGGATGATATCATATATGCAATTCAATTTTTCAGCGCCATTCGAATCATGGTTCTTACGGCACAGCGACATCTTCCAAGCCAACTACTCCATTTCAGTTGGGGGGTGCTATGTTCAAGGACACCTGGAAGCAGCTTTATAGCCTCGCACCGCATCCTTTGTCCTGGTCACATGCCTAGTACCCAACGAAATATGTGGATCCTCTTGGAAGAATGATATTTCAGATCCCCACGCCAACGCCAGCGGGTGCTTTGATACATCTCATCCATAATCAAAACTTATGCCTCTTCAAGATAGGTTCCCAGAATGCTTGACTTGGGTCTGCAACAATCACTCCAATTGGTAATTCACCAATAAACAAAACACATTAATGCCAAGAAAGACCTTCTTTCCCTCAGTCCACCATTGGTCCAGGCATCGTGGTTAATCAGCTGGGAACTGTTGAGATATCCATAGACCTCGTGCAGGTTGCTCTGCATGGCAAAGGCATCGGACTGCGGAAAGTTCACCGTGATGGGCGTACCTGGTCCCGCGTGGTCCCGCGTCAAAAGCATCCGGCACCCGGGATCAATGAACTGACAAAGGCGTTGAAGGAAACCAAGGTGTTTACCAAGGTGTTTACCAAGGTGTTTACCACCAAAGATGGGGACTTTGCAAATGTTCCTTTGAACCAACTTTGAGAGGCTACAGTAGTGGTATGTAGTAGTAACATGTAGTAACTGGTTATAATCTGGTTATATAATAAGATCCAGGATGTGACTGCATCTTTATCCCATCATGGGTTGTGATACAGCTATTTCTCGGCTAATAACTGATGCACATCGAAGTATGGACCGCTTTTGGATGGGAACACACTCAACACCAACAAATGAACTGGTGAGAAAAACAATTACCTATCAGTGGCAGACATGATGACACCATGTTGAAATTCCTAGTGTTTTGTGTACTTTTGACCAATCGATGTTCAGAAGTTGTCCAATCTCAAAGCGCTTAGCGGGTAGAATGCCAAATCACAGGATTGGGATTGGGGTAACCGGCGGTAACCGGATATCTTGCTGTGTATCTACCATATCTTGCCGCCGTATATATCCGTTGTCTATTTGGATTCTTGTATATACCATATATTGCTGTGTATGCACATGATTCTATGTATATCTTGTACAGACTTCAGGACAGTTGCCTACATGGACTGAACCACATCACATGGGAGTTGAATCATGATTAAAGGGGCCAAATACGTGGCCACTTTGATCCCTTCCAAATGCGGTCCCTGTGAAAAATCGCTGCCCGTCCACCTGTGGAGAAGTAGTCCTGGTTGATGTTGAAGAAGGTGTTCCTAGGCCCCCCCCCCCCACTGCCATCTGCGTTGGGTTTCCCCATGCCCAGGGTCATTCCCTTTCGAACATGGCTCAAGTTAGACTTGTGTATGGTCCAAGTATATGTGTGTATATATATATATACGTATATTTATATTGTATAATGGCCAACATCTCATCTCTCCTTCCAAGAGCCCCAGGACATGCAGGACACTACCCATTTATGGGTTCTATGAACCCCACTTTTTTCCTGCTGTCTCCATGCATGGTGTTTTACGATTCGTGTCAGGACTTCTGCCGAGCAACACATAGGAGGAATCTGGGATAAACCACTCGAGTTTGAAGTCCTTTCCGTGGCGGCATGGAATCTTCACATCACCTACCTGTAGTATCTGTAGTATATTTAAAAAAGTCGATGCTTACACAGGCTGGGATTTTTTTAATGGCAACACTCAGATATTATATCCTGATATACCTGATCTAGCCTGATATCCTCAACTGCGGCCAGGAGAAATACGGATACCTGAGACCCAAGGCGACCCAAGATACCTTGTAGATTTTGGTAGTACCAAAGATGCCCACGCCCGAAATCACGGCAAAGATGATGAAAGTCAACACCTGGGCTTAAAAAAGAGCAGGGAAGCCTGGGGAGGAACGCGAGTTCCACCAAATCATCATGTCAATGTGGTTTACAGTACTAACTAACCTTGCCGGGACGCCAAACTCGGATGCCCAAAATTCTGATGCTTCGATGGAAAATTCGATGAGGTTTTGGACTGGATTTGCTCCATGATTTTGCCGATCCATGTTGGAAGCTTAGGGCCATGGATGGCCCTTGTCCCCCATGGGACAGTGACGTCACCATTCAATCTTGCTGCTGTCCCGATCAATCTAGTCATTCCATGTCATTCCTCCATGTTTTGATGTTTAAATCAAAATCCCAAAAACCATGTGGTCAATTTAGAGTACAGTATATCCATTTATGATGATTACATCCCCACTTTTTGATCTTTTTGGTAGATCTCCTCTATTCTCAGCGAATCTCAATCCTCATCTCCCCACCTGTCCCACTGGCGTGGTGGTCTTCTCAGTGAACTTGGTCAAGCCTTGATGGTGGTGACACTGTCGCAAAACGAAGCCCCAACGGGAGAAGATATGAGACTGTCAGATCTGTCAGGCTATCGGACAAGAAAAAACATTCTCCTGAAACGAAATCATCAGCAATCTTCGCAAAGCAAAAGCATTGCATTGACATCCAGGAACTCATTGGTGTGGACAGTGCTACACATAAAATACAACATGGGATCCAAAAGGGAAGATCCAAAATGTTGCAAACCCAGAATCAAGTACAAAAATTGAATCAACGCTTTCCAAAATTTCCTTGGAATTGAGAAGATTGGCAACTAAGAAAACCTCATTTGCTTGTGCTCCTCCAGTTTTTTTTCTAAGCAAGGAAATCCATTACTGGCTGTTACAGGCATTGGGTGGCACTCAATGTATGTATATATATATATATATTACAGTTATATTCATGTATGTGTATGTGTATTATGTATGCACACGGAAGTGTATTCTAGTTTGGAGGCTTTTCTGTAGAAACATTCCTCACATCCATCCTGTCATGGGGCCTGGGGGCCCGGTGGTACTCCAAATAGGTTTTGACACATCCCCAGGTAAACAATCGATACAAGCTAGTGCCCCCAGTTATACGTTGGTTTGAGAAATCCCGATAAACCCCATTAACATTAGATAGTGCAGGGTTTCCTGGAATGGGGGTACCCCAATAGCTGGATGGTTTTTAGTGGAAAATCCCATCCTAAAATGGACGATTTGGGAATACCCCCATGACTTGGGAAACCTCCATATATCTACCATCATAGTATATAGTTATAAGATGTTATAAAATATTATAAGATGTTCTAAAGTTATAAGATGTTATAAGATGTTATGTTCACCAACGATCGTTTGGGGGTACCACTTTTGAGGTTTCAGGTCCCTGACCTTTCTTCAGTACGCCGCCTTTGAAGACCTCAATGGACCACAGTCTTCCGGAGGATGGCAAGCCCTAAATGGTCTACCAACAGGACCACCAGTTTTGGCCAGGGAACGTAGAAATGAGGGATTGTTATAGTTTGATTATGGTTTGATTATTATAACTTCTAACTTTAACACATCTATGCTTAGGAAAAACTGAAAATAAAATACCGAATTTAATTACCGGTAGTCAAACATAGCAATTGAACGTCCCCCATTTATAGTTGATCGGAAACTCAGGAAGGAATGTGCCATCTGAGCTGCCTGTAAGCACACGTGACCACAAGTCAGAAACAAATCGCTGAAGATTCCCGGGAGGCAAATACGCCAGCTGGAGAACCAAGGCAATGCCGTCAAGGGCCACAATAAAGGAAGGGTACATGATAGTCCCAACTAAAATCTGTAGTTGGAGAGTTTTTTTTTTGAGTTGGGCACTAGTCAGACCCTCCACAATAAAGGGTGATGTTCCCCATTAAAACCTCCATTTAGTTCAAGGATTTTACGTTTGATTACCAGAGGGTACTCTAAGTATTGGAGCATTTTGAGATATGTTGAGCCATACCCAGTTCTGATCTTAGCTCCTGATAGCTCCTGAAAGTAAAGTTCTCAGCGTGTGGATGTCACAATCGCGTTCTTTCAACCCTGTAGAAACCAAAGAACCGTTGGAATGTTTACATCTATGACCTCCATGGAGTGATAGATGTTGGATTAGAAAGGCTGATTGCTGAATCATGTGGGAAACACCTTGGAAAGATTTGGTTGCTTCTCGAACAAAGATCTCTGAGATCTCCGAGGTCTCTGGGCTGAATGTTACTTGAGCACATCCCAAAACCTTGACTTTTGTGTAGTCCAAAGGGATTCTCATAATATATCATAATCCATATATCATGATCAGAATCACTTGATATATCATCATATATCCTAGGTCCTAATTATTGATCATACATTGATTCCAAGTCGTCAACCATCCGGGACTTCAACCATCCGGGACTAAGTAACGCCAGTGTTACCCGTGTACTCTTCATCTATAATCATCATCTAAGGTTCAATGTGCATTGCCTATTAGCAGTGGGTCAAAATTCGGAATCCCTAAAAGGAACTGAAAAATGTGGTCTAATTCAGTTCAATTACTTTAATATGTACACTAGCACATCCTCGCAAAAAAGAAAATAGGGAAAGGAAAATCCTACTAAAAAAAATGTGGTAAAGTACTTGTTTAGCTTTTATGGCCTTACGTTCAGCGTCAATTCGTTAATCCAAAAAAAAATACCCCCAATCTGCGGTTCCAGATGGTTCCCAGGGAACTCTTGACCCATCCCATCCCCCAGAAGCCCAGCTGCCGACTTGGAACAGCAGCAGCAGCCCTGTGCATCGTCCAGGCCACGCTCTGGGCGAGTGAAGCAACAGCAGCAGTCCATTTTGCTGGCAGCGGTACCTTGTGCTGCGCGCCATGGTTGTTGGATTTTTTGAAACCCCCCATGTTGTTTTTTTTTGGAAACACACAACTGCGCTTGTACTTTTTGGGGTAATTGATGATGAGGGGGAAGGGATGGAAGGGATTATGTACATATCTATGATAAACTCAATCGTGGACCTATAGTTGTAAACCATTGTAAACCAACTTGGCTAATTATGGGGAACCACCGGATAGAACAGTGCGATTCTTCCGCACAAAAACAAAGACGAGAAGAAAACAAAGATTGGGATTTGACTGGTTATCTGGGTTTGTCTTGAAATGTACTGTGGGGATTCAAACAGAAGTTTCACGGTGATATTCTATGGGGGTGCATAGCTGATGATTGTTCATGGGATTCATAAAATCAACAAATACCAACAATATGATTTGGGTTTGTCTCTCAAAATGGAGAATAACCCAATTTGTGAAGGTTTTGAGAAAATGATAATAAACCACGGGACTTCGATGGATTTGGTGGTTCCAAATCTTCAGAGGGCGCGGCCAAAAGGCCAAGGAACGGCGGGCGTTCAATGCCAGACATGGCAGGAACACGGTCAGCTGGAAGGTATAGCAAAGCACAATGGACACGCCTGGAGGGTTGCAGAATGAATCAAATTGTCAGAAATCTGCACCGGGATTTTTGCAAACATGGGATCAACAATTCTGCAACAAAATGATGACAGGTTGGTGGTTTCAAACCCTCTGAAAAAGATTAGTCAGTTGGGATGATTATTCCCAATACTGTATATGGAAAAAAAACATGTTCCAAACCACCAACCAGATGAGTCCAATTGGGTGAGCTCCGCCTCCCTAAGATCCCTAGGATCCTGGGGGTTCCACACCTGCATAGGTGCAGAACCAGCTGAGGGCGGGCAGCACGGTGGTGGAGCCCACCAAGAAGGCCAAGGCATCGGTTGCAGAGGTGATCAAGACCTCAGGATCCAAGATATTTTGCAGAAGTGAAGGGGTTGCGCTGTAGTTGGGTTATGTAGAGTTTACTTTCTTTGATTTCTTTGATAGAAAAAGTGAGACATCCAGAGTTCATCCCAAAAAAAAAAACAAAAGCTGGGAAATTTTGGGGCGCTTTGACTCGGTGTCCCCACGGAGATGCCACCGGTGCGCGCAGTCTTGGCGATGAGCTCAGGCACACTGAGGCTGCCGCCCTGCAGGTTTCTGATGTGCTGTGGCTGTAGCAACCCCAAAAAAAATACGGAAAGTGGTACAATAAAGTAAACATCCACTAGAACAGTGAGAAACTAGAGGTTTCTGAGTTGCTGCACATCTTTTTGGGGGTTTATCATGGTTTATCTATGTGACATTATGTGACCACATGGCTCGAAACAGTGGAGACTCAACCGTCCAATCTTTCGGCCGACCGTGACCCTGCCCCAACCTTCTCTTTGGCCTCCCTGGAGTGGGTCAAAAACTCCGAGGTCAGCACAAAGGCATCATCCACACCCAGACCCAGCAGCAGGAAGTACAAATTGTTGTTCAAGTTGCCTCAGGCACCAGGGGTTAAAACTGTTTCGCAATCATTGAATCTTCTTATATCTTCTTGGATGGTTGCAGCGCCACCAAATCCAAACCCTGCAAGTACTGTACAGAAAAGAAATTGAGGTCTCCTCCATTTTTGGACAAACATAATTATATCATCTATATCTCATTTATATTCATTTATCACAATGTTATAGTTTAATATAATTTATAGCCCATCAAAAAAGTTCACTCCGTTCAAACAATTCCCGTCAAAATCCCCCATCTTCCGCAATGGGCTTCAACATGCTTCAACATGCTTCAACCATGGCCGGGGTGCCGTTGGGCACCTGGAAGTAGCCCATCAAACCCAGGGTGGACACGATGCACATCCCCACGATGGCTACGGCAATGAAGGCCATCGCCACGCCGCTGTGCACCGAGTCGCACTTGCCCAGCATGAACTCAGCGCAAGGGACGAAGGACCAAGGGACCGGAAAGGGAAAAGGATGATTTTGCTCAGCAACTATGTGAATTATCATGGCTATGGAAGTAATCATGGGAAGATCAGGTGTAATATTTATATTTACATATATTTATAATTATTTATATGTTATCATTATCAAATTATTATCATGATGTGATATCATGTGATTCATGAGAAGTCAACCCCCTGCAGTTCGGTGAATCACTAGATGATTAATATGCCCGTACAAAGGTGATCTTTCCTGCTCGGGTTGTTTTTTATCGTCATCTATTGAACCATCCAAAACGATTCTGGCAATCCATGGGATCCAAGAAATCACCAATTTTGGGCCAACGAACCATATTTGAAACCGCCAAGCAGATATCGTATATAAATGAATATAGAATATAGATAATATCTCAATGGATATAAATGATGTAAATGATATATATATATATATAAATGGATTATCAATGAATCAATACATATATAGATAGATATAAATGGTACCACCCCGCAACATGTCGGCATCCCCCAGTCCCGGTAGTCTCGACAGCCAGCTCACTGCACAGTACACCTTGGCAAGGCAGAGCCCATAAAGATTGGAGATCTGGGTACATAGCCAGCCACAAAGGTGAGACAATACCCTTTGCTAATCAAACATTGCAACGGCAAATCTCCTAAAAATGGAGGTGTTGAATGTTAATGGGGAGATCTATAACTGTAGATTCTCGATTGCCATGTTTGATTAATAGAGAGTAACCCAGGCTTCAAGAAAAATCACCAAATCATATCGAATCTTAGGATTGCCCTGACCCCGCAAAAGGGACTGAGGGAAAAAGAAACAACCATTCACATAGGAACATGCATATAAATGCATCTGTGTGCTTCTTTGTGAAATGGGGAGATGTTGCTTCATGTACCAGTGGTTTCTTCAACTGGTTGTACCATGTTGTACCCCTTCAAACATCTTTAAAGCATTGGTTTCTATCAATAAGCCCAGGGAATCTCCCCAACAGGCGGTAGGAAAGTGTGGCGATGTGAGGAAAAATGACTAACTTGGATGATACAAGGTGAGGCCCCCAAACGATAGCTAGGTTGACTTATAAATCTTATAACTTGGCTAGCTAGGGTTCATGGGGTAGATATAGCTATATTAATATATATATGTATATATATATATTTACCAAATGAGCCATGTTCTAAACGTATCTAAATGTCTTATACCCTGGCACCAAATAAGGAAATGCTTACGCTATTGCTTACGTTTTGCTTACGCTCGCACGGGTTTTACTTACGCGCATATCTTGTCTTACGCGGAGCTTGCGCTGGCTTACACGCACTACCAGTACAATTTTCCTTACGCCACACCCTTTCAAGGGGCTCCTTCCCTAACATGAACACAAGGGTTTAGAACGTACCTCAAGTGGGTTTACAAACCAATTAATTAACAAGTTGACTTGGCTAACTAGGCTATATAACTATAGTAAATGGATGTAATTTAAGTGGTTTGTAAAACCAACTTGTAACTTGGGGTCTTGAAGTTACAAACAACCCATGACGACTCTCAGAACCCGCCAACATCTGCATCCAGCTGCGATGATGACGCCGTAGGAGGCCGTCAACTTGGAGATATCTCCGCGGATGGCGTTGCCGAACTCGTCGCCCAAGGAACGCTGGAAGAGACCTCAACAAAATGCCATGGCCCGATAGGATCCATAGGAAATGCGTGCTTTCTGGCATTGTTCCATCTGAAAGAAGGGGATCTTCTACCCAAGAAATCCCAAGAATGAGAGGTGAAGTTGCCTCAGGGAGGATCGTCACCCACAGTTGAGAGGTGCACTTCAAAGGTGAAAATGACTCTAAATCCAGCAATTGGAGGATTCAAATGCCTTCATGTTGATTTATGTTGTAGAATGCAGATTCATTCACCCTCTGGGCCGGAGTACCTGAAACCACATCCTATCTTTACATACCCATAGGACCCCCAGTGTATCCACCCAGAGCAACATCCAATGACTCGGCCCAAGGGACCCGAGAACTTCAGCAGTTCGTTCTCAGGGCAGTCCAACTTTGGCTCGGCGCGGGGATCTGCATCCACACCCATCCTGGGTGGATCTTCGCACAGTTTTTTCGGTGATCAAAATGAAATCCGGAGTGTTGGTTGATGGTTGATGTTGGTCGATGGTTGTTGTTGACCCCAATTAAATAAGCTTCGGTGGTATCCCCAACAGCCGCAACGTTTTATTTTTACAAATCTTTCTGGAAACACCTCAGCTGGGTTTCCGTGAGTTAAATGGCCCGCAAATCCTGTTGAACCTAACCTGGCTCTACACCAAAGCCACCCACACCTTCTCCGGAACCTTCTCCCTGTTGAACGTGACCTGGCTCTGCACCAAAGCCTCCCGGAACCTTCTCCGGAACCTTCTCCGGAACCTTCTCCGGAACCCTGTGGAACGTGACCTGGCTCTACACCAAAGCCTCCCACGCCTTCTCCGGAACCTTCTCCCTGTTGAACGTGACCTGGCTCTGCACCAAAGCCTCCCGGAACCTTCTTCCTTCTCCGGAACCCTGTGGAACGTGACCTGGCTCTGTAAAGCCTCCCAGACCTTCTCTGGAACCTTCGGAACCTTCTCCGGAACCTCGTTGAACCGGACCCGGTGCCTGCACCAGTGCCCACCGGAGCTATTTTGGGCTGAAGACCCCATTAGCTTATGCTGTTGGGGAAAAATGGAGAATGAAGCTCACAATGAGTTCCATTCTCCATTCAACGGTGCACGGGACTCACATCTGAAGTGCATCGAAACCGAAGTTTGTTTTGGGGTCTGAACTGAGTCCCAACTGAGAGCCATTGATGTTTCAACCAAACAACGATTTCGAGGGTTGATCGAACACTGAACAGCTGATCTCCCTGGACTCCACCGGGGTCACCGGGGCACAAGCACAGCACTTGCCGCTCCCACTCGTCGGCGATGGGGTCAGTGCGACCCTCCTTCGGACAGTAGAGCTCCTAGCAGCTGGTGTCAGCGGTTGAATGGCATGAGGAAGGCGTGTTTTTTTTGTTTTATACATTTAGAACATTGCAAAATGATGTCCATCTAAATAAACAAGTACTACTAAGTACGTATTGTTTTGTAGATCTAATCTGTTGTGTATATATTATATAATATACAACAATCCAAACAGGCATGGAAATAACAAAAACTTAAATGTGGTCGCTCCTACTGTCACCTACGGAATTAAGATCATGCATGATGTTCTCGTGTTGGAATTCCTCACAATGCTCCTCCAATCAATGGTGCTGGCTAAAAACATCTGTGATCATCCAGTTCTTCCCCCAAGTCTTGGTACAGTACCATCTTGCACCATGTCCAATAGAATCAACTGCACCAAATCTCAGCTGATTTCAGAAAAAATCCTTCTGCCGAGGAACCATCTTTTCCAAGGCCCAAAAGCCAGCGATGTGTTTTCCACTGGCATACTCCCAGGTGCCACTGGATGCCTTGGTCGGATCGGCTGGAGATGTTCGGCTGTTGGTTCTTTGTTGGTGGCTCGCAAAACCAGAAGGAAAACGGTTGATGTAAAGGAAAACCAGGAGGAAATAAACGCCAACTTGGAATCTGAGGCACCAACATTTTTCGCCCCTGGGCCGAAGGGGCTTACCATTTTGGCCATATCGTTATTAAAGGTATATACTATGCATAAACCATCATTGATCATCATAGATCATCATTAACCATCATTTAACCATCATTGATCATCGACCTTCCAATTGCTTCAGGTGACCAAAAAAAAACAAAAACCAACTTGACCACATAGCCATCCCAGGCCAGGTGCCAATCCACCCACCATGGTCTTGATCTTGGTGGCTTGGAACTCGAAGGCGCTCTCAGGCGCGTCTCCCGGGTCCTGAAGCGCTGCTGAAAGTCTGAAAACTGGCAATTCCTTGGTAAAAAAAAACGATGATCCACCAGGTGATTTGGAGTCATTCTTCACCATTCTTGGAAAAAAAGTGATAAAGCTCAAGAACACAATTTTGGTGGGTTAAATCACCATTTTGCCTGCTTAAACCACCATTATTCCTAGCTAAACAACCATTTTTGATGGCAACCAAGGATCCGTGTTCAACATGCCTGCGGCCGGTGTGGTGGTTGTCACGCTTCCCAAGGCGCCAAGCTGGATGCAACCGCGGTCCTGCCGTGTAGGAAGGACTTGGACCGGGAAAAAAATGGCAGCGGTTGTGACAATTAACAACAATTTGACTATTGTGGATAATTATTGATTATGATTATTGTTGAATATCTAATATCTAATATTATCTAATATTAGTTGAAAAATAATATTGTGATTATCTACATTAATTGATAATTATTGATGATTATCATTGATGATTATCATTGATGATTATTCTGATTAATCTATGATAACCTAATCAATATATGTAATGACATCAGAATAATCATCCATGATAATCTATGACAATCAAAAAGTTACATCACAATAACAATCTACAATTTATGTCAATCTATGATTTCTGCAACAGTCATCGAAAATCGTTGTGAATGTTTGCCTCTTATTCTATGAGAATGTATGATAATTGGATGAGCTATGAGAATCTATGATAGTTCACAATGTTCTTTTTTCCCAGAATTCATGATAATATTGTGATCATTTATGGTTGTTTACCTTATGTTCTTCTGATACGTTGCCATTTATGTTCATGTATCATGATCAGAAATTCACCTGAAATAAGGTGATCTGTGGGACCTTACGGACCATCTACCATGACGTGGCGGTGAGGTTCTTAATTACAAGAAAGCCACTGGTCTGATCATTGACATGTTGAGTTGAATGCTATCAACCCCCCAAAAATGGTTGGTTTGACATTCCAAAATATGCCAAAATGACCAGTCATGTGTGGGCCCACTGGTAACCTCATGACGCATACCCAAGTTTTTGCCCAGAGATCATGGGGCTGTGTTTCTCAAAATTGCGGCGCCTCAAGCAACTGCTGTCCTGTTGAAAATCATCAATGTTCTATGATTTTGGGGTCCCCCAAAATAAAAAGAACCATAGCCATGGTCAAAAATCTGGTCAAAAAGGTACGTCCCATAATGGGAGTCCCAAAAATGAGTGGGTCCAAAAATCAAACCTCCGGGACCTCAGCCTGTGTTTGGTGCTTGTTTAAAGATCCTGTAATGGTAGCATTTATAAACCATCCATTCTTGGGTACAGTAGACTCAGTAGCCCAATTCTTCACCATAAAAAACCACTGGGCAAAAAGCTTGAAAATCACCGATCTTTCGGCCATAACATGGACCCCATCCTCCCCCAGCCGCAAAACTCCTGGCATGTCGCCATGTCCACTGGTCGCGTGACTTCCTCACCGTTGATGATCTGGGTGATGGTGGGGCACCTGAGTAGACAAGGTGGGAGGATGAATGGCAAGAATCACCAACAAAAAGGTGGGAAAAACTGGGGAAATTGGGGGTTCACCAATGAACTGCCAGAAATTGAGGATTTGACCGTGATTTGACCCACAAAAAGGATTGACGTGACAAAAATCGAAAGCTAAACTATCACTTCACTTTACTTTAAAAAATGGAGATGATTAGACAGAGAAATGTGCTGTGGTACATCCATTCGGGAGACTTGAACAGCTGGAGCTGTCCAGCAATTTCCCAAAGGAAAATCCCTTCCCAGGCCAAAAGTTGGATGGCGCCAACCACATTCCACCGGTCCAGTGAACCCATTTTGGACCTATGGCCGGCGCAAAGAGGAGCAGCAAAAATAGAGGTCCACTGAGTTGGCTGAGCTATCATACTTCACTTTGATGTAAGGTCCTTTTGCAGAGATCCTTAAGCATCATTACGGTACCCTGCGGCAATCAAACGTTGAACCGTTGCATGCTGGAAATTCCTCCATTTTTTTATGCGATTTCCATCGATTTCCCATGAAAAGCATCCCATTGATGGGTGATGTCCCAGCTAGCCACGTTTGATTTACCGCAGGGCAACGTCGCCGTGGCCCAGGCACTTGGAAGTGCAGTAGCTGGTGGCAGCCACACGGCAGTTGTGGCGTTCTGTCTGGGTGGTGTACTTCTGGCAGTTGACTCAGCAAAGCATCAGAGCATATAAAAGGCTTAAAGGAGATGCAAGATGATACAAGAATATATCAGGAATATGCTCGGATATACTATGATGTTGTAATATGTAATACAGCAACCAGGATCACCGCTCGGCAGCTTTTGAAAATGGCTCAAGGACCCCAAAGCGAGGGCTTTTGCCGATGGCTTTTGCGACCTGCGACCTGTTGACTTGGTTTCTGCATCCAAAATACATTAAACACTCAAAAGTGGCTTTGTGAAAAAAATACAAACCCAACCTACCAACGAATGTTGGTCCCTCTCAACTATCAATACAACAAAAATACCCCTATAGCCTATAGTTGCCTTTCTCCGACTTATGACTTGAGTTCAGCTGCCAGTGTTGAATGACATGTAACCATCATCAACCATCCCCAATTGATGATTGACAGATTAATGTTCTGGCATGTTCTGGTTATCTGACCCCATCCCCCCATCCTTTAGCACAGCAGCCATTGTAGCAGGGAGAGTCCGCAGTGGCCAAGGTCAAGGGGCACATGGTCTCTTGTCCCTGGTGCACAGCTGCAAATCAGGCGATTTTTGGCCTTGACCCCAGAAGAGTTGATATTGGTGGTTTCCACCAATCATTTAAACATGTCCCATGGTTTTTGGAGATGCAACAGATTGAATGAAACCTGGGAAGACTGGAAGACTGGAAGAAGGATTTGCCTGGTGGTTGCGCTTCCTGGCCCCAACAAGTACGTTTTTGTGCTCGATCATAATCCCATTGCAACTGGGGTGGACAAGCAAATGAAATCAGCCAGCTGGGATAACTAATGGATGCTGATGGGCTGATGTTTTGGGACAGAAAATGATACAAATGTCCTTCATATCTCCATGAAGTTGTTACGAGCATCATTTCTCAACAGACTTTCGCCACGTTTCGCTCTTGATCCTCCACCAAAAATTTCAGAATGGTGACATTTCACCATTTCTTTGGAGGTTGGAGAGGCTGTGTGGATCAACCGCTTCATGAATTCCATGAACAGCAGATCAGGAATATCCCATCTTCCACCGGAAAAAAACAGATGGATACAGTACAAACATGTAGGAAATGGAAGGAAACTGGAACAGCATGTTCATCTTCATATTAAGACCTACACTCGCCGCATCTATTTTCTCAACCCAAAGAACTCACTTTGGAACTCAACATGCACTTGCACAGGTGAAATCTGGCCCCCCAACCAACTCCGCGGTCACCTCCCAGTTGTTTACAGCCCGGAGGATCTGGTCACTGTTCAAATTGGTGATGACATAGTCATCATCCCTGAACCTGTGTTTGGCGGCTCGAAACTGGGGTGCCCGGTGCCCGTGTACTTTTGAGATTGGTCATAAGTCATAAGTCAAAACACTACTCTGGCGAAATCGCTCACTCTGACTAGCACAAAATGCAGCAGATTTACTATAGCTAGATCTAGCTAGATGTTTCATGTCGAAACATTCCTATCCCCCATGGGGCCCCATGGCCATCCTCTGTGCCACCACGGAGCACGTCCAACAAGTTGGACTTGGCGCAGAAGGGACCGAACTGGGAGCACTTGCGGCCGTCGAAGACCACCGATCCGTTCACCTCGGGGTCTCGGGGAGAACATCCCCCAATGGCACCGGGAAAATTCCACTGTAGGATCAAAAGATGCAAATGTTCAAGCAACGAATGAAGACACCGCCATGTCGGCGGTCAAGGCACGGAACCTTTTCCGTCTGAACTTGCGCCCAAGAGCTCTGCGGTCAGCAGGCAAAAGTTTCACAACTGCAGCAAAGTGACATGACTCCATGGAATGGTTACAGACTGTCAAATGAGTTCATCAGCCCCCTAAAGTTCTTGTTCCATGGAGTTTGACATGAGCTTTGACTGGTTTTCAGTCTCTGCTCTGACTGTTTGCCACGCAGCAGGACCTCTTCTTCTTCCTCTATCATAAATTTTCCAGTCTTCAACAACTTCAACAGGGGCTCATGATGCCCACCCACAAATTTCGTCATTGAATCAGCTGGGTTCATGTTGTGAGGGATCCATCGGGGTCGGCTGCGGCACACTGACATGGATTCGCGAATGATCGCGGTTTCTAATGCACTCCTATCATCATCGCCCTGGCTTTGCTCCGAATTCAGAGCATCATACAGGCTCTTCGCATCCATGACGCAGACACTGTGAGGATCTCGATAGATGTTGGAGTCATTTGCAATGACTGTTGCCTTTCCAGCGGCCTCAAGGTATTGATCTTCTGAAAGCTGCTTTCGTCTCGGGCTGTAGTCTGACAGGCGGATGCTTTGGAAGAAGGCGTCCAAGCGTTCCAGAGCACCTGTCGCTGCAGACATCGAAATCGCCTCGCACAGCAATGAAGATGATGCCTTTCTCCGAAGCCGCTTGGATCGCCACTGAATAAGAGAGATGGGCGCAGGCTCTCCTCTGTTCAGCAGTGGATTTGTAAATCCAAGCAACCATCCATGTTGAGATTTCTCACGTCCACTGGTGTCGAATGCTGAATCTGCTATCAGGACCAGTCGCAGTTGGCTTTCGGGAATCGCATGAATCCGGAGGGTCACAGGAAAGGTCTTCAGGTGCTTCACCACCTCATTCGCGGCATGCACATGCTCCATTGTCGGGTTTGGAAACGACGAAGCCAGGATTGATGCTGCGGATGAAGCATCAGGCCTTCCTTCCCTTGACACCCAGTTCAAAGAAGCGATCAAGCCTCTCAACTGCGTCTTCTCGCTTTCGTTCAGTTGCGTCTCAGCTGCATGCTTTTTGAGAACCTTTTTGTGGCTGAGAATCGGTTCCAGTCGCGTATAGATGAACTCCTCCATCGTGATCTCAAAGCTGAAATCAGGCAGCTGGCGCAAATGACGTCCTGCATAGTTTGTTCCTTCAGCAGACTGCAGGTTCTCGACTTTCCCAAAAGTCAGCATTGATTCCAACTGCTTCATTTTCTCCAGATGCCTCGGTCCACCCGCCTCCGCAATGTCGTCAACCTCAATGACGATGAAGCCGTCGGACAATGCACCTGGGGATCCACGTTTGGATTCTTCAGCTGGAAGTGTGAGGATGCACCTGTCATAGCAATTCACCTCATACTTCAGCTTCTCAGTCGCTGTTTTGAGAAGTGTCCTTCTCCACCAGCTGGGTCCAGTCACCAGGCCATAGATCTCGGTGAGCAGCAACAGGAGCTGTCATGGATCAAGTCCTTCTGGACATTCATCACGTGGCATCCGGCAGGCAAGTGGTTTTGACCTGGTGGTCGGCAAGGCCTGCAGGAAAGCGGTCTTCACATCCTTAACCCGTGTAGCCCATCGTCTGCTTGATGCCAACTGCAAGCACGCATACAAGCTCGTTGACAATGGCGTCGGGGAAGAACGCTCCACCTCGAGGATCTGCGGATCCTGCCATCCCACTGCGCACAACCGTGATTTTGGATTGGTGGCATCTGCTTCCAGCTCGATGGCTTTGAAGTGTCCCTGAGTCAGTGCTTTGGACTTGTACTCCTCCAGCTTTCCTTTTGAAACTGCAATAGGCTTGTAGCGGTCCACATACTTGGAATCAATCACCTGTTCTGGTGTGTCTCGCAAAAATCTGAGACTTTCCTCCACAGACAGAATTCGCACAGCGCCAGTGGAAACCAAGCTGTCGAGCTCCTTTTTGCGTGAAGCCCGAAACATTCTCTTCTCTTCTTCAGGCAACTTCGAAAATTCAACTTGTCCAAAAGATGATTTTGTCTTGGTCACGTACATGCAGCGGTCTCGGATGCAATAGCTTGCCTCTGCTTGCTGGCATGAAAACGTGGCCTCATCTTCAGTGCAAGGTCTCAAAGTTGACCTTTGCTGTTCTCGGCAAAACTTCCATGTGGCACCGATGAAGGCTGGTGCCTGCACTGCAGAAAACAGGTGTGAATCATCTTCAAAATTGATCACTTCCACATAGAGAGATTGATTCGGTGGCCTTGGAAGAGAGGGCGCACCCGGGTTGAATGGAAATGGTGTCCTTGGGACTGCTTCTGTCACTGACCTCTGACTCAAGGTTGGTGTGGGACCTGTCACAGAACTTTGTCTCAGCGTTGGTGTCTCTGGCTGATCCAACAACGGTTCTTGTGCAGGTGCTCGTGGCCGTGCAGCTGGGTATGGTGCTGAATGACGTTGTCGTTCAACAGCTGACGGGCCAAAAGTTCTTGCCGGTGGCATTGGTTGTGGGGGCATGCTCACAGGGCTCGCTGGTTCACTCACTTCTGGAATGACTTCCATTGGTGCGGTCGGCACTCCAGTCTCAGATGCGATGCTCGCACGTCTGCTAGGCAGTTCAGAGTTTGGTGCCGTCGTCACATTTGAACCATCCACTTCCGTGTCCACCTCCATGTGAGCTTGACCTGAAGAGCTTCCCGTGGTGCTCGTCGTGGTTGAAGTTGTTGCATCACCTGATTGAGATGAGCCATCTTGGGTCTCAGTTTGTTGAGCTCCTTCTTCACGGACATTCAAGGTCCTGAGAACTTCATCATAGTAGTCGTCTGTGGGTCCTCCTTCTCGAGTGACATCTTGATAGACGACATGACCTGGCTTGCTGAGTTTCGCCAGCATCTCTTTGGAAAGCTCAACAATGAGCTCGGCTCCAAGTTCTTCTTCAGGTGTAGCTAGTCGAAGTTGTTCTCGAGATGCCTTCCATAGTCTGCCGCGCATAGACACCCAGGATGATTTTCCAGTGGGGTCTTCGGCGATAGTGACGCCGGGGCCAACCCAACCCTTGTAGGAAGGTGTGTCTCGGAAGACATAGACCCATGATCCAGCAAGAATCTTCTGTTGGTCGCTGGTGCGGGTTTGAGCGCGCAGACTGCGTCGCACAGCACCTTGGTCCTGCTTTCGGATCCATTCGCGGGCAGCTGCATCTCGAATCTCCCATGACCTGTGAATGGGGTCTGTTGCAGATGCATCCGCCAGCTCGCGGTTCAAGGCATCTGTGGCAAGGAGAGAGGCTGGGAGGCGCAGGTTCTTGCCGAAGACACGCTGCATGGGGCTAAATCCAAATCGATCCATGTAGCGGTTTCGTCCTGCTACCACTTCAGAGACGACATATGGCAGCTCTTCCATAGAGGCTGATGTGGCGTGGATTGTCGCCAGGATCTTCTCTTTCAAGATACCTCCAGCCTTCTCAGTTCTTGAGTTCTGCCAGGGTGATTGGGCGTCTGTGTAGTGGAGTCCAACGCCAAGACCACCCACAAGCTCCTTGAGCTTGTCATTGTCAAACTCCTTGCCTCTGTCCATGACCAGAAGGACGGGAGGTCCATAGTGCTTCACCCATTCATTCATGAAACGTTCAACCACTTCATCTGCATTCTTGCTCTGGCAGATGCATGCTTGTTGGAAGTTGGTGCCCCAACACAGCATGTTGAGCAGGATGACCTGTTTGTGCTGCAAGTCCAAGAAGCACAGGTCAATGCCAACCACAGTGTTGAACTCCAATGCTCGCATCAAATGTCCAGGTCGTGCTGGTTTTGGTCGAGGAAGTGCATCGCAGGTCGGGCATCTGAAGTGTCTCTTGGTCCACTGGATGATATGTTCCTGAACTCCAGCATTCTGCAAAGCACGGACGAAGATGTCCAATCCAGGGTGACCAAGATTCCGATGCACTCGATGAACTTCTCGCCTCAAGTTTGGAGGAAGCGAGAACTCTCCCTCATCCACCTTTTTGAAGTCCTCCATCTTTGCAAGGGCTTTGGAAACTCCAGGTTGCTCGCCAACATTGCGAAGCTGACGGCGAGTTTCTTCCAACACCTCGTCATCCACTGCCTCTGGCACAACTGCCTCAGGCAAGTCTTCATCATCCGCTGCTGCAGGCCAGACCATCCGTGAAAGTCCATTGGATGGATGAAGTCCACTGGCTTCTGCATTTGGCCGGGCAGGTGGCTCAAGTCCAAATCCAACCACCTGCCTAAGTCCATCGGCCTGAAAGTCCAATGATTGCGGATGTGAATTGGAGGCCATTGCAAAGTCCATGTTGACCTCTTGGCAATCCACTGCAAAAATTTGGGCTTGGATGCCAATCGACTTGCCATACAGGAAGGCTTGGTGAAGTTGTGGATTCTGAGGCTTTGCTGCTTTGATTCCAAGGGCATTTTTGATACCATGCAGCAATGCCTTGACAAAGTGGGGCGTGTAGATCGCGGCCATCTTAGCTGAGCCGCCAACCAGCATTCCATGTTGATGCGACTTGTTGCAAGTCTTCTGAACGTAGTGAGCCATCTCTGCAATGTTGGTGGCCAGGAGTGTGGGCTTTTGGACCAGCTCCCCTTTGCAGGGACCTGCTTGAGCACGTAGGCCAAACTGGCACATGTCCACGCGGATCTGGTAAACGTCTGGATGATCCAGCAACTCCAGCATCTTGGGGAGTTTCCAAGACTTGGCATTCTTGGGCTGTTCCAGGATGAACCCACGGCCTTCGGAGATCTGTAGCATGGCCAGGCTGATGGCGAAGTTCATGTGGAGCTCACCCTCGATGACTTCACGTCGAACTTGTTCACTGTCACGCTTGCTGTTTGACAAGTTCCGTAGGGATGAGAATGGTCCACATGGAGGTGAAAGTAACAGCACTGCAGGTTTGTGCGTCTTCACCAGCTTCACAGCCTTTTGGCGATGCTCTGACTTGCAGAAGTCCCAGCCGTTGGTCAGGTCCAGCGCTATCTTCCCACGGAGTCCTTCACCTGGAGACATTGCAGTGGCTCTTGGAGGGCTGTAGATCTCGCCAATGTGGTCGAGATAGTTTCGTAGTGCAAAAGAAACGTGTTGTCGTTGCTGCTTGTCGATGGTTTTGGGCACACCATCAAAATCAGTGCGGGCCAGCTCAGACGTGCTGGCATTCAAGGAAAAAGTCATTTCTTTGATGCCCAGGTCACCCTCAGTGCTGTAGCTGTCCTCAAACTCCATCCGAGGACCAAGCAACGTAGAGATCCGTTGCTCTGCATCGGGCAACTGAGAGCAAACCAGGACCGTTGCAAACATTGCCAACTTCGTGGCCTGGGCAAGTGGTTTCGCTATTGAATTCGTCTTGCATCCACCATTGCCCTCATATTCCTGGGATTTGCATACCTGGTTCTTCATGGAGTCACCATCTGAAAGTCTTGGATGGCTTTGCGTGGAGTCGTCTCGTCGTCCGACGTGTGGATCTCCTGGATTTCCAGCTCCGATGATGCTGGTCCTCGAGACTTTGACCTTGGTTGGGCAGGTCGAACTCCACTGGCCATCTGCATCTGCTTGCGGCGCTCCTTCTTGTGCTCGGCCATCAACTTCTCCAACTGCTGATCGGCTGTCTGATCGGTTGGGTCGAAATCCATCCCATCCATCAGTGCCTGAGCCGCCATGTCGGTCACCAGACTGGTTGTTGGTGGAATCCCCATGGCTGCTTGGCGGTGGCGGTTCTGTGGGTGCTCCAGCGGCATTGGGAGTTGTCCTTCTGACTGCATGGGTGCTGGTGTCATCCTCCCTTCGTGTGCCATCAGGGGATCTGTGCGGACCACTGTCTCCTCCTCGACGACCAAGGTTGTCAGGTTGGGCCTTGATCTCGGCGGTGGCAGTCTGCTTGGGTATGCCACCTTGGAAGACGTCTGGATCTTCTCTGTTCCCGCTGAACCGCGGTATTCCCCTGAAGAGGCCGCACCAGCGTTGAGCTCCATGTCGGGTTCCCACTCCACGCGCTGCCATCGGCTTCCACATTGCAGGCACGTCCACCAAAAACTGTCCTTTGACCCCCGCTGCCTCAATTGGCTTTCTTCGTGAGCACAGTCCAAGGGCTCTTTGGGCCAGCTTTTGCATGCTTTGGAGCGAGGCAGAGGCTGCCCTATGCCACGCCTGACTTTGGCGGTCTTCTTCGACTCCGCTGGGACCAGGGACTTGTCCTTCTTGGCCTTCGGGAGCTTTGCCATGGTTCCCCTGTTTCTGCTTGTCAGGTAGTCGGTCACCGACTGTAACATCACCTCCAGGTACAACCTGATGGTTGCCAACACCATGCGACGCCAGGCCTGCATGAGTTTTTCCGGTGGTGACTTCTTCTTCGGCACCGGGTCTGGCATGTCTTCGTTCTGAGCCAGCAGCCATTGCGTCACACGCTTCTGCATCGCCCGTCCAAAACTCACCAGGTCGAGATTGGGGCGCAACGGGATCTTGAGTTCCCTGGGTGTTTGCGGACGGTCGGCTTTCTGTTGTAGCACGATCCAATGCAGGCTGTTGCAAAGAACTTGATGAAAATGCATGTGAAGGCTGTGGCAATGGACTTGATAACATGTGTGATGTGGTTGACGCTGAATGTAAAAATTGAACATCATCTGAAAAACTGACATGTTTCCGCACTGCAACATCAGTTGAAACTGTTGACATCTTTGTTGAAACATCTGCAGTTCTCTCCAAACCCCTTTGGTCCTGCACCTGCATTGGTGTAGGCTGCATTGCTGGCTGCCGCATGCTTGCCTCACCGTGCAGCAATGCATCACGTTCACACTGTTGAGAAGGATCACCAGGGGAATGGGGATGAAAAGAGGCAGCAACATCAACAACAGTGCCAATCGATGAAGGCGAAAACTGCGAAAACTGCTGAAAAAACACATCACCCGACCAAAAAGGGAGTTGGCGCTGTTGATTGATCAGCCATGAATCATGGATTGAAAGCGGTGCAGCATGTTCATCATTGCTGTCAATAACCGTCCACCGTGACTTGTCCAAAGTTCCCAGCAAACTTGATGGAAAAACTTCTTTTGGGTGCACTAAAGTTTTTCGAGGGCTCAAGGTGCCCATGTATTGCAACTGATGCTGAGCCGTTTTCAACCAAACAGCAACTCCAGGTCTTTGTGCAAACTTCGTTGAAGTTGAGCTCTTCGCAGGAGAAGGCTTGGGTGATGCAGCTTGAAAAGGGTTCTCACCTTCAATTTTCAACTCATTCAACAGCTGCTGTGGCAACGTCCACTTGCCTGCAAACTCAAGCACTGAAATGGCGCGGTGCCCTGATGGAGATCGCCTCATAGGCGTACTATTGCCATTCTTCAAAGTAAACAGTTCCTTGCTCACATCAACTGTCGCACCTACCAACTCAATGTAAGAGATGGGCAAGAGAAACGGGGTGCAAAAAGATCCTTCGTCGCTGATTTCAGTCACACGGATCAGCCCATTGGTACGAGCCACTCCAACTGGTACATCATAAATTCCAAGAATCTTTGCACTGCCGCCAATCCCAGCACAGGTCACTGTTGCCCCATGCGCTGGTGCGGGCTTCAAACCGTAGCTTTCCAAGCATTGTCTGAGTTTTGCCATTGCAGCTGAACCAATCACTGCTTCCTCAGCCGCTGTGTCGACAACTGCTTCATTGCCGGAAGTTTGAACTCCAGCAAAAACTGAAAACTTTTTCTCCTTGGCTTCGGAGATGTTCACATAGACCTTGTTCTGGTTTCCAGAGCTTCCCTGACACACAAAAAAATTGGCTGCTGATTCCTGAGCACGCTTGGGGCATTCCTTGGAAATATGTCCAAGCTGGCCACATGAAAAGCATCTTGTTCTCGACATCAATTCTTCAGGGGTTCCACGGTGAGCATGACTGCCATGTCCACGACCCTGACCCCTTGAGCTGGTTGAAGTGCCTTTGCCTTTTCCAGAGTTTTGATTTCCTTTGTTTTTCCCTTTCTTTGCAACTCCGGCTTTGGGCTTGTAAAACTGTCGGCCTTTTCTCCGCGCCTGGAGCTCTTTGCGAACGTCCTTGTAAGCAGAGTTGTAGGCCCAGACATAGTTTGCCTCATCTTCATCATATTCCTGTTCAGGGTCGAACAGCATGTAGGTGAAATTGCCACGACCATCACTTTCGGGGCCCGACAACTCATCTTCGTCGGGCTGCAGCTCATCGTCATCCTCATTGGTCTGCTCATCCTCCAACTCACCGTCGACCTGAGTGCTTGTCACATAGGTCTTTGCAACCCTTGACATCAGAGCTTCAGGACGATCTAGAGGACGTAGTGCTGCAGCTGCCTGATCGAAGGTGAGCAGGGCATTGTATCTCACCGCAAGGTTTTCCCTTTGAAGGTCGTTCAGGCCAGCATGACGCAAATGACGCAAAAGAATTCGACCAGCAATTTTTGGGGAAAGTTTTTCACCCAATTGGCTTTCCATCTCCTGCAGAGCGATTTCTTTGGCTGCTATGTATGTGGAGAAGCTTTCATTCTTGGATCTTTCATTGCCATAGAAAAAATTCTCCACAGCTGCTGGTCCAGAGGCTTCCAGGTATGGCGCATACTTCGCCATCAACGAGGACAATATAGCACTGTAGCCAGACTCCGAAGTCAACGTTGCTAAATCTATTGCTTCAGCTATTCGTCGAGGTGCCGTTCCTTCATGAAAGGACTGCATCAGCTTCAGACCCCAACGTGACTTCGGCAGGTTGTTGTCCAGTTCCCATAGAGAGAGTTGCCGTAGCCATGCGCGAAGGGTTTCCACACTTCCATTCCAAGGGGGCAACATCTTTTTGTCGCCACTGATCGCTGCTAACAGCGCTTTCATCATAACATCATCCTTGTCAACTCTTTCATGGGTCAGTCCAGCAACAGGCGTTTTACCCAGCATCTCAAAAGCACTTTGTACATGTGGTGTAGGTTGTGGCAACGCTGAATTGTCCAAGTTATGGAGAACCGAAGAGGCAGTCACCTGAGGGCATCCAGTACATCCATATTGTCCTGAGCCAACGGGTGCTGCCATCGGCGCCACATTGATGCCTTGAACAGCAGGGTGCATAGCATTCGCACGCATTGGAGAGGATGGCGCTGATTGTACGCCGAAACCAGTCATACTTGGCCGTGGTGAGCTCGCTGCAGCGTTCCCTTGAGGAACATTCATTCCAGCGTTGAAGCCAGTATGCAACTGTGAAACATTTGTTGTGGGTTGATTACCAAAACTTCCTAAGGAAGGAGGTACCGTTCCCATCACATGCACTTGGGGCATTGGGCTCATTACAGTAGGTATCCCAGCACACCCCATGAATACACCTGGTGGTCCTTGTTGAGGGGCTCCACCAGGACCATGGAGCTGCGGACCAGCACCACCATCGTGGTTTGTTCGACCAGGTGGATAGTAAGATCCCGGAGCTCTCATCGAGGCGTCTCCTCGGCTCCAGGGATCACCACCTGGTAAGGACCATGGGTCCATGCCGGTCCAAACCGGACACCGGCTCCGCCTACCACTGTAGGATCAAAAGATGCAAATGTTCAAGCAACGAATGAAGACACCGCCATGTCGGCGGTCAAGGCACGGAACCTTTTCCGTCTGAACTTGCGCCCAAGAGCTCTGCGGTCAGCAGGCAAAAGTTTCACAACTGCAGCAAAGTGACATGACTCCATGGAATGGTTACAGACTGTCAAATGAGTTCATCACCACAAAAAATGGGATTTTTTGAATGGGAAAGTCCTCTATGAATAATACTTGAATAGATGAGTTGCCCATTGAAATGTCATGAAATGTCCATCTCTGGGGATTTCGTCATTGCCATGTTGGACCCGAATGAAGTCCACGAATTCCATGTGCCCAAAGGTTTGCTGTTGTGGCATGGGTCTGTATGGTCAACATTCTTAAGCACCCGAAATGGATGGTGGAATTCTAAAAGTTGACTGTTTGCGGTTTTGAGCCATGCCAAGATCACACCACAAATGGCTTTCTTGAGTTGATTTATATAATCATAATATATCAATCATAACTCACAACATATAATCTATAATTTGCTATACTATAGCACACGCTGGCATGGCAAATCTGATCGAACCATGGCATCTGGCATCTATCACCCATCTGAAATGTCCTCAGCAAAGCCCTGCCCTTCAGCCCCCGGGACACTACGGGGCGTTCCACTGAAGCCTCGGCTTCCAAGAAGAAACCCAGAAGCTCAGCACGTCTGTCGCTTGATTCGGGAAGGAAAAGATTACTACCCCTGCGGGGATTTCTTAATATACCCAAATTTAGCTGCTAAATGATACCAAATGAGTGTTCATCCACGCAACAAATAAAAACAAGCTATCCAGCTATCCTATGTGGTTGCCAAACTCTTACTAGCTCTTGGGGAATATGGACAGCCACAGCTAAGGAGCAACTGGATAGTTTGATCCACTTTGATCCACTTCCCACAGTTTCCTTTCAACCCATCCAATCAATCAATCAATCAATTAATCAATCAATCAATTAATCAATCACTCAATCAATTAATCAATCAAAGGTAAAAGTTGATTCGGACACCATGGAATGGAATCCATCAATTTTATTCGCCAACAATTGCTATCTTCAAGCGGCTCCAGTCGCCAGCATAGATGGTCCAAGGACGATTGTCTCCTTCGGACTTCTTGTGAGCATCATCCAGGTCGGCTACCAACTTGTCACCTCAAAACGGGGCAATGGAACGTTTCCTAATTTCCTCAGTTTTTGGAAACAGCCGTAGAAACCACAAGATGATGTTTTACTCAAAATGAAACCATAATTAACCAACATCAAGATATTGATTTTTGGGGCAAATAAATCTTTGCGCCAATGATTCACATTGAAGGTTGGAAACCCAATGAACATCATGCTCAAATCCTGAGCCAACTAGATACCGCCCTGTGCTCTCTGGAGCACCACAAGGACACCCACCTACCCCTAGCGTACATTTGCAGACTCGTCTACCTGTCAAACCCTCCAACTTAGCCCCTCCGAGTCACCATCCACAACGATGTTTTTCACTTTCCTCGAATGGTGAAAGATGCGCACGCTGCTGCAATGTGAGTCAAAAGATGGGTCTTGTGGGCTACGTCGCAAATGTGGGAACCCACAACAGGTACTTGGTTCCCCCAATCAATAGAGGTCCCACATTTTGAGGGGCATTTGAGTGTAGTATCCAGCTCCGAAATGATACCGAGACTCGCAAACGGCATGCAGCGCTTTCAGATCTAACTAGCAAATCATGTATCGCATTTGATTTCCAATCATTTGGTTTCATGGTGCTTCATTCTGGATTCCTGTCAATCCAGACACCATTGATCAAAGACGTGTCACGGTTTGTGTGTGTGTGTATGTCTCTCAAGAATTGTGAGGGCCAACTACGGCATGTCATTTGCCCTGGGTCAAAATAAGGCACCTTTGAGATGTGTATGTGTATACATTGAGTAATATATTATGTGCGTCTTCTTACATGTATATCACTATATTACAATATATAATATGTGTGTATATTGTGTATTGTATTGTATTTAGTTTATTAAATCATCTTATATAAAATAATATATATATATATATTCAGATTGCAGTGCATTACACTATTATATATCATCTTATAGTGTACTATTCTCATAGTAACCGTATTATGTATATTATGCATATACAAATTAGGCAAATCTACAACTCACTTGCAAGCTGACGCCAGGGCGCTCATTGATCTCGTGGAAAGCTTTGATGTACTTGGGATCCATGATGTCGCCTGAGAGGTCTGGGGTATGGTATGGTATGGTGAAATTGTGCCACCCAAAAATTGTTCGTACATGAGCTTGTCCAAACATGGATATGCCAAACTCGCAATCTTAATGTGGAACATGATGCTTTCAAACATGAAATTTTGGGGTGCCAAAGGACTTTTTCAAACAAAGCCACGTGCCTTCACATGCCCATGAAACCTACAGGCATCTACTGGCAATATCTGGCATACTACACCCTGGATCTTTCATGTCCGTCCCCCTTTTTCATATGGGCCTGGGGTTGTATCGAAAATTGGAACCCCTCTCCATCCCATGGTTTAGAAGCATCAGGAGGTAAGCCACAAGTGGCATAACCCATTCACAAAAAAAGTTCATCCCAAATCTGCTGAAAAGAACTTAAAGCTACAACATGTTACACAGCCTTTTTTCAAAAACCAATCATATTGGATATTTGATATTTGTAAAAAAAATGTGCAATTTCTCTATATTTTGAAATATGCTTCCAAAATTCTCCATATGTCCACATCTTCCAAAACAGCGCAAGCGACACTCGCTCTCCGGCACATCCGCACAGGTCGCGGAGAAGAAGTTGAAGCGCGCATTGCCGGGCCAGGTGGCGGAGACCTCAGGTTTCTAGTAGTGGAATGTCCACATTTAGATCCATTTAGGCTATGTTTTAATATTGGGATGGGATCGTTGTCAATTGGTGGGGAGATGTCAATATTCGTGGGGGTATAATATGCCGACATATCTTGGGGGTTATAGTTGGGAGGGATAGTTCATGGGGATATAATTGCAATTAATTGTCTGCTGTAGATGATTAAGCTTTGATGTAATCATGATATAAGGGATATATCTTGGGGATAACATTGGAAAATCAAAAGGATTTACCATGATTTCGCAAGTATATGAGAGCCAACCGGCACCCAATTCACAACTTGTGATTGCGGCAGAAAAAATGGGGCTGTCAGCCAGAAGAGAAGACCGCCAATCTTGGTAGGGTAGGGTTACTTCATAAATTTGGGGATATGAGGATTGTAATCGGCTCCAATGGAGAATTAGCGCTGGGCTACAATGCGTTAACTGGCCATTTGCAACGGCTGAGGCTACATATGAACTTTGTTTGAAGTTATCAAAACTGGCGCCATTTCTAGCACATCTAGCACTTTGCTCATATTGCAAAGGTTTTGTTCCCCGGCAAACATCTCAAAAGCGAAGCACACGGTGCTGAGAAATCCAAGTATGTCATGTTTGATTTCCAGTTCAAGACTTGGATCTCCCCTCCGACAAAATGTAGCAGGAAGTCTCGATCAAGCGGCATAGTCATTGTGTTCCAGGGCCAGTGATCCTCACGGGCCCAATCATCCAAAAAAATGGCTAGCGTGCTGAAGGAAAAAGAGAAAGAGAACATTGTCCTCTACACTCTACGCTACGCTTTGCTTTCTTGAATTGTCGTTGGGTAATGTAGCATGTCTTGGGGCTAGAAGCAAAGCAGCCTCCCTTTACAAATCAGATGGCAATGGTTCTTGCTTCAAGCAAGTCCTTGGCAGATTATTTGCACTGCAAAAAATGTGAGGCCACCCCCAAAAAAAACAGAAACTCTGCAGGAGTCAGACACTTTCCAGAACTTGCTCTTGTTTCTTCCAGCCCAGAAATGCCCCTAGACACCCACCATTTCCACCGTGGCCCAGCCCTGTCCTGCTGGCACCCACTGCTTCTCGGGCCGTGTCTCGCTACTGAGAAAGGCAAAGCCGCCACCGCAGGCGATGGTGAAGACCACACTACCAACCAGAGTTTTGATCTCGGCTGTTGAGATGGAGAATGATGGGGAGGTATGCGGAGGGCTGGATCTGGATGGGAGGTACTAAAAAATCGTGTTAGAGAAAAGGTACCTTGGGACCTCTATTTTTGGTGCCATTGTAGCTGAGAAGGCATGTTGGGACTAGTCGACCTGAGGGTTCAGGTGTGCAAGTGGGCTTGGAGGAACTGCGAGTGACACTAGCCAAACGCTTCCACAGCTTAATAATATGATGCCACCAACAAGTGGGCGTGTCTAAAAAATAGGGTACCCCCCAAGCAAAATGATCATGGATTATCATGGATTACCATAGATCATCATCATTTTCCGCATGCACAATGGTCATGTTATGCCATGTTGGAGGCCCCATCCTCCCCAGGCTGCCGGGCTGGATGGGTGCCGACCCCGCGGCCCACTTTCTCGAAGAAATTCTCTAGGCACCTCTCAACGGCACCTGAGATGTGGGAAAAACATAGAAAAACCACCAAATCATCTGGGCAGCTGATGGCAGCTGGTTCCTAATGGCTGGGGGTTTACCGGTTTACCCCCAATCATCCAAGTCAGACCATTTTGGTACTGAAATCCAGGATCAGCCTTTGACCCAAATTCCCTCGGGGTGTGGAAGTTGTTGCACCACCCTGACAGAGCTCAGCTTGGCACCGAGGCCCATGACGAAGCGAAGTAAATTCGCAACTGCCAAAGTCAGTTTGTCTGCTAAGCCAAGAAAACTGCATGCAAATCCGACCGTGCGCTTTTTCTTGGGAACAATAGAGGGGTTGGATTGGTACCTAACACCGTTTAATGTTTGGGAAAATGAATTGTTGTTGTTTATCCTCATTGACCGATTGAGAAAAGGACACGTATTGATGAATCAACCAACCAGTAGGAAAAGGACAAAGGACATTTCTATGAAAGAACTGAGGAGTTGTCCCCGTGGATGCTTGCCAAGCCCTAACCTTCTGGATGCCAGGAAGGTGACAAATTCACAAATATCCTAAACCGCTGGTTTCCTTTCTGAAAGGTAGTTGTAAGGGTTTGGCATTCACGAAGGTCACCTCAACCCTCCAGGACTTGCACGTAGGATTGGTGGCATTCACATTGCTTCAAAATTGGTTGACAGGATGAACATGGTTGAACCATGTTGAACCTATGGGGCTTTAGGTTGAATAGTGTTTTTATCATGTTTCATCTGTCATCATTGTTTTCCATCAGCGACTCAACTTTGTGAGGTAATTGCAATGGCTGATGGGTCATCCAAACCATATACAAGTCCACCGGAATCATCATTCTGTAGCACACGTGGTCTTTGTACCTCTACCATGTCTGTCCGTGGCTTGATGGCTACATGCCCGGATATGCCCGGTGAATGATCCGAGAACCGGTCGAAAAAGAACGGGAAACGTCACCAGAGATTATGGTGACAACAAAATATATAATATATATATATGTATATCAAAATATGTCAAAAAAATGATAATTACTCTGCCGTCATCACACGAGGCAATGGAAAATGTCCCATAAATTCAATAAATGGATGTGTCAAATTGGAAAACCATCTATAAATGGTGGACTTTCAATAGCCACGATAGAATCTGATAGAGTTTCTTCCATGTTGTGACCCTCTTGTCACATCCCCCCACAACGTTTCCGCACTCATTTTGCCGCGGCCGCCGCGCACATCACCGCGGCTCTCTCCGTATCAGGCCCAAGCTCGGTAAGACCTGTAGGCTGCGGCCAAGGGCCATCGAAAGCGGGCAATGACCCATCATTTCTGGGGTATATCCCGCTAAGCTACCGGAATATAAATCTATATCTGGGATATCTATAGAACTCTATAGATAGATATATATAATATATATATATATATATCATACTAGGTATGTAATATACGTCGGTAATCTTATCTGTATACATCCAAGGAGGCGGTCCGCTGCACCACCAAACTGAAGGGGGCACACTACCTTCTAAAAAAGGCATTAGTTATTGGTGAAAGTTGGCTCAAACTATTGCATTGGACGACATGCCCCGAGTTCTTCTGGAAAATTCCATCTAATCATACTATATCTCAATTTTGCCAGCTAAGTCTAATTCTTAGCAACTAAGCACTCCGTATCACTCCCTGGTTTTCCTTGCTTGGCCAGGTTTACCAGGTCCATCCCAACCGTTTGGCCGGTCAAATCGTCCCGTTTTTTTCGGCAAGGGGCGTCCTCGACAGCCTCAGGAGCGTCGCCTTCGGCCAGGCTGCACTTGAGCCTTGGCAGCTTGGGAGGGGGATACAACTATAAGATATAATAGAATATATTATGGATAGATACCATATTACATATGATATTGTGATATATAATATACATATGGAATACAATGTAATATACTATAACAAAATCCATTATGATGATGTTTTCCTGATTGTCGCTCTAAATCTAACTTTTGATCGTTGTTTGATGATACATGTATCTGTCTATCTGTCTCTTCTCTTGATCTGCTAATTTATTGCTGAATAAATGTTGGCCGTGCTGCCAGACTGACCAGGTGCTCACATGCCTCCTACTTGGGGTGTAAGTAGCGGTGGAATAAACAAGAATGATCAAACATGAATAATAAGACTAGTATAGACTAGTAATAATCATAATATCATGGATGTAAATCAATATGCTTAAAACATGTTGATGTGCGGCACAAATGTGGGTGTGAAAAATAGTATTCCACAATCACAGAGCTAATCAGCAAACCGCAACCATGGTTGATGGGGTTGAAGTGGCCACCTTCCGATCTGTTGCCCAGCAACGTCTGTGGGTAGAAACCTGCGGCAGGTTGCAGCAGTGCGGAGAGGATCATGGGCCAAAAGTGAAGGGTGACCATGGTAGGGCCAAGGGTGAATACATAAAAATAACGATTGATATGGGATGATATGGGTAGGGGTCAGAGCTACCTGCTGACAGCCCCCTTTGCCTAAATCTAGTTCTGTTGTATCATCTCTGGGAGGTAGCACACCAGATTCTTGACCCATGGATATTCAACAAAAGATGCTCAGATGCGTCTCACTATCATGGTCACATGGCTGTCCACATAGGGAGAGAAACGGTCTTCAACCCTTTAAAAACCATAAGATATTCCGTGATATTCCGCATATCTAGGACAAATGGAACCTCGTGGCAATGGCAAATTCCCCATTTAGTTCTATGGATAACCTCCATTTTTTACGGGATTTTCCATTGCCACATTTGATTCAGGCGAGATGCTCCCTCAAGAATTCTGGTCTCCCATGGTATCTTCGACCACATGCCGTGCGCCAATCTCAATGCACAGTGAAAAAGGTGCCTGTGAACATCGCTGATGGTTCAACTGATGAGTTCCCCAACTGAAGTATAGCCCTGAATCAACTGAATCAACGGACCAAGTCTGGTTGGCTTTCCTTGCCCATTGGTTTGCCATTTGCTATACACAATTCTCAAACACATCGATTCGGGTTCCCCGGCTTGCGCCATCCTCGATCAACTTTCGCCGCTTCTGGGCGCTGGCCAGACCTTGCCTCGGAAAATGCGCCAAAAAAACATAGGGAAGAAATAAAGGGAACCAATCAGATAATCAGTGAATTGTTCTGAATGAAATATAGATCATTTAGCAATCTGAATATGTGTGGCATAGTTTTCTTTACTACCCATCATTATGATCCAGATTGTTGATGATGGTTAGTAAAGAAAACTATAAAGCCAGATTATTGGTTGATTGGATGATTATAGTCTTTTCAACTACTAACATTCTATATTTCATTTTCATTATCCAGATTGTTGATGAACCATGATGAACCAGTTGGCCTTTAACGACAGAAACCCCTTTCCCGGGACTCCCGGCAGCGTCACGGTGACTTTGCGCTCAGCTTGCAGTTGCTCCTTTAAGCCTTGAGGCAGCTCCACCTTGATGCGGGAAATCCCAGGAAGAGGACGATTTGGGGGATGCCCCCATGACTACGGAAACCTCATGAAACCTCGATATTTTCAGAAGTTCAACTGATCTTGGGGTTGCTTTGTAATCTTGGTAAACAGGAAAAGTAACTCGATGTAACTGCTTTTTAGAACTGTCTGGATCTTTTCAGAGGCTTCAAATCACGCAGAATGAGACCAACCTAGCATTGATCAGGTCAGGTCAGACATGGTCAGGCTAGTGACTCATTAGACCACAAGTAGCAAGAGTCAACTAGAATCGAGGATTGTTGTTTGATAAACAATCACCGGTTTCAGCAAACCAGAACAGGTGCGATTCTTACACATTCTACATGGTTGAAAACTGTTTCCTTGGTGTCGCCGTGTTGCCATCAACAACGGCAGCATTCCTCAGACCATTAGCACCCAACAACCTACTTGTTTGTCATTTCAGTTCTAAATTCTAAATCAGCCATTTGTGGTGGTTGACACGTATCAATATCATTGAATACATTGGCATATCTGCATATAACTAATAATAACTTGTACCACTTTTTACCTCAACCCCAAAATGGCCATTTCATGTTGGGCAGATAGTAACTTCGACCCATACCAAAGACGCCCAAAGCAACTCGACCGCCTTTGTCTCCTCCCGCGTCGCCGGATCATGTCCGGCAGCGAAGAGCCTCCACTGGGCGGAATTCCAAGCCCCATGCCGTGGCATATAAGAACAACAGAAACTGGCTTGGAGATGACTCAAGAACTCAGGAAAAATTCGCCAAAAATCGCTATGGATACATGATGATACATGAAGATACATGAACATCCACTTGATGAGCTGTTTTTTTGGTACCCAGAAATGGCCAGTTCCCTGAGAGCCGAGAGCCCCTGCTTGACGGCCACCTTCTCCCGGACCTGCCAAAATGGACAAGTTGCCAACTGCCAACTGGACAGTTCAATGACCCCAATGTGGTGTGGGGTCAAAATTCAAGACATCAAAAACACAGATTTCAGCAGCTTCTTTCTAGGCCAGCCCATATGATATGTTTGCTTTCTTGGAGTCAATATGAGTCAATTATAAGCTGACAATGTTAACTTCGATAGCTGCTACTGGGATCTACTGGGTATAGTTGCCATCCCAAGGGATTTTCGATGACTGTCGTAATCTCTGCCGGTGTCCATCCCCAACTCGCAAATAGGAAAAAAACCCAATAAATTCCGGATCAAATCCGAGCGCTTTTTGCTGGTTCAACCAGGTTGAAGCCTCATTTTTTGCTGCTTAAATCATATCAAAACATTTTGAATCCCCATCCGTGCTGGTTAAAAAGCCTTCCGTCGTCATTGCTTGTGCCATGGTCCTGCCTTCTCAGGCATCACCACGCTTTTCCACGCAGCCAGGACATCGCTCTTCCTGGGATGGGATTCTGCAAGGGGTCCTGGGCAAAATGATGGGTAAAAGTTAGGATGATATCTTAAAATGATGGGTAACAGTAAAATGATGGGATTTATCAGTTTAACAGCTTACTGTTCTACCTTTGCCCTTTGCAAATGGAAAAAAAATAATGCTTCCAGAAATCAGAGGTGTCAATATACAAACGATGAATGTTGTTTGATATTGGAAAGCGAAACGAATGGACTATCGCAAATGTTTTGAACTCGCCCTTCTTCTTTTTAGCGTCAGGGTTTGGGGGACCAACCTCGCATCAAAGATGTGCATTCAGCTGCTAAGAATCTAAAGACACCTTGAGACTCCTCAGGCCCTCCATTCTTCCACATCTAGCTCCAACATTCAACAGCCTTCAAGATCATGATCCCAAGGAATAAAACACAAAAAACCTTATATTTTCACACCACCAACCAGATAACCAGTGAAGATTCCTTGCATCACAGTTACGGTCGTCTCCATCATACCATCCATGGCCACCTCTGAGGGCCCCCACTCAGCTTGTTTGAGATAGGTCAACATCTCTGCGCTGGTGTTGAAACACCGACCCAACCTGGTGAAGTGGGGACACCAGTTTACATACCACAGCCAGCATGGTTTTTTTGGCTAGTTGATGTTCGGATTCAGAATCCTCCGCTTTTCATCGTTCCTAGAAATATTATATTATATTATATTATATTATATGATATCATATTATATTATATTATATCATATCATATCATATTATATTATATTATATTATATTATATTATATATATATTATATATATATATATATATTATATATATACATATACATATATCTTCTAGATATGGATATGAGCAAAAACCCTGGTACCCTGCTGTTCACCTCAACATAGCTCGCAACTTTGGATGTCCATCCGGTCCATCCGCCAAAATATGCCACAGGATGAAATCACCCAGATTAAAATCACATCTTTCCGAGCCACAGGATGGGCGCCCAGAAATGCTCCGTCTCCTCGCCCAGCGACCTCTGATGGGTGATGCCCTTATGGTGGGAAGCTGGTACCCTCCAGCAAAATGGGATTATAATAGGATTGTAATGGGATATTGGCCGGCAAAAAATGGGGATCGGGATATCACCTCCAGTAAACTAAGAGTTGGCAAACTGGACAATGGCCCGTTGATAGGTGATTTACCTATGAAAATTGTGATTTTGCAGTTCGCGAACTGCAACAAATCATCATAAATTACCAGTGGGTGAGGCCCCAAGATGAGCCTGGCAGTGGGTGATTCACCAAGATTATCACAGTTAGATAGAATAATCCGCTGGTGCTTGGTAGATTTTTGTAGGATTTTGTTACCCAAAATTTAGGTTCCCTCATAATCTATCTTGGAATTGGAACTTCGCCTGATTATACCCCTCTGGTAAGCAAACATGGGAATGGAAAATCCTCCATTAAGTTCCATGATGTTCGAGTTTCAATGCCCATTTAGTTCGAGAATTCTCCAGCCAGCCACGTTTGAGAGTACCAGGTTTCCAGGTGAGCCAGTAAAGATACCACCCATCCCATCTCATGAAATACTAGTTGGTTAAAAATGGTTTCCCTAGTGATTATGGGTTTTATAAGAATCCCCAATAACCCCAAGTAGTATAACTTCCATTTCATCACCAATCATCTGGCTGGTATTTTCATGGTCTGGAGCATCCTGGCAACGGAGGTTGAAGCAGCTGCAGCCGGAGGGACTCCTGGCCAGCTCTGACAAAAAAACTCGGATTTCTTGGGGATAACGGGATGACATTTAAGCAATTGAAATACAATCAACAGGAATGGATGGAAATGGTGGATATAGTTCATATAACTTCCGAACAAGAGAAGATGTTAAATTGCTCAAATGGCCCATTTAGTTCCATGATTTACATCGATTGATTAACGGAACTAAAAATGGTGAATGTCCAGATTAACGGAACTTTCCACCGGAAGGTCTCCACCAATCCAACGGAAGGAGTGTGGCAAATCAACTTGGGCCATTGGGATGTCTCAGATAAAATTTGGACTTATACACATTATATATATAATATGTAATTAAGTATAGTGTATGTATATATATAATTGTAGTGTATGTATGTATGTATATATATATATTGTATATATATATGTATATAGTGTACATATATAAATAGTGTATATATATATATGTTGTGATTTGCAAACATATCAACTCTTTGAGAAGAACCCTGACACTAGGTCCTTGCAATCCAGGTCCCATCAAGACCAATCCAACCGATGTGCCTTTCAGGAAACCATCTTTTGCCGAGACACTTGGCTCAGGGCACGCCAGAGGTGGGAAGTGGATGTGGACCGTGTCTTGCTAGCCAAACTGGCTCTCTTGGAACGTGGCCGTTCCCTTTTGCACAGGGTGCATTGCTGGTGGAAGCTTGGAGACGCAGTTGCATCTGCGATCGCTGGTGGAAAAGAACTCACTGCAGGGCTTTGAGATTGCGTTTGTCACAGTGGTGCTACCCCACTCACATTGGTAGCGGAGCCCCCCGCAAAGGGGGGTATCCAAGGGCCTTTCAAACAACTCCATGCCGGAGCCAACTGGAAGTGGGTCTGAAGCTGGCTCATCGACATCACAGGTCACGAGCCAATTAGCCTACCTAGTTCCTCACTTTGACCCGGCCAAGGATGACATGCTGATTTACCAGCAGAAAGTCGAATTGGTGACAGCAGCCTGGCCAAAGGATAAGTACGTGGAACTGGTGACACGTTTAATCCTCAACTGCCAAGGCTCTGCATTTCAGAAACTGCAATTACATCAGTCAGAACTGCTATCCAATGATGAATCTTCGATACAGAAGTTGATATCTCTCTTGGGCGGAAGCTGGGGGAGAATTCCCTTGGAGAAACAGTTTGATGAAGCCGAACAAGCACTGTACCACTGCCAACAGAAAGGCGATGAATCCAATGATTCATACTTAGCCCGGTCAGAGATTCTTTGGAGTCGCTTGTTAGCTAGGAAACTGACACTGGAAGATCTTCAGGCATTTATCGTGCTCAGAGGAAGTTCTCTGACACCAGAGGACAAAAAGCGCGTGATCTTGGAGTCTGACCGAGATAGTGCAGGGAAGTTGACAAGCCAAAAGGTCTCTGAGGCCATTCGGATGTTGGGAGCAAATTTCTTCATGGACATGACAGGTCAACGCCGTGGCAAGACCAAGGTCTATGATCAACATGCTCTGACGGTGGAAGATGTGCCTGAATCAGCCGATGGGCTGATAGCAGCCGATGAAATGACCGAGGAAGACTTTGTGGACACGCTGATCACAGAGGGCGAAGATGAGGATGCAGCCATGATTGCTGACTTCGAGGCAGCAGCCTCGGACGTAATCCAAGAGGACCTGGAAATGGCTCAAGCTTTTACAGCCTACATGGAAGCCCGCCGACGGTTGTCAGAGAAATATCGCAACCGGGGTTTCTGGCCGACTAGCAAGGGTTCCAACCAGTTCAACAAGGGTAAGTTTTCAGGAAGTGGTGGCAAGTCTTTTGGAAAGGGTTCCAAGTTTGGCAAGGGTCGCAAGACTTTACAAGACCGGATTTTACAGAGCAACTGCAGGGCGTGTGGACGCCGGGGTCACTGGAAAGCTGAATGCCCCTACAAAGGGGGAACAACATCTCAGTCTGGTATGAGTGGCAACGGTAGTAGCACTGCTCCAACAACGACGCTGGTGACCGATCTTGCAAGCTCAGGTGCAGATGATGCTTTGCCTCTGGAGTTCTTAGGACTGCCGACCATCGACGATCATGACTTGCCCTCGCACTGCCCTGTAGATGAATCATGGCCACATGTAGTATCCGTTTTTGGGTTAACTACTGAGAATCGTAGCATAGGTAAGCGGTTGTCTCGACCTTATGATGGGAACATTCATAATGAATATTTGGGAAATAAGGGGGAGAAGCCTGAAATGTCGGCCAAAGACCGCCTCCGTGCACGACTAAGGAGTGACCCAGCTGTGAAGCCAAGTAGCAGGTTCATTTTGAACCGCCGTTTTTTTGAACAACCGTCCAAGTCTGCTGTTGCATCCCGGTTCCAGGTAACCACCAAGGTTGTAGCAGATCCGAAAGCCAACAGTTGTCAGATTGATTCACCTGATGCCCACATCTGTTTTGCTACCCATGGAGCAAGTGGGATCCTGGATCTTGGAGCATCAAAGACAGTGATAGGAAGCGAGCAAGTCGCAAGCCTCATAGATCACTTAGACTCTGCCACCAGGGGCCAACTTCGACGCTGCCCATGCAACATAACCTTCAGGTTTGGAAATCAAGGGACCTTGACAAGTAGCCAAGCAATTGTGATTCCAATTGGAAACCTCATGCTCAAGGTAGCCATTGTTCCTGGAGCAACCCCGTTTTTGTTGAGCAATACTCTGATGAGAGCGTTGCATGCCAGCATCGATTGCCGCCGCCAGGAATTGCAGAGTCCGATGTTTGGGCAACCAGTGAAACTTAATCTTTCCAATAAAGGTTTATTTCTGATCAATCTGAATGACATTACCAAAGCATGTCAGCCTTGCCCAGCCTTTTCTCCAATGCAGCCGACAGCACCTGCCGAGACATTTGTGTCCGAAGATGCCGAAAAGTTGCAGTCCCAAAAGCCGAACTGGGTAGGATCAGCCATGCGTACCAACCCCAAAGATGAGAATCCCGAAGAATATTCAGGTGAACAGGTACAGGCAATGAAGAAAGATCCCCATTCAGCCATCATGCAGAATGAACAAACAGCCAAGTTGCCCGATGTACAGTCCGTGGTTCAGACCCGTCCCAGTGTTTTGCCTGAGCTTGACCGTTCAACTGTCGAAGATGGCCAGTCTGTCGCAGCGCCTGTCTCAGATGCAGACTCAGGTTGCCGTGCAAGTGGAGGATCTCAGCCACTTGACACTGGAAGAGCTGGGTCCGGAGCTTGTGGACTTTGGTCAGAAACACCGTGGCCAGAGCTTCCACGAGACGTGGAAGGATCAAGAGTGGGCGTCATGGATGACAAAGCACTATGGAGCAAGCACCAAAACAGCCCACCGTCGGTTCCTACGATATGTGGAGTTGAAGCTGGATTACCACGAAGCTCACCAGATGCCAATTCCAGTCGTTCCACAAGGCAGCCTACCCATGACAACCTCAGGTGTCCAAAGCTCAGCCAAAGCGGGTGGCCCAAGCCCCGGGATGATTGCGGCAAAAGCCAAGACCCGACCTTTGTCCCAAAGTTCAATCCATTTGCCGGACATGGAGGACGCCGGATGGGCGTTGGAACCCGGGACATACACCCAGGGGACTATGAGCTCGGATCCCAATGTGGAGGCAATGCAGCAACGGATGTTGCACCTGGAAAATGCTCTCTCAAGAGTCATTCACCACCTCGAGATGACTGCGGGCCAGACTCACCCAGCTCAGCAGATCCCCATCGAGGAGACGTCCGATGTGGAGAGCCCTCATCTAGGATGAAAGAGGACTGGGACACCGACATTATAACATTCATGCAACATGAACACCTTCACCTCAAACAACTCATCCAGCAGTTCGAACGTGAACTTGAAACGCAGTCAAAACACATCCAACCGATGGGTTCACCAAGCCAGTTGTTAGAAGTGTTCTGCAGTCCAAAGTCTCCCTTGACACACCAGATGAATCAGCTAGGACGCAATGCCCATCGCTTTGGGAGAGCCGAGGGAGATCTAGAAACAGTGAGTGGCCGTGCCAAGTTGTTTAGCCTGATCGCCAGACACCGGCCCAGACATATATGGGTAAGCCCAGACTGTGGTCCCTGGTCCTCCTGGTCAAACCTGAATGCTTCTAGATCCCTAGAAGCCCATGATGCATACCAACAGACCCGAAAGCAGTTGTTGTACCAAATTGCCTTATGCATTGTGTTGTTCCGACACCAGATCATGCAGGGACAGCAGTTCCACTGGGAACAGCCAGCCCGATCACTGATGCTGTCTCATCCCGGCCTTGCAGAGGTTCATGCCTATACACGCGCATGCCAGTTTGACATGTGTAGGGTAGGCGACCTTAAATGCCCCCTCAACGGGAAATCAATGAAAAAGGGTATGGTAATCTTAACTACGGATGATAAGATGTATGCCCTGCTTCACGGGAGAGTCTGTGATCACTCACACGAACACCAACCGATCGACGGAACAACAGTCGTCCAGGGAAGATCAATGCTTAGAACTGAGTTTACGGCAGTGTATCCCCGGAAGTTTGCTAGAACTGTAGCAAAGATCATGTGCCAGAAGTCACAAAGCATATGCTGCACAGCCATGAACCCAGTGTATGCTGCCGACAGCCGACGACCACGGCCAAAGCTGACTTTTGCCAGATCTGAACTGATCATGCCAGAATCTCGGGATGAAAACTTGTCCAAACGCCGTCGACTCGAAGGTAAACAGAAGGTAACACCAGACAAAGATGTTCTTCAAGGAATCATCAATGCGATTGGACAAACACTTCCTAGGGTAGGGCGACAGGAGATTCAAGACCATGTCATCTTGAATCAACTCCAAGAGCTCTTTGACGACAAGCAGATCATGAGGGTCATTGCATGTAGAGGCACCGATAGAACTCTGGGTCCCCCTGAAAGAATGAGTCCCCAAGAAGCACCTTTTCGTCGTAGCCTGGTTTTGATGAGAACCACGGGGGAAATCAAATACGAACGGTATTGGGAACAATGGGATAGATTATCCAAACGGCAGCTCATCCGACCTGCGCACCCATGCCGCATCAATGTCACGATGTTTGCCAAGAACCATGAATCCACTGAAAATCCCGAAAACCGAGAGTCTGGTTCAGCAGCAAGTGCCGACCGTCCTTATGGCTCCCAACAGAGCATGCAGACATCGCTGGACACGACAGCTGATGACAGTTCCCGGAATGCCAGTGACATCACGATGGAGCGAAGCACTCCAAATTTGCCTGAAGTCAGCCCTGAAGTGCCAAGCACGATTCCTGAAAGTCAAGGTAAACAACAAGATCAAAGATTCAGATCACTCCCAAAGTGGGAACAACAGGAGATCATGAACATGCACAAGAATTTGGGCCACCCTTCCAATGATCGTTTGTCAAAAGCACTCCAGGTCGCAGGATACCGAGCAGAAGTTGTGCAGGCAGCTTTAGAGCTGAAGTGCCACATCTGTGCCGCATGCAGTCCCCCTAAACACCAACGTCCAGGAACCCTTAAGCCCCTATTAGACTTTAACCATAAAGTTTACATAGATGGGATTAACTGGAAAAATGCAAAGGGGAAAAGTTTCCATTTGTATCACTTCTTGGATGCGGGGTCAAACTATCATGTGGCAGTGTGCGCACCTTCCCGAGACACTCATGATTTCATCCGCCTGATAGACCACCACTGGATCTCATGGGCTGGACCACCAAATATGATCCAAGTAGATTCAGCAACCGAAATGAACTCACATGACCTCACGACATTCACTCAGAGATATGGTATCAAACAACTGACAATTCCACCTGAAGCACACTGGCAGCAGGGAAAGATAGAGCGACATGGAGGGTTTCTACAAAACATGTTGACAAAGATAGACATGGAGCATGCGATCGATGACTATCCCCAACTGCAGACGGCTTTGAACCAATGCACTCATGCCAAGAATTCTATGAGCATTCGTCATGGATACGCCCCAGAAGTCATTGTTTTTGGTAAACACTCCAGACTTGCCGGTTCCATATTAAGCGACGAATCTAGGCCTTCTCATGAACTAGCCCTGCGGGAGGATCATGAAATAGGTGTTCAAGAGTTCAAGAACCTGCTTGAAATTCGAGAGAGTGCACGACGTGCTTTCCACAGCGCAGACAACAGCAACACGCTTCGCCGAGCAGTTTTGAGGCGACCATGTCCCAACAGAGGAACATATGAGCCCAATCAGTGGATAATGATCTGGAGAGCGGAACAACAGGGAAACCCCAAATGGATAGGACCCCAGAAAACCATTATCCAAGATGGGAATCATACAGTATGGAGCACTCAAGGGGGAAGACTTTTCCGCAGCGCACCAGAGCATGTTCGACTTGCCCTTCCCGAAGAAGGCACAGATGAAAGTAGTGAACTTCCGGAAGACCTCACCACCATTCACCGTCAAATTGACAGAATAAATCAAAATAACCATAACCAACTACCTCCCATTCCTGAAATGCATGAAATAGACTTCCCACCAAGTAATCCTCCAGAAGATGATAACCCTCATAACCAACCCGAAAGTGAAACTTCAGAGGTTTCCCGAACTAACAGCAATTCAGAGACGATCCCACAACCGGATCATGAACCTGAGAGCTCACGCCAAGCTACTCCGATGATCAATGGTGCACCACCTGATGAACAACTTCAGGAAAGCGATCTTCTGGTTTGTGAAGATTTAGACTGGGTCTTTCAGACCACTGCATCGGATGTAAATGCTGCCTGGCGATGTGAGTTTGATGTCAGCCTTAATTCCAACCATGAAATGCCACAGAATCAGGGTGAGGCCTGGACACTCTTAGCCACCAATGCTAAGAAACAAAGGACTGAGATCAGACTGTCAGAGCTTACGGCATCTGAAAAGGCCGAATTCGACAAAGCCAAGGAAGCAGAAGTACAGAACTGGATTCAGACGGGAACGCTAAGTAAGGTCTTACGGAACCAAATCCCAGAGGACCAGATCTTACGATGCCGATGGATTTTAACCTGGAAACCATTAGACCCCGTAGGAGAATCCCCAAATCCAAATAATCCTAAGAGCTCTCAAAAGATATCAACACCAAGTCAGCGCACCCACAAAGCAAAAGCACGACTGGTTGTATTAGGATACTTGGACCCAAAAATTGAGGAGATCCCTCGAGATAGTCCTACGCTTCACCGTACGTCCCGAATGATGCTGCTTCAAGCCATCGCCAGCAATGGCTGGTCACTTGAAAGTTTTGACATCCGTGCCGCCTTTCTCCAGGGAACTCCCCAATCCGATCGGGTTATTGGGATAGAACCTGTCAGTGAGATCAGGAAAGCCATGAACATGTCACCATGGGAAGTTGGTAAGCTTAATAAAGGGGCCTATGGTTTGATTGACGCACCCTACCTGTGGTATTGTGCTCTTGTCACCGAGCTGAACAAACTGGGTTTTGTGGCCACTCCTTTTGATCCATGTCTGTTTGTACTTAGAATACCCCCAAATGAACCCAATGCAGGGGCTCTGGCTGGGGTCTTAGGCATTCACGTGGATGATGGAATTGGAGGGGGCAACGAGTTTTATCAAGAAAAGATTAAACTCCTGGAGAAGAAGTTCCCGTTTGGCTCTCACAAAACACAGGCCTTCACCTTTACGGGGATAGAGGTAACTCAACGAGGTGATAACAGTATCCACTTGAGTCAGTCCGCGTATGTGAGAAAGATTAAACCAATCACTATTGATGTCAATCGAAAAACACAAACTACCAGTCCAGTCACCGACAATGAAAAACTTGCACTCAGAGGACTCATTGGAAGTCTCCAATACGCATCAACAAACACCAGACCTGACCTTGCCAGTAAACTTTCATTTTTACAATCAGCCATCAACAGTGCGACCGTGGACACATTGCTTGAGGGTAACCGTTTGTTACATGAAGCAAAGCATCACCATGATGTTGCCATAATCATTAAGCCTATTCCCACAATGGACTTCAGATTCATGGCATTCAGTGACGCTTCTTTTTCGTCAAGCAAGAAACCAGACTCACACTCGGGTGTAATCATAGTTGGAACCCACAAAGATATCAGCGAGAATAAACAGTGCCCGATCAGTCCAATTTCATGGGGTTGCAAGAAGATACAGAGAGTGGTCACAAGTACCCTTGCTGCTGAGTCCACCTCGCTTGCATCCGCGTTGGATCAACTCGCTTGGCTGAGAATCTTTTGGTCCTGGCTCCACAACCCAGACACAGAATGGAGAAAACCTGAACAAACCCTTAAACTGCTTTCACCAGCCATTTCCACACCAACATTCAAACAAACCGCTGATTTAGCCATAACAGATTGCAAAAGCCTTTACGATCTCACAACCAGAACTGCACCTCCATCATGTGCTGAGTTTCGAGTTCAACTTGTTTCTCGCGCCATAAAGGAAGCTCTCCAAGAAAACATATCCCTGCGTTGGGTGCATTCAGGGGCACAGCTTGCCGATGCCCTCACAAAGGCTATGGAAAGTCACTTTCTTCGAGAGACCTTGCGCGTAGGAACATACCGACTGGTGGACGAAGCCTCGACCTTGAAAGAACGTGCCAAAACAAAAGATCGGGTTCGCTGGCTCAAAGAGCAGAATGAAACCAATAAAAAAAGAAATTTTGGGAATGTGATTTGCAAACATATCAACTCTTTGAGAAGAACCCTGACACTAGGTCCTTGCAATCCAGGTCCCATCAAGACCAATCCAACCGATGTGCCTTTCAGGAAACCATCTTTTGCCGAGACACTTGGCTCAGGGTACGCCAGAGGTGGGAAGTGGATGTGGACCGTGTCTTGCTAGCCAAACTGGCTCTCTTGGAACGTGGCCGTTCCCTTTTGCACAGGGTGCATTGCTGGTGGAAGCTTGGAGACGCAGTTGCATCTGCGATCGCTGGTGGAAAAGAACTCACTGCAGGGCTTTGAGATTGCGTTTGTCACAGTGGTGCTACCCCACTCACAATATGTGTATACATATATTGTGTGTGTATTATATATATATTTAATGTGTAGATATATATGTATACATATATTGTGTGTGTATTATATATATATGTATATATATATAGTCTATATATATAGTGTATATATATAGTGTGTATATATATATATATAGTGTGTATATATATATATATAGTGTATATATATGGTGTATATATATAATATATATCTATAGTATATATATATAGTGTGTATATATATATATGTGGATTTACAGAACCCACACCGGATGTATCTCAAAAATCTGCAATTCAACATAACCTTTGACCACTTCAAAAACTGGCCTCCTAAAACTGGCTTGCGATGAGACCCAGAGATTCACTCCGCCCGAAAGGTCCTTGATGTTTGCGAATTCCGCTTCACCTCAGTGTACCCGTTACCCAGCAGCGCGTTTGGCATTGGTTGTACCATGTTGTACCTTCCCAGGCCACATGTCGTTAATGCGAGTACACCTGATTGATCGTTGAACTGTAGCCTCATGAAATTGTCGAATAGTGCCAGTGCTTCATTGAAAACGGAGTTCCCAGATGTGAGGGGTCTATTTGATCCCTTATTACCCAGTGCATAAGGTCAACCCGATTAATAAACCATGACCGTTGTTCGTTGTGGGGGGTTGCCACCAGCCGATGGCCAAGTGGCTGAGTTTCTCCAGGGCATCTACCACGTGAATCGCCAGCACCTGCCATGGGAAGTCTGGGTGCCATGTCTGAAGGTAGCCACCGCCATGTTTGGCCTGCGAAAAAGGACTAAAGAAAGGGTTGTGCTGCTGGTATTTAACATGCATTGACATGTTACTAACTAGGGATGAATGCAGAATTCAGTATCCAAGCTTTGTTTCTGTGTCACTTTGCAGGGTTAGTTGGGAGCCTTTAGATGAATCAGCGAGTGCGCTAACACTGCACCCGGGGCAGGTATGCATCCCGTTGTCACTCGTGTGTGAAAATGGCCTGCGCGTGCACTCTGAACGGTGCCTACCCAACCCTCCAAAATCTACCAATTTCACTTTCTTCACTTGAATATCCAAAGGAGTGAAATAGACCCCCCAAATCCAACCTGCACTCCGCTTTTTGCTCAGGCAAGTTCAGTCTACCCCCAGCCCAATTGGCTTGGAGGATACAATCAACATCAGTTGTTGTGCTTGTAGTACTCCTGAAAGGAGTCAGCCAAATACTCACCGAAGACGACCTGAAACACAAGAAAGCATTCATCATTTGAGAGGTGCAATCTGCTTGGACGCTTGTCCGGTCTTGCTTGGACGTAGCTTGCAGCAATAGCTCTTCTACAAACCCATCTTGATGGTAAGTTTTGGGACTACGAGGTGCAAAGAGACTTCGGAATTCTGTTGTATGACCAAAGCATCTATCTGAACACACGAGACTCAACATTTGTTTCACACAACCAGTCTCAGATACTACTGTTGTTCTGGGGGTTGCCACTTTGCCAAAAATAGCAAGCAAAACTGACATCAGGTTGGAAGGTTTGGACCTTTAGGGGTTTCAAGTTCATAGCTGGAGGCGTGGGATCCAATTTTGTTCTCGGGTGAAGATGGTTCTCCACTGCAAAAATACACCATCAATTGCCATACATGACAGATAGGGTAATTAATTACCCTAAAATTGCGCTAAAGAAAAACACGAAAAAAACATCTGCGCATCCTAGTGCCATTCATTTCGTGCCATTCAATTTGACCCATATGAAATGGTGGACCTAGGGAGTCAGTCATGTGGGCGCATTCCCACTTCTGACCCGTTGCATACCCGTTGCTTCTGTCATTGCTCCACGCATAGCTTCTCAAAATCATCTACTTGGATGATTGAACACTAGAAATGGACCAACGTTTTATGAGTTCATTGGTTGCGACCTCCGAAAAAATTTGCTGCCGCCCTAGGCGCTGGCGTGACATCGGGAGGCGTTCGTTTCAAGCGGTTGGAGAGCGGGGGGATGAGTTCAGATTCCTCCTCCTTCAGCACGGCATCATAGCCGACGCCCTTGGGAGGAGCGATGGCCGCATCCCACTGAGGTTCGATGAACAAGGCCTCAGCTGGGAGAATCATAGTTGAATACAAAACCTGCTGAAAAAATGGACCCCAAAAAATGCAGCTGGAATGGGAAATGAGAACTTTCAACAAGTTTGAACTCTCTATCTGAAGTGAGGGGATGGCCTACACCTGTCAGAATCAAGATGAAAATGAATTCCCGCAGGATTATCTTACCATATTCCAACAACCAGCCAACCAGGTGGTCCCCCAATCCCCCACCATCCCCCACCCTTCGCCAAGCCGCAAAGGTTTCTCGGCACACGGGTCTCTCGCCTTCCTTTCGCTCGTGTGACCGGACCTGATGGGGGGTCGCCACCAAGGTGCCGCCGCTCAAAATCTGCGAGGCTTCGCCTAGGGCTAGGCCTGGTCCAATGGGGTATCCCTAAAATCATCTAAAATGCATTGCTTTAGATCATTTTTTGAAAATGCCCCTCTAAAATGTATCAAAATTGTGAGCATGGGAGTATAATAGTATATCATAGTATATCATATATTCTTTCAAACAAAGCCATGTTTAGGCTTGTATAGGCTTGTTGGAATTTTAGGCGGTAGGGTTAAAATATGGTAGATTTGCAAGAACCTTCCAATGATCTTGGAGAGAAATGGTGGATGTCAACGAAATACAACAAAATAGTAACCCAAATGGGTAATAGTATAGGAACCCCCTCATACCCTTTATGCAGAGGCATATCAAAATTTGGTGCATCAAATAAGGTGGATTTCTGTTTATAAAGGCCCTACAGCTGCCTATCAGGAGACAGAACACCTACTGTATCATGGAGACATCGCCGCTTGGCACTTGAAAATTGGATGCTGAAGATCTCAAAAGTCATACCCTCTAAATCGTGCGGATGTTCCGTGAGACCCCAGGGAACAAAACCTCTAACTAAATTGCCTCAAAGAGATCCCCTAAAAGTCCACTTACTGTCCATTACGTCCCACTAAATCATGATTGGAATATTTTTGCCATATATATATATATTATTATATCATTCCCGTATTATTCCATATTCCCATATTATGTCCATATTGCCATTGAAATAGATCGAATTATTCCCCTCTGATTTCCCACATTATTCGCAACTTATTCCCCCCATCATTTCCACCGCGGGCACCGATCTGAAATCCGAGGCAATCCGAGGGCAGCGCCACCCCGAGGATGCTGCGGTCGCGGCCGCGCACGTGCAGCCCACCGGTGCTCGACACGGAGCCCGCGGGGACCTCCTCCCCGGTGTCCTCGTAGAGCCACATGGCAGGCACCAGGCCCGTGATGACGCTGTTGTCCTGGGAAGGTGATGATGGGGGTGAAACTAAGATTTGGTAAAAATTGATGGAAAATGGGAGAGTTTCCCATAATTTACGGAAATTCGAATAGAAAAAACAAGTTGTCTGAAGGGTGATGGGGATGGCATGGGTATCTCAAGACTTTCAAAATATACAGTAATCTTCTTGGATTGTTGCTCGATGACTTCAAACGTTGGGGATCAACTACTGCCCTTCCCCATCTATGATTTACGTTCCATATCTAGATTATCTTGGGTAGGCTGAAATTTCACCAAAGAAAAAGACGCCCATCCATCGCCAGGCGTCATTGTGCCAGCCACACCAGGCATCCTCGGTGTTATTGCCTTCACTGGGCGAAAAGTAATGCAGCAAGCGTCCCGCCAGCATCCGGGAGTTGGTGTAGGCCGCAGCATGGAGCCTCTCGCCGTGCTCGGGATGCTGAGACTGGACGAAACGATCGCAGTGCTTCACCAAATGCTCGCCGCATTCGTAGACCTGGGTACCATGCAGAAGTGGACCCAGGACAGTCCACATGGATCTCGTGCCCCTCTGATGAAAATGTTTTCAGAAGGGGATCAAGATCAAGTTCAACTTTCATGTTCAAAAATCATTGAAACTTTGTCCACCTTCCCGAAGTACTGCTAAGAATGCTCGAACAGTGTTGATCACTTTTGTTCCCTCGAAAACCATCGAAGACATCCATTCTGCTGAATCATCTCAGCACAACTGATAGTTGATGATATTGGTGATGCATATTCATGTTCCCCTCCAATTTTTGGTCGGAGGGGAAAAAATGTAGTGTCCTTCAATTATTCCGCATTTTTTGCTGGTGGCTCAAAAAAATATACCCCTGAGAATGGATGATGAAACTACCAAAGATGACCCATTTTGCAAGCCCATTGGTATACCACGTTTTTAGTTATCTATACCTATACCCAATTTGTTGAAATTCAAAGGTTGAAAAAAATGGTCTTCAGATTTTTGAAGTGCCGGTGGATTCCTGGTTCTTCTCATTTCTGGACAAAATGTTCATCAACGGATTGAAATGCCATCCAAAAAGTCCTGGATGTTCCATGATTTCCCATAGTTTCATATAGTTTCCCCATGGAATCTGTTACCAAACGAAGCCATGTTCCCTTGCTCCCGCCAAGTCGCCAGCTTCCCGGTAGCTTTGAAGGCTTCCTCGAGGCCAGGCACCTCTTTGGGCCAAATGTTCCGCGTGGCGGCGTAGGGGTACCTGGGCATGGAGAGCTATGGGGAACCAGGGAACAGGGAGATTTTACACCAGGATAGTTTTTGGATGAGGTGGAAACATGTCGAAATTCTTGACTTTCAAGTTGAAGCTGAGTTTGTCTATAGAATGCTGTTAGTTCTAAACATCACAGCCGCGACCCAAGGACAAAAGAGCTAAGAGCTGCTGAGGTCGCTGGGAGATTCCATGCAAGGTAGCTACTCAGTATTCGTTGTTGGCTTCAACCCATCTCAAAATATGAGTCAGTCGGATTAAATAACAATCAACAAACCCTGAACCTGATGAGAGGCATCGCCCCCCTGGGCGAGATTGCATTCAACTGCATTGTAGATAAATCCTAGCGCTTCTGGTGCTTAGTCCCTTCATTGGTTGCTACTGGGGCATCACAACATATCTATATCTGAGTCTGCGTATAAATAATTAAGATCGGTCATAAGTCAGAATTGCTCTTAAAGCGGCCATTCTCTACATATTATTATTATTACTATTATTATTATCCCCAATAAACATCAATAAACCAGTAGCAGGAGCGGACATCAAATGGGCTACGCCCAGCTACCGCCCACCGCAAGGCCCAAGGATGCCCGAGGCACTTCTCTCGCACTGTTTCATCCCCGCCGGCCGGGTCGTCCCACACAGGATTCGCGTAGAAACTTCCCTTGGCCTCGGGCAGTGGCCACAGCAGCCACAGCAGCCATAGCATCCCCTTCCCCAAATGGGATAAAACTACCCTGGTGCCCCAACACCAAAATGGTTGGTAAATGATATAAATGTGGCTCTTTATCCCCTCAAATTGTGATACCATAGGTTTTTGAATGTCAAGCCATGTCTTTTACCCGGGAGTAGCTACGGACATTTATCCTCCTAAAAGTGATATAGTATGATATAGTAAGCTGCTGTTGAAATAGTTTTAGTATGTGTTTTTCCGCCCAACCAGGGTTTGATCCAGGGTTGATGCTGGAACCAATCCAAAGGAGGCGGTGAACCCAGTGAACCCACAGTGAACCCAGTGAACCCAGCTCCAAACTTGGCGACGAGGTCAGGAGATCCCAAAAAAATTGTTTGTTGTTTTCAATACCTGGGGATACAACAAACAGGGATATATGTTTTTTATTGTTTTTTTGTTTCCATTTACAAGTCTATCAATATTGTTGACAAGGAGAACATCAATTTTGTCTATCCCTGTTTCTCTTCCCTTGCTTCAGTTCAATATAGTTCAATGCAGCCACGGCACCATGTCAGGCTTTCCCTTGAATTTCTCCTGAGCACTGGCTTTAAGGGCTATAAGTATGACTCCAATGGCACTCTTTTTTTTTGATGTGATCTTGCCACTCGGTTGAAATTTCATTCATCAATCATGATCAAAATGGACAGGCGCACCGCATCGCACCGCTTATCCAACAAGCTTCACGGCCCCGACTCCAACCCACGCAGTAGTGCGCATCTGCTCGTTCGTAGCTTTCCAGGGTTTCCTGGGGCCTCGTCCCGCAATTGAACTTCGATTCAACCCATAGTGTTTTCTTGGCTAAAACAGCAGCAATCTCTGAGTTGGTCTGCAAATCGGGAAACCATGGGAAACCCATTCCATCCCCATGGTTTTAAAAAACACATGTTCCGCATCTGTTTTGTCACAAATCGTGGGTAGCCCGTTCCTTTTTGGGATAACCCCACATGGATGTTTCTCCAAATTGAGAACCCTCCAAAACATGGTATTCCTTCCTACAGACTATTCCCCTTTCAATCTTTACGGAAAAAAACATCACCATATGATTCACCATGGCATTTTTTCCGCAAGCTCCCAGCTACTTCTGGAACAACACCAGCCACCAATCCATCGAAATTCCACGGCACAGGGTGGCCAGGCGATGCGCCAGCGGCAGCAGCTTTCTTCGCACCTCCTGCAGTCCCGGCACGTGTCGCACCCCGCAGATGCCCAGGCCGCCGGGACCATAGGCCTAGCGATGGCGGCTGCTCAGGTGGGAAAAGGGCGTGAAAATGAGAAGAACATGGAGATGAACTGAGATGGACTGGGAATCATATTGGAATATATTGGATGATATTGGTGCAATTGCATATAACCGAATAGACTATACTGGTGCTTAATTCAAATCTACCGAATAGAATTATGTGTTTGACTGGGTATGACTAGGTATGACTGTAGGACAATTTTAAGCAACAAGAATAACAAGACATTGGGTGCGATCAACAAAAATGTGAATGTGCCTTGATGTAACCAGCAAAATGGTGAGTTGTTGGTATCAAACTACAGGGTCTCAAAATTGATAAATTCATATTATTCAACAATCAAGGTCTAAGTCTGGCTGGTTCTCAGTTGCATCCTAGATACCTTGGCAATTTTTGCACTCAAGTCCTTTCCTTCCACCAACTCTTGGTACTCCAAAATCACCTCACTGCGATGCCCAACGCACATAGCGAAACCAAGGGAGCCCGGTTTTCCCAGCGTTGTGACTTGGTTGACCCATGGTCCCATGGGGACCCCAAATCCATTGGGATAGTCTGGACAGAACCACTTCCTATGTTGTGCATCGCCGATCTCCATTTAAACATGGATTGGGGAGTTGTTTCTATGATGTCTTTCACGTCACGCCTAGAATGCAAGATACAAATCATAGTCAAGCTCTTCATGATCACCATGCCGTTGTTATTGATTCAGGAAACTGCTATCAGTGCAGGATCTGTGATGAAGTTAAATGGATTTGATAATGCTGGAAATGACCAAAATATACCAACATCTACTGCTCCAAGGGCCTTGAATTTTGACCGAACGCAAGCTTCTGGGAAGTTCACCCAATACTGAACATTGCCCAATTTTCCAAACTCAATCAATCTGCACATCACACATACGGATCATACAGGGGAGTCTTCTTCTTCTTCAACCACCAAGTTAAGTATTCAATTTGGGCATACGAGCCTTGAATTTTTGCGCTGCTGTTGTCAACATCCGCTCCAAGCTATTTGTGGATATTTGTGGAAGCCATCACGATTCCGGCCTATTACTTCCCTCCTTAGTCCTCCTTTGCTCTCATCATGTGACACACCAACTCAAATCCGAAATTGAAGAACAAAAACACCCAAATTCAATCCATTGGAACAATGTAGATTGATGTAGATTCTAGATTCATTGTAGAAATCGGAAACCGAAAGCTTTCCTTGGCTTCCCGGTGCAGCCATCGTACCACCTCGTTGCTGTCGCCGTTAGCCGCCTTCGCCTTCGCATGCTCAGGCTGCACAGCCGCAGGGCGCTTCATGGCCGGCGCCATCGCTGGATCACAAAAAAGAGCTGCAGAGGAATCGCTTGGAAATCGGCAAAAATAGGGAGTTAACAGTTCACCAGCCAAAATTTCAAAATAGTGGATAAAAATGAGGATTGATAAAAATGGGGATTTATGAAATCTATTCATGGCAAGCCATAAATCAAGCAATCGACAAACTCACGAACGTACTCATTCACAAACCAACCAATCGACAATCATAGCAATTTAAGTAACCAACCAGCCGACCGACCGCATGGGTCCATAGCCACACGAATACTATATATATAATATTATGGCCCCGACTTTTTGAATTCTGGATAGTATTGAGCACCTATATATAATATATTCTGCTTGTTCATGGGAACAAGTTTCTATGTGAGTTGTCTCAGAAATTAGAAGGGATCTCAAAATCTCAAACCTCCTTTTGAATCATGTCAAAACCTCATTTCTCCTATGAAAATTAGCCATTATATACTCGTGCCCAATCCTACCAAACTTCAGCCCACCTTCTCACACTGTTCCTCGGCCACGTCAGGAAGTGCTACCTCACTTTGCACCTCAGTCCAGGCGCTGGTGATGTGTTGACGGGTCATATCTTATGGATCCATGTATCTATGTATCCATGTATGAAAGTGTACGTGCTGCAAACATGTTTCTTCACATTTTTTGTTGAGTGCCTGGGCATGCCTGGGCATTGTAGCGGTGACAGGTCACTCAATCGATGGCTGAAGGGCTGGTGAAGGGAAATACACCATTTTATCAATAGCAAACATCGGCAACTCTTTTGGAGCGACTCCCATTGCCGCCAACCATGACAGAGGGTAGGTCTGCGAAGAGTTGCAACATGGGTTCTGTCATTGCTTGGCTTGCTGCGGCCATTTTTTCCTCCGGTTGGACACGGTCCAGGGTCGATGCCTGACTGAGTATACGTAGTATAGGTCGGTACGGTGTGCATCAAACATGTGCCCAAGCCGGGTCCAATTTGTCTGTCGACTGATGCCAACGCACCACCGGGATCAGAGACAGGGGGTCCCTAGAAAAGGATACGAACAACCACAACAGCTGGCACAACAGGTTTCCCATCAACGCAACAACGATTATCTTCAATGAGGATCTTCATCCATCTACAGTATCTTCAAACTGGGGTGGGTGATGGTAAAAAGTCTCAAAAAAACCTGAGATGACTAAAACACTCAGGCAATTAGCAAAGCATTCCTGGCATTATCTGCTTATCGTCCCTTGAAAGTTTTGTTTCCCCACCTGCCAGGTGAGGGTTGTTAGATTTTATGTCAGTTGCCTGCTCCTCCTCTCCTCTTCTCCTCTCCTCCTCCTCGTCGTCCTCCTTGTTGTCCTCCTCGTCCTCCTCGTCATCCTCGTCCTCCTGCTCAACTGCGACCCTCGACGCACAGTGTTCTCTGTCGGACCTCAACCACGACCATCCACGCTCAGTGTTCCCTGCCGGACCTCAACCACGACCATCCCCGCCCAGTGTTCCCTGCCGGACCTCAACCGCGAGTATCCACGCCAAGTGTTCCCTGCCGGACCTCAACCGCGAGTATCCACGCCAAGTGTTCCCTGCCGGACCTCATGAGATATGCCAGATAGAATGCCAGAAGATATGCCAGATGGAATGTCAGATAGAATGCCAGATAAAATGCCATGAGATATGCCAGATAGAATGCCAGAAGGTATGCCAGATAAAATGTCAGATAGAATGACACAAGATATGCCAGATAGAATCCCAGAAGATTTGCCAGATAATATGCCAGAAGATATGCCAGATAGAATGCCAGAAGATATGCCAGAACATATGCCAGATAGAATCCCAGATAGAATGCCAGAAGATATGTCAGAATATATGCCAGAAGATATGCCAGATAGAATGCCAGAAGATATGTCAGATAGAATGCCAGAAGATATGCCAGATAGAATGCCAGAAGATTTGCCAGATAGAACGCCAGAAGATATGTCAGATAGAATGCCAGAAGATTTGCCAGTAAGAAAATGTAAAAATGTCACGGTGGGGATCACACGAAGTAAAGTAATTTTGTTTTTAAGGACCCCCTGGTTCCCACCACATGGTGCGGCTGGTGCAGTGCAGTTCACCAACCCTCAGTGTTCAGAGCAGCTGTTGAAGCATTGCTCGCAGACGTCGTAGGACTGCGCCTCGATCAAGGATGACATGTTTCCCTTTCGACTGTCCAATTGGTTTAACCACCATTTGGGGAATCGATAGAGAATGTTATGATTTTTACTGGCCTAAAAGGGACCACAGAGTTTGGGTGTTTCCCTTCCAAAATATTCCACGTTCACCGATCCGTCCCTTGAGATGAGATTTACTGTAACTTGCCTCAAATCACATGTCCGCAGTTGATTAGCTGCACCCGATTGTGGAGTGTTTCCAAGTTCATGGGCTGCAAACACTTCCTTACTAAATCCATCTCTCCAACTCTGAATGTGACCCCAAAAGGAAAGAGCCTGTCGCTTATCCAGAATTTCTGAAGGAATCTTGACTGACTATATCAGGGAAAGGGATCATATAACTTTATGCATGTAAAATGCATCTGGGTTAGATGTATAAATACAATATATTGTATAGGCGTGTGTGCATCTTTTGATACACCTTTTTATGTGATATATCGTGTGTGTGTGTCACTGTGTGTTTCACATATATAAATATATATTTATACAGCAATATACAGCATGTAATCTTATGTGTATATATATATGTATGTATGTATGTATGTATGTATGTATGTATGTATGCATGTATATATATATATATACACTAATATACACGTATATATACACATACGTACGTATATTCATAGACTTAAAGTTTGGATGCAAAACACCCTCAACCAGCAGATGAATTTGGGAACGAGAAACTTCATTCAACCTTTCCATCCATCCGCGGCCCATTTGGGCCCCAGGCATGCAGGATGGTGTTGGCACCATTTTGACCTTGACAGCTTCAAAACGGTCTTTTTGATCTTCCAAAAATGTGACCCTTGGCCTTCGCTAATCAACTTAAACCCCACGGAAGAACAAACAGTTTCGTTGACCCGTGGCTATTGGCATGTCCCTTGTAGAAGACGGAGGAAGCTTGACTGAATCAGATGTGGCTATGGTTCAAACACCTGATACAAATACCTGCTGAATAGCATCAAATAGTTTGCAAATGATGTTCATTCATTCCCCGGATATGTCACTAGGTCTTGACCCGTTCCCATTTCTAGCCATACTCGTCTCAAGGAGAAAACAAAAACCATGGGACAACCACCCCAAAGTCCGAAATTCTGTTTTTAAAACTCCTCACGACAACACCTTCCACAAATAGTGATGCAGTATTGCTGCTGCATCCATGGATAGGAATGCAGAGCGAACAGGTAAAAGAGAATCTGATCGAATCGACAATGCCAGCGTGATGTTTAGCTCACAACTTTGTTTGTTCTAAAATATGTGCTGCTCAAAATCATTCAAGCGCGTGGGGACGCAAAATCATCTAAAAATCATAAGTCTCTGTCACCTTCTGTCACCAAAGCGACAGGTCCATAGCCTCGGCCGCTCCTGCAGAGAAGTGGGATGGCTTGCAAATTTCAAGATGTGAAATTTCCTTGGCTAACACCAGGAACTTGCGACATAGCTCAACATGTACCAAATCCCTAAACTGCCAAGGGATCCTATCAAGCCATCCATTCTGGGGGTTCATAATTCTGATGATTTCTGAACATGGCGTACGCTGGAGTCAGGGTCTGCCAACTTTTTTCAAACGTGCTTGAAGCGAGGTAGGGGGGTCTTTGCCCGGTGAAACGATTGAAAGTGGAAAGCATCTCCTTGACAGTTTCTTTCATGTGCTCGAAGATTGATATGACCTGATTGTGGACGTCAATGTCTCGTTTTTAAGGGGGGATCAGAGAACGGACCTCGAATTTGAACGGTTTCAATCTTAGGAACGGCTGATTTAGTAGTTACGCAGGGTGAAATGATTTTTTAATCCATTGCAAACGTTGGGGTTGAAAATCCGCCGACCCCGGCCTTGGCCAAGGCAGGGGCGGCGCCTGGGACCACCGCAGGTGTGGAACTTCTCCTTCTTAGCTTCCCAAGGTCAAACCCATCTCGCAGCCAACAGCGCTGCCCCAAGGCCACATCGCGTAAACATTCTCCTGGCATGCTTCATCCTGCGTTTCAGACTTCCAGGCATTTGTACATGAAAATTACATGCTTTGGGCAAGTAAGTTTTCCTGCGGAAGGTTTTGTATTTCAAGGCCAAAGCAGCCGTTCCCGCATTCCCGTAGTAAAGGTTCAAGTCATCGACAGCGATGAAGACGGCGAGGTCCGTCCTTTGCCTTCCGTGCGGGCACCAAACGCACGAGGCCGCCTGCGCCGGCTTTAACTGTGCAAGGCCTTCTGCACGGGCTTTAAATGTGCAAGGTGCTGGACAGCACTTAGCAGGCATGTCCTGTACCCATATGGGCGCCCATATTTGGGCAATGGTTGCGGAGCTTGTCGGGTGGTGTTGCACTTGTTGCGCAGGCAATAGCGCTGCCCCAAGGCCACATCGCTTAAACATTCCCTTGGCATGCTTCATCCTGCAGCCAACAGGCACCCCAAGGCCACACATCAATGGCTTCTTATGGGCGTCCAATCCTGCCGTTTGCCAGCCCTTAAACCCTTGAAACCCTAAAAACCTTCAAACCCTCAAAACCCTTAAAACCCTGAAAACGCTGAATGGGCGTCCAAGCCTCCCGTTTGCCAGCCCTTAAACGCTTACCCTTAAAACCCTGCAAACTGTGCAAGCTTCTCGGAACGCCGAGCCGCGCAGGCAATAGCGCTGCCCCAAGGCCACATCGCTTAAACATTCCCTTGGCATGCTTCATCCTGCAGCCAACAGGCACCCCAAGGCCACACATCAATGGCTTCTTATGGGCGTCCAAGCCTGCCGTTTGCCAGCCCTTAAACCCTTGGCATGCTTCATCCTGCAGCCAACAGGCACCCCAAGGCCACACATCAATGGCTTCTTATGGGCGTCCAAGCCTGCCGTTTGCCAGCCCTTAAACCCTTAAAACGCTTAAAACCCTTAAAAACCCTCAAAACCCTTAAAACCCTGAAAACGCTTAATGGGCGTCCAAGCCTGCCGTTTGCCAGCCCTTAAACGCTTACCCTTAAAACCCTTAAAACCCTGCAAACTGTGCAAAAGCTTCTCGGCACGCCGAACCGCGCAGGCAATAGCGCTGCCCCAAGGCCACATCGCTTAAACATTCCCTTGGCATGCTTCATCCTGCAGCCAGCAGGCACCCCAAGGCCACACATCAATGGCTTCTTATGGGCGTCCAAGCCTGCCGTTTGCCAGCCCTTAAGCCCTTAAAACCCTTAAAACTCTTACAAAACCTCAAAACCCTTAAAACCCTGAAAACGCTGAATGGGCGTCCAAGCCTGCCGTTTGCCAGCCCTTAAACGCTTACCCTTAAAACCCTTAAAACCCTGCAAGCTGTGCAAAAGCTTCTCGGAACGCCGAACCGCGCAGGCAATAGCGCTGCCCCAAGGCCACATCGCTTAAACATTCCCTTGGCATGCTTCATCCTGCAGCCAACAAGCACCCCAAGGCCACACATCAATGGCTTCTTATGGGCGTCCAAGCCTGCCGTTTGCCAGCCCTTAAACCCTTAAAACCCTTAAAACGCTTCAAACCCTTAAAAACCCTCAAAACCCTTAAAACCCTTAATGTCCTGCCGTTTGCCAGCCCTTAAACGCTTACCCTTAAAACCCTTAAAACCCTGCAAACTGTGCAAAAGCTTCTCGGAACGCCGAACCGCGCAGGCAATAGCGCTGCCCCAAGGCCACATCGCTTAAACATTCCCTTGGCATGCTTCATCCTGCAGCCAACAGGCACCCCAAGGCCACACATCAATGGCTTCTTATGGGCGTCCAAGCCTGCCGTTTGCCACCCCTTAAACCCTTAAAACCCTTAAAACGCTTAAAACCCTTGAAAACCATCAAAACCCTTAAAACCCTGAAAACGCTTAATGGGCGTCCAAGCCTGCCGTTTGCCAGCCCTTAAACGCTTACCCTTAAAACCCTTAAAACCCTGCAAACTGTGCAAAAGCTTCTTGGCACGCCGAACCGCGCAGGCAATAGCGCTGCCCCAAGGCCACATCGCTTAAACATTCCCTTGGCATGCTTCATCCTGCAGCCAACAGGCACCCCAAGGCCACACATCAATGGCTTCTGATGGGCGTCCAAGCCTGCCGTTTGCCAGCCCTTAAACCCTTAAAACCCTTAAAACGCTTAAAACCCTTAAAAACCCTCAAAACCCTTAAAACCCTTAATGTCCTGCCGTTTGCCAGCCCTTAAACGCTTACCCTTAAAACCCTTAAAACCCTGCAAACTGTGCAAAAGCTTCTCGGAACGCCGAACCGCGCAGGCAATAGCGCTGCCCCAAGGCCACATCGCTTAAACATTCCCTTGGCATGCTTCATCCTGCAGCCAACAGGCACCCCAAGGCCACACATCAATGGCTTCTTATTGGCACGCACCCTTACAACTGTACAAAATCTGGGACGTGGCTGGGTTAGATATAGACCAACCACCTTCAGCCCAACCTCCCAGAAGGGGGTCGGCGGCACCCGGGCGCTAGCCCATTCTATAACACATACACATGTCATGTGGGCTGTGAGCTCATGGCTCAACTGGTCCAATCGCCAAAGATGTCTGCGAACTTCAGACGTTCAGGACAAAAAACTTACCGATCATGGGGTTTGAAATAATAAGGCTTTTAGTCACGGGGTCACATCCATGTGCTGCCCGAGCTGCTCGACTGTCCCTGGCAAGGATGCAGTTGATGCTGAGTCGTCATCCAAGGCAATCTTTGATGCACTAAATCCTGGAGATGATGGCTTCACGAGCTCCTCAATGCTGTACAGTACGTGGCATGAACAATGTCCCTGCAAATTGACAGATAATCCGCCACATACTCGGCCCAGTAGTTGTAGTTGCCTGCAAGAAGCACAATGTTACTGTTGTTACTGATTGCAGAGCCCTAAAAGACCCCAGGCACACATTTGAGTCGCATGCTTCAAGGTACAACTTGGCGCAACTTGGCGCAACTTGGCGCAACTTTCCGATTTAAACAAAGTCTGGTCGTTGATTTTGAAAGAACTGTGTAGACCAAAAGAACCCGAAAGATAAAGGAAAAAAATACTAAACAAATCTGACTCTGTTTGCGGGAACCACAAGTGAGAGTATCTTGGACCTTAAGTTGCTCCGAGCATCTGTGCCAGCGTGCGCACTTGGTCCAGTAACCTCGAGGTGAGTCTGAGGCTGGGGTGCTTTTTGTCACCAAAGAGGGACTCCTTCATCTGCAGCGACTTTTCCAGAAACAGCTCCGCTTGATCGAAATCGCCTGCCCGCTGGTTTGCTGTTCCCAGCGAGTGCAATACATCGGCCACATGAGGATGGGCTTTGTCGCCATATAGGCAGCGATATACTCTTTCTGATTCTATCAAAAATCTCATGGCTTCTGTGATATCTCCAGTCTGGGCCATGACATCCCCGAGTTTCCGCAAAGTGACTGCGATGCCGGGATGAGCACGTTCACCATGCAGCGAGCGCTGCATCTGGAGCGAATGCTCGAAGAACTCAATGCCCTTGTTGTTCTCCCATGAGAACAGCTAGGTCTCCCAGTTTGTACAAAGTGATCGCTATACCAAGATGGTCACCAGGACCATGCAAGGACTGCTGCATCCGCAGGGATTCTTCAAGCATTTCCATGCTTGTCTTCAGATCTCCACTCTGCGCAGTTGCATCTGCCAGTTTGTGCAAAGCGGCTGCAATGCCAGGATGGCCACGGTCTCCGTGAAGGGACCTCTGCATCTTCAGGGACTCTTGCAGGCATTCTATGCGTTTTTTGAGATCCCCGGATTGTTCACTCAACTTTCCCCCTGAACACGATGTGACGACCATGC